GGCTTGCTTGGGTTTATCCAAAGTTAAAGAATAATTTACATGTGATATTATTCGAAACACAACAATATGGTTTAACAGGGAGTTACATGATATAATGATGATACTGTGATACGTAACTTGGGTCATTAGTGATTTATTAACAATAACACAAAAAGTATATATTTGGTCATTTATGGTCAAATCCAAATCAGTGAACACAGTAATCACTAATCACAGTCACTTGCTTGTGGTTACTACAACGTGGATATTGTACAAAGTGCGTCTTTCAGCCCGTTTGTGGACAAACTAAAGTCTTTTAGATCTGATTCATGGATGGTACAAAAACTAGGTCCTTGTCATCAGTAGCCTTAGGCACATCTTCACTCGCAGAGCTGCTACCGTCAAAACCCTCTGCTCTGCAGTAAACCTGACACCCAGGTGCTGCTTGATCATGCGACTGTGACTATAGGCTATTACAAAGTGACGTTTATGGGTTATGGGTGCTGGTCAGGTGGATTTCTGAACTGTAACAGTCCTGGGCCACCTGTTTACTGCTACTTCCAGTTTTTAAGCTAAGCTACGCTAATTACGTTCAGACCGTCTCCAAACCTTGAGTGGCACTTTAAGTGACCTTCACCTAACATTACAGCCGGAAACCACACAAATAAATCACATCTGAATGGTCTGATTCTTCATTCTTATCAAGTCCTTTCATGCTTGCCAGTGGAAGCTGTGAGCTAAGATACCACATCGACTCCATGTGTTTGGGGGGGGGGGTCAGTGGAATCAATTTGTCGGGTGAGATAATGGTGAAAAGACGATGCCTAATCTTTCACATTGATTGCTTGTATTTCATTTCATTTTCAGACCATAAAAGCTTTGTTAATTCTTGTTGCAAAAGATAAAATGACGTGATTTCAGGCTTCAACTTCTTTTTTTCTTTCCCCTAACTCGATATGGCATTTTGGAACTGCACGCTTCATTTAGACTTCAGATGGGGGAGAAGGGAGGAAGCATGGGGAGGGTGCAGAGGCCGACAAATGCTGTTTGCTTGACGCTGATGAGAGATGGAATTTGTGTGTGTGTGTGTGAGTGTGTGTGAAATAGTTTGCATGCAATTTAGCAGCTGGCTTCTTTTTTTTTTCTTTTCCTCTTTGCCTTTTTCCTTTTTTTTTTCTCTCTCTCTCCTTCTTTTCCTCCACTCTCTTGCCATCCTGCTCCACCCCCCCACCCCCCATCTTTGTTAGTGTGGTTATGATAGATGAGTGTATTATAAAGCGGGGACCTGAAGCGGGGGAAATCAATGCTCATTCCTCAGAGGTGTGTGTGTGTGTGTGTGTGTGTGTGTGTATGTGTGTGTTTGAAGTGTGTGTGTTTGCCAGTTGGCTGTTTGTTAAGAGGTTAGAAGCTGGATACATTCATTGTTTTGGGAGCCAGGGGCTGCAGCTGAGCAGCTCTGTCTTGATCTGCTTTCCTTTGACTCAGCAAACCCGCTCCAGCCAGACGAACACACACACACACACACACACACACACACACACACACATGCACAACACCAACAATGCACGCACCCATCCACTCGCACACTCACACACTAACAGATCTAGAGAGATCGTCCCACATATACTCACAACACAGACGTTACACAATCCAGCAGAGTGTAAAGTCTTACCTGGACGGCTGCCTGATTGCCCGTCCATTACCGCTTTTGTTCCAGTCTCTTGACTCATGTTTCAGATACAGAGTTTGTTTTGGGTCCTTTTGAGACTCTTGGCTGGACACAAAGCAGTAAATAGTGTTGATCTGAGGCCACTTTGTTTCTAAAACTTCATACAATGCCTCTTTCTCTGCTGCAGTTTTGGTCACAGGTGCACAACAAGTAGTCAGCAAGTCAGGATCCACAAGTGGTTCTCTTCCAGGATACAATACTTAAATGCAGATAATATGGAGGTCCTACGCTGTAAAATCCATTAAGCACAAAAGATTCATACATCACAACAAACCATTTGAAAAGCCTTGCCACTGTGTGTCACAAATTTGGATTTATTTTAGTTGAGATTCCCAGCTGGAGCTGCAAACTGACAAGTGTTCTCAGCATCAATTAACCTTTCTCAATTAACTGACAAAGAGCCCATGCTGATGCCTTCAATTTGCTTGTTTTTGATATTCATTGTTGTATTGACAGAAAAACGGCAAATCCTCACGTTTTTAGAAGCTGGAACCAGAAAATGTTGAATGATTGATTATATGAAATGTGAATATTACTAATCAATTAAAAAAATATCTGCACAGTGAAGAGGAACGCGTTCTGCAGTTTTTGTAACTTTCAGAAAAAGATAATCCGACAATGTGCGCAGCGAATTGGCCAGGCGCGTAGAAGTGTGAAAATATCAGCAGGGTTTGCACATGTACTTCCATTACTTTTTGCGTTTACAGCTGAGTGCAACACCATGAATGCCTTTTAAAGACTGTCTGAAAGTTTACTATTCATTGTGTTGATACTACAAAGACACAAAGTTCTTGAAGAGAGACTAGAGGATGCAGCCAGGCAGCCGTAGGAATTACACTCATATTGGATAATTTTGCACTAGTGCCAATGTTCAGTGCCAGTCTGTCCTTTATGGATGGGTGTGTATCTAATAAATCTGTCTCCTGTAAATTACATTTATTTATCACTATATTGTTTTCTCAATCACATTGTGCTGACTAACGTAAACACTGGCCGGATTATGTTCAGAGACAGTGTTTTTGTAATGAATGAAGCGCTAGCGGAGTTGCCAGGAAGTGATCGGGACGTATGGTGGATGTACGAAGTGCAGGACTGTAACCCCAGAGACGGGGGTTCACATCCACGGTCCCATCTGTGTCTAGGTTTAAAAGCAGTTGGATTGAGGTTGGGTAAAGATGGTTTTGGTTAAATCTAAATAAAGATGTTGTGTCTGAAGTCACTGAACCTTTTCTGTATTAGACCAGACCACGATCCTTCCCTATAACCTTAACCAAATGCTGCACGTCCCTTAACACAACCATAAAAAAGTTTAATAATGCCTGCCAGATACATTAATTAACAACACTTTCCTCATTATGTTAACAGAAAACATACTTGACTAATGGAAAAATGCGTTTGCTGTTGCAAATTAGCTGCATATAGAGGTAATTTCTGCTAGACAGTAGAAAAAGTTGCGTCTGACTTCTCATTCAACTCTGAGTTCATGTCTTGTTACAGCCATGGGATTATTTTCCATGATTCGTTCCTATCCATATACCAAAGCTGCCATGTGGCAACTTTGGTATTTTAATGGCAACAACCAGGCAACAGTAGTGTAAGTTTACTGTAGTCCTGACCTGATGTTCACCGTCATGGATCAAGCAAGTTTCAGAAGTCTGCTCATTGATTTCATACTGCACAGAAATGAATGAAAACCAGTGGATGTCTGGATATGAATGGTAGGAAAAACTTGTATTACCTGCATTTGAAATTTGTCAGCAAAAATATAAAATAAACACAACATGATTTGCAGTAATTTAATTAAATCTTGCAAACACATACTGGCTTTGGTAGATTTTGAGGTTGTAAAGCTTTCTGGCCACGATACAAGTCCAAATCTTGTAAATCATCTTTATCAGTCCCTTCAACACTGTGGGAGAGGGAAACTGGGAGTTTCTGTCTTTCTTTTCTCTTTCCATTTAATCTCATTGCGTGGTGAAACAGGCCTCAAAATCAAACAAAATGTTATATGAAAAGAGGAAAAGAAAACAAAATAAGTTTCTAATTTTGTGGCCCTTGAATGTCTCTTAAAATGAACTCATCCTCAACTCATCCTTCTACCTTATGCTCCTGTGGTTTTCGCAGCTGCTTTGGGTTGAAATCTACAAAATGCCAAAAAAGCTGAAATATTACACAGCAGCTGTTGCATGATCTGAGATGAAGTGGAACAAGCTGCAGGAAAAGTGTTTCTTACATTCTCTTGCGCAGACTGAAAGAAATCCGTCGTCCTTATAGGCAAGACTTTGAAGAGAGGGAGAACCGCTGGTGAAAAATAAAGCAATGAAAGCTGATTAGTGCTTCTGGAGTGAAGCCCGAAACCTATAATTTCAAGTAGGGATACGTCTAGGTATCGATTGGGGGGGGGGGTATGAATGTGTTGAAGAGTGTCTGAGCCGTGGACGGGGTCATGAAGAGTGATGGTGTTGTGAGGATGAGAGTACCCTCCAGTGCCGACAGCCCATCATTTCTAGCTACCTTATGTGTGCTCTCATGATTGCCATAAAAACAGATACAATTAAAGGCAATATATAAGCACCTTCAGGGGAAATGTGAGGTAATTACCCCTCATGGTACTGAAAGTACATGAGCGATATATGAAATAACATGTAGAACGACCTTACTTGCTTGTAATTGAGTCTCTAAAGTTTTGGGTTTTTTTTTAAGTGAGTGAAAATGTGTGTCAGTGAAAATCAGCTTTCTTCCTGATTGTAGAGCTGCAACCTGTCCTTATTTTTCTAGCTAGCCAGAACTAGCAGCTAGCAGCTCTGTGATGCTGCGCTTCAGGCTAAACGCTAACGTCAGCATGCTAACATACTTGCGATGACAATGCTAAAATGGCTGACGCTAATGTTTACTGTTTTTACTATCTTAGTTTTGCGTGTCAGCATGCTAACATTTGCTAATTAGCAGTAAACACAAGGCACAGCTGAGGATGATTAGCTTTGCAGGTATTTGGTTGTAAACTTAAGTAATAGACAAATGTGATGGTGCTAGAGGAAAAGTCAGTGGAAGACTTTTTTTTTTTAAGTTAACAAAATGTAAGAATCAGAGGTAGGATATAATGCTGGATGTTCACAGCTTACTGCAGTTATATTGGAGTTAGGTAAAAGAAACATTTTTATCCATAACAAATCCTGTATCAGGTTTTACACTCACTATTCTTTTTTTTTCCCTTGTGGTCGTGATCTCATTTTGGAACAAATCTGAGATTTTTTACTGTGAGTAACCTTGATAATATGTGTGTTTGCTGCAGGTCTGGACGACTGCTTGCAGCAGTATGTGTGTGTGTTTGAGCGCGGAGGTGTGTGTGGGGAGAGGCTGCTGAGGATTAGCCACGCCGAGCTGGAGGAACTGGGAGTTTCTCGCATCGGACACCAGGAGCTCATTCTGGAGGCCGTCGACTTGCTCTGTGCTCTGGTGAGTTTGTGTGTGTGTGTGTGTATGTTTTGTTTTTTTTTAGTTTGAATGCAGGGCTGGACTCCCATTACCCGTTTGTACAGCTGCAGATGTAATGTATGCCGTTCTGCTTGAATGCCCAATGTAATAGATTGCAGGAGGTAAATTGTCAGTGTCCTGCATCAAATCTGTGAATCTCCCAATTCTCACTGTAACAATCTAAAATAAAAATGGAGTTTGCAACTATAAATCCATTTCATATTATGGAGGAAGAAGTTTAAAGTATGGGGGTTTGCAAAAATAGAATTACTGGAAAAGATGCACCTGATTACTTGGGTATATTTACTTAATTGTGAAATGACAACCGGTGTATTATATGGTTAGACTGTTGGGTAATAAAGAAAACTAAACTCAATTCATATAATGTATGATTATTTGTTGAATTTGTATATTTATATAGTGTATGTATATATATATATATATATATATATATATATATATATATATATATATATGTCACCATGACTACTACAAGCGAAGCTTGGAAAGAAAAACAAAGAATCCCACACACTGTTGTGATGTTGTTGTTCGTATTGTTCATATAGACAAACAGCAACACTTTAGACTTTCCTGCATACATATTAAGGTCAATGAGCTCTTCAAATATAAATCCAAGCACAGTCGCACACTAACATAAAGTTACTTTACCAATAAAGACGGTTCACATTATACAAAAGGGGCCCTCTAGGGACATTAGATAACTTTGTTCCACACAAAAACATGACATAATTACTATATGGGCACCATTATAATGCTGTAGCTGGTGGAAGTGAAGCTACTGGTAACTGCTTTGTATATTATTGGATAGATTAATCTACAAGAATGCATCACATTTAAAAGGTAACTATGTTTTGTATAGAAAAACCTGAATCTGCAAAATAACTACTAACCATAACTGTTGAATAAAAGTAATGTTTCTGTCTGAGATGAAGTAAAAGTATCTTAAAATTGTACTCAAGCACAGTACTTGAGTAAATGTACTTAGTTCCATTCCACCACTGCCTTGTTCCTCTCTAATATAAAGTCATTAATATTCCCCAGACTCCTCAAGAAAAACCTGGTAAACATGTTGACAAATGAGACTCTTCATTTTTATTCATGGCCGTTCCCCTGTCTGGAGTTTCAGCTAATTTGTGTTTGTGTGTGTTTATCTGTGTGTGTCTGTGCGTGTGCGCAGAACTCAGGTCTGGAGACGGAGAGCGTCAGGACTCTGGCTCACAAACTCGGCGCCTCGGCCAAAAACCTGCAGAACTTTATTTCCGGCCGCCGCCGAAGCAGCCAATCGGAGAGCAGAAGCTCGCGGCGGCTTCCTAACGATCTGCTGACCTCCGTGGTCGACCTCATCACCGCCGCCAAGAGCCTGCTCGCCTGGCTGGACAGGTAATAAGTTCAAATGCTCTCTGTTTTTTACGTATGGTGTGTTGAGTTGACAGGTTGGATTTTTAACAATTTTTTTCTCTCCAATGTTTACTGCTGTTACATCAGAGGGATTACTATTCCATTTTATTATCAGATATTATTTATAGGCAGGTTTCCATCCAACTTTTAACCAAATTAAAAAATTCAGCTAAAGAAACTGCAGATTAATCCACGCTTCCATCCACTGCTTGTAGCATAAAAACGTTTTGTTTTTTTCCCCCAATATTTCACTTTTTTTCCACTCCACTGTTTTATTCACAAATTGAAAATGCATATATAAAAAGCAGGTGGATGGGAACCTACCTAATGACATTAACAATGTCTCCAGAACTCACGTGTCATTCATTTCATTATTTACGCCTCTGCTTTTCCTGCTGCGACGTGCCAAAATGTCTTCCTCTGAAAAAAAGGCCCATTAGAGACGCAGTACACCCACACAGGTGTGTTCAGTGATTTCAGTTATAAGAATATAATTTGGCTGCATTATCACAGTGCAGGCAGAATGAGAAGAACAGGAAAACTTTTTGTTATTCTAACTTGGGAATGTTCGTGACTCAATTAGATGATTTAGTTTTTTTTTTATGTCTATTCATTTGTTAAAAAGTGACACAGACAGTGAGTAGCTCTATTAAATTAGCTCAATTAACTGTATTGGTGTTAATGTTGGATTTATCTAGATGTAGCAGTGGCGGCTCTGCAGTGAGATATCATTGCTATTAGAAATAGGGATGTCTTAAATTGGAATTATAACTAGGAGACTGATGTGAATGGTTTTCGGGACTTTGAGGTTTAACTGAAACTCTGCCTTATGTTGTATCTTCTGCCTGTTAACAATGTGATAGAGTAGATTGCTGGTGCTGAATGGGGCCCATCAGTCTACTTCATTAGATGCTTTCAGCTGGGGAATGGGAGAGGCCGCAGTAGTTATGTTTGGTAACCAGGTTGGTGCAGACTTTTCATGTTTGAGGGTTAGTTTCAGAATCACTGATTTATATTTTATCCTGTTGTTCGTTAATGACTTTCCAAGTCAATTACAATCAATCAATCAATTAATCAATCAATCAGTCTCTTGTTCTTTACTGTCCCTAAGGGGGAAATTTGCTTTGTAGCCATGGCGACATCAGATAATCATTTATCAGTTACATACAACAGTGAAAACACAACCTCCAGACAGTGAGTGAACCACTATGAATACAAATCAGAATCGTGTTTGTCTCCTAACAACAAAAAACAAAAAACGCCCAAAATAAATAAAAATGAAAAATTTCTACCCAGATCTGAACAAACAAAGACACAGAAATCCTCAAATCCAGAATAAGAGATTGAAGTGACAAAAGAAATGTGTGTGCTGAAATATTGAGCAGCACTAAACGCAACACAAAGTATGACAGAAAAAATTGGCTGCAAGTAAAGTTTATAGATAGATAAACTAGAGTATGTGCTAAATATCTAAATATACACTGTACATTAGTGCAGCAACAATTTACGATTATTAATTAAAGTCATTTAGGCTCTTAAACATTTTATTTTTCAGGTTTTTTTGTCTTTTATGATTGTAAAGTGAATATCTTTTAGTTTCCGACAGTTGGTCGGAGAAAATAAGACAATTAAAGATATTTACCTTGGACTTCAGGAAAATATGACGGATATTTTTCTGAATTTTACATCAATTGTAATGTATGAAATAATTAATATGGAAACTAGAGTTAGAAATCTTTAAGTCTTAAGTCTTTAATCCAGAAGTTTTCTACTACATTTCTCTATTTGTACAACTAAAGCTCACATCTGCTAAACACAAACTCAGCTGCACCTTCTGCTGCAGCTGTTGGCTGCCGACATCTTTTGAGAAATATGTTGTTGTTTTTTTTCAAAGGGATAATATCAGACCTTTTTTCTCACCATGTCTCTGTCTCTCGCCCTCGCTCTCTTCTTCTCTCTGTCACTTCATTTATTCATGACTCAACACGATCCCCTGCACACGACACACACACACACACACACACACACACACACACACACACACACATCAGATACAGAACTAAAGGTCTTAGACATTGGCTCTTGAAATGCCAGGCACCCACATCTGTCCACACACCATCTAGATAAACACACACACACACACACCCAGAGAGAGAGAGAGAGAGAGAGAGAGAGGCATAAATGCATAGAGCCATGTCCATAAGCACACTCGACACAAAGTTGAGGTGTGTTAGACCCATAGAAACGCCCACACGCTCGTACGAACACTCACTCGCAGACACACACACACACACACAAACACACACACACCCACATCCGCACGCACTGACACACACTTATGCAAGCGCGGGCGCGGGATCGCCCACGCAGCAATGGTGATGCAACTGTAAATGGCAAAGCGACAGTGAGAGAGGGATGGGTGGACGCAGAAGAGCCGCCGCTTCATGCTCTCTGTTCAGGTTTAGGTTTTTTTTTTATGGTTTTATCCAGCTTATTATACACAACCGAAACATGGACAAAAGAGCATCTGCGTGAGGGCACGCTGGTAGATTTAACATGCACATGATCCCACCAGGGCTTTTATTTCAGTGAAATATCATCTGCAAATGATTTTAAACCACTGAGCAAAAAAAAAAAAAAAAGAGCGAGTAAAACAAGATGAATCTCTTATGGAAATAAGAGCTGCGTGCTGGATGATATGCCGAGCTCATTAACAGACACTAACGACGGGGAAAAGGTTATGATTTCCACACACGTTAGGCTTGAATCTAGTCTTGCATTAATACCTGCAGGATGACTCCTTCCTAAAAGGTTTACAACAGAGGCAAATTAGCATAAAGCCTGTTCAAACTGAACTTTCATCTCTCTCTGATTGCCGGTTGTTAGACCTCTCAGGGACGGAGGAGAAGCGCAGCATCGGTTCACCGCTCAGGCATCTTCAAATGCTTCTCGTTCCTTCGTCTGAATGACTCGAGAAGATATTTTGCAGCCTTTTTCATGTATAAAAGACCAGCATGAGTACAGTGCACATCGTCTTCTACCCTGGTGTCTCTTTATCTGTATACTTTTATTCTTCTCTGGGGTGACAAACACTGTTTTGATCTGCACGCAGAGCCACAATGCAGGAGACAAACACCTCCTCTTTAAAGCTGTCAGGAAGAAAAGTGGGTTCATCTCTTCAGGTTGATTGAAATTTGCAGCCCTATTTCTGCTTCTTTGAACTCCTTATTTCCTCTTTATATGCACATTTGAAAGCACCTATCTATGAATTAATAACATGGCCATAGAGGCTGGAGTTTATGTGTGGTGTATTTTGCTGATAGCTTCAAAATGTAGTAGTAGTTTCTTTCTTTTTTATATATATATATATATATATATATAAATTGCTATTTATAACCGATGTAGTGAATGAGCAGACTTTTCAATTTTCATCCAAATATGGGGATAGGGCCAAGTGGTATTGATTGAATCAATGCCCTAGAGGGGGGAGGTATAAAAATTGATGTGGTGATATTTTGGGATGCGACACTCTGGAGTGTTGCGTGATTTGATAAGCACTGACCCGTGTAGTATATACAGCCAACGTGTCAAACAGAAAGAAGAAGTAGTTGAGGTGTGATAGTTGGGATGTGCGACATCTTGTCCATCTTGTAAAAAGTTGGCACAGGAGATGTGAGGGGAGAGGGTGTGGGGAATGTGGAAGATGGCGGAGGTTTAGGGAAATGAGTTGTTGCCCCCCCGGGTGGAAACGTGGAGTCATCTCTGCTGATCTTTTGTCTGTATTGTCGTGAACTCACTTCGCTCTGTACAGTAGCTGTAAAACACAACAGCGTGTATGCATCAGATGATGAGGAGGAGGAGGGGAATGGTATGACTAATTTTCTATATTGGGAAACCTTCAGGTATATTATCGCTCCATTTACCACTGGAAAAAAAAGGAAGGTTGTATTCTGTTGTATTACAGCGTGATTGTAGGTAGTAGAAAGTAGAAAACGGTGAGCATCATCATCATCATCATCATCCTCATCATCAGCTTGAATGCCAAAAAAAATCTTGCTCTCTGCCGTATCTGTGTATGGCAACTAAAGCATGGCTAAGACCGGGGACACACTGTGCATTTGAATCATGGTGAAGGTGTTGTTGGGGTTAGCCAACTAATCCTGCAGGAAAGTCAGGTGCGCTACGTGGCCCATCCACCACCCTGACCTCCGCACACTCCCTCCACCTCGCTACGTACAGGTCAAGCTGCTTTTTGCACTAACTACACACTTCGTCCCGACCGAGAGCTCAACGCACTGCGACTGACGACAAACACATGAAAATGGACAAACGTGCTGCAAATTCAGAAAACATCTTCATCAATTTGACAACACACTCGCTGCAGATACACACAACTTCATTTACCTTAAGTGTCATTTCACCTCCTGCACTTGGACTCGGGCGTTTCTCTTGCTGTCTGTCTAGCCAGTGTCACTGCCTCTGAGCTGCCTCCTGTTGGGGGGGGGGGCAGAAGTGTTTTCTGAGTGTTGTTTGAGGGTTTCGGAGCCTGATGGTTGAGCAAAACAGTCTGTGTAGCCTTAGGTCCTGCGTATATATAGCACTCAGCCTCAATACTGATGAGTTAAATCACACACACACACACACACACACACACACAAACCACACACATAAATCATACACTAGAGGCTGTGGCCGAATTTTAATCTGGGTCTTTAGAACAATGAAGCAAAGTAATGGCGTGTGTCTTTTGTGTGCGTTTTCTGTTGTTCATTTCATCACTGTGTTGTGTTTGCAGCCATAATGTTACACACATGTCATTAGGCCTGAGTGTGTATTGTCTTATGATAATGACTTCTGCTGTACAGCTCTATAGCTCAAGAGCTTTTCATGTCTGCATGTGGTCTGCATGAATCCATTAGGAGCCCATTATCTGCATCTTATTCTTATCGTTAACACCTTGTTCACACCTGAATAGTCTATGTTGCACGACACCAGGGTCCCCATTTAAAAACATTGTGTTTGCAGGGAAAAAAAAGAAAAAAAGTGGCTTTTAAGACCCTCTTTTTTTCACAGGAAAATAGGATTTAAAAAAAAACAAAACAAACTTGACAGCTGAATGTTCTCTTTAGTGGAAACTGTGCACACAAACACGTGGGAGACATGATGATGCCGGTGGCGAAGTAGCATAATAAATCCAAAGTGGTCTAATAGCGCTTTTCACACAGTTTAGTTCAGTCAATTTAAAAGCACAGTCTTTTAAAAGAAGATCCAGGCCTATAAGCTGTGCTTTTCTTATGTTCGTTTGTTTTATTTGTTTCCAAAACCTGGACTGAGATGACAGTCAGTCAGTGTGAGGGGGTGTAAATTGGTGCACTCGGAACAGGGTGGCCTATTTACCTGGTTCACTAATGCAGCTTCATTCATCCATCCACTGGAGCCGTGTCCTCCTCTCTCTGTGGAGGAACATCACTTAAACGAGAGAGTGTTGGCAAAGTTTCTCTCCAGTAATGGTTTGGCTTTCTGAGCTGGTATTGTTCATATTACTGAGGTGTCACTTCCAATAACTCTTATTTGTAAGCATTAATGCTCATCCTGGAGCTTATTTGGAGCCTTTGTTTTCTTGGTCACACAAGTCTTTCACATGCTGAATGCGGTACCCTGAAGGCGTAATCCTAACCGCAGCGGTCCGGGTTCGAGTCCAACCCATGGCCCATTTGTGCCATATCATCCTCTCTCTCTCTCTTTCTCTCTCTCTCTCTCTCTCTCTCTCTCCTCGACTTTCCTGTCACTCTCACTCTCTCTATCGGCACTTGTTATTCAACGCTTTTAACTTCAAAAGCCACATTTGGGCATTGAACAACAAGTCCCAGCCATGTTCATCACTTTTTGGTGTCCCCCTGGAAACACTTCCAGTTGTTGTTGTTGTTGTTGTTGTTGTGTGTTTTTGCAGCGAGTGTGTTGTCAAATTGATGAAGATGTTTTCTGAATTTGCAGCACGTTTGTCTCTTTGCATGCGTTTTCTTAAGTTGCAGTGCGTCGCTCTCTCAGGGCCACCGTACAATAGACATGTCATTAATCATTTTGATTAAATGTAGTATTTAATTTACTATCATGAGATCAAAGCAAAAGCAGCAAAATGTTACATTTGAGAAGCTGAAAGCAGCAAACGTTTGGCATTTGTGCTTTAAAAATGACTGAAAAAAACCAATCAGTTATTAAAATATTTGCAGATTAATCTAATTAAAGCTAATTGTCGCAGCTCTGCATCCTACATATGCAACACGTCTCATACGCCGATTCATTCACTCATGAATGAGTCGTCGACAGCTTCCACTAAATCCATTGCACTCACCGACTAGACTGAGTATGTTTGCACAAGATGTCTGTTGCGTGTCAACTTCCCCCCTTTCTCTCTAACTGTGCTCCTGTCCGTCTCCTCTGTACATGATCCAATGCAGCAGAAACAATATAAGACATGCTGGTGTGCTATCTGTTCCTCCCAGGTCTCCCTTTGCTGCAGTGGCAGACTACTCAGTAACCCGAAATAATGTCATTCAGCTCTGCCTGGAGCTCACCACCATTGTACAGCAGGTGTGTGGAATTGTTTGTGTCTGGCTGACTCTGTGTGTGTGTGTGTGTGTGTGTGTGTGTGTGTGTGTGTATGTGTGTGTGTGTTTCAAAGGCTGATAGCTCTTATTCTCCTCCACTTGAAGTGCGAGGCAGAGGATAGCTGCCTTGGGTTGTCACATACCCCTATGAACAGTGTGTGTGGGTGTGATGCAGCAGCCTCAGACTCCCGCTCGCTGCATCCGTGCACGAGACGTTTCTATTTACATCCTTACAGTCTGTCTTTTCGTATGACTGATGTGCGTATAAATATATAAAAGATAAACGTGTCTGTTTGTGTGGGTGTGTGTTTATCTGCGAGGGGTATAGAGTGTGTGCAGGTGTAGGGCTCAGTAATGTGAGGCCCGGACAGTATACAGAAGTAGCAGAGTGAGCAGTATGAGATGGTGTGTGAGTATTTGCAAGACAGGATGTTCTGCTCGCGCTACATTAAATTCTGCTTGTCCCCCAGGACTGTACGGTGTTTGAGACGGAGAACAAAATCCTTCATGTGGTGAGTCCAGCTTCCTCAGCCAGCTGTCGCTTATTTGCTTATTTTTTTACCTTATTCCCGGAACCTCAAGCTCCGGCTCTGGTGTTTTTCAGGAAATATGAATGGTGCTCGCAGCAGCATTGTCAAAGGATACGCTTTTTCATTTTCAAACAGCCAGGAGGCAATTAGCGTAGCTTAGCATAAAGAGTGGAAGCAGGGGAAAACGGCTAGCATGGCTCTGTCTAAAGTTCAATAAAAAACCCACAGAAGTAGAAGTGCTGGATGGATGAATAAACAGTGTTGGACTCATTTACTCAAGATCTGTACTTACTTCTGATTAAGTTGTTAAACTTTTCCTCCACTACATTTTGAGGCAATTGTTACACTTTTTCCTGCGGTAGTGGTTTTTAGTCATGCAGATAGTTTTATTTTTGTTCCCATCCCAATACAATGAAAGTGAATGGAATTAAATGACATTTTAAAAATACATTTTTCAAAAAGAAAAAAGAGGTTGTTGCGAGTCAGTGCTCTCTGAACCGGGTTGCGGCTGAAGTTTAATTGACCTTTTTACGGGAGACGTTTTGACTCGTCAAACACAGGTGTGTCCAATAACATCACTAATTGCCGCATTGCCTTGCAGTAATTGCTGGAACGGAGCCATCGTTACAGTCATTAGTTCCACCTGTGCTTCTCCTGTTAAGACAAGCCAACGAATCTGCTGTGAAAAAGACTTTGGGATTCATTTGGTAACAACATTAAAGCAGCAGTGCTCTGATACTAACAAGGCTGTCGAGGCTCAGCGTAGGTGAAGATTTATTCAGCAAAATGTCACTTAAAGTACAAGATGGACACTTTCTTTTATTTTTTTTTTACTGTGGACAAAATAAAACCTGGTTATAAAAATCCACAATATGATGAATATCACACTCCTGAGTTTCACTGTAACTACAGCAGGAAAGTTTCTTGAAAAAGTTTGCGAGCCACTGCTGTAGATTATCCCCCCAAAAAAGAGAGACTGTCAGCACTCATTATTCTGACTGCTTTCTACCATTGGCAGCATTTTGTGTGGAGTCTTTTGTTATTTCTGGGGAAAAAAATAATATTGCTCTTAAATGGTATAGTAAAGGTATAATTTTTCACAGCTGTGGGCACCACAAATGAAATTCACCCCCATGATGTTGGTGTGGAGGCAGAACCACTGAAAACAAATGAAACTAAAACTATCTGCATGACTTGCTGCTTCAGATAAGTGAGAAAATATATTCTCTTTTTATAATTTGGGTGAACTGACCCTTTTTAAATTCCACGGCAAACCAGCATTAAAGCACAGCTGTGTTGATACAGGGGGGCAGCCATTGTATTCAGATTTGGAGGGAAATCTGCTGCATAAAACATTCAAATACGCTTATTTTCCTCAGCGAAGCCAAAAAAGAACACGCTATAAATAAAGAAACAAAAGCAGTAACACACTTTTGTTAGGAAGCAAAAGAGGTTTATTAAAAACGTATTCTAATATTGACGATTACGAGCTACAGGGTATTCATTTTATTTTATTTTTTTCTCGTTTTCATCTCCATTTTCTTAATAAAGCGCCACTAGTGACCCTGTTTTAATAAAGGCTCTGTGCAGTGTTGCATGTCCTCTCTCATTTTCTTCTTCTTCGCCTGCAGTGTAAGACTCTGTCGGAGGTGTGCGAGCACATTGTGTGCGTGTCATCGGACCCACTGGTTTCTCAGTCGGCCCACCTCGAGCTGGTTCACCTCACCAACATCAAACCCTCTGAGGGCCTGGTAATGACTGACTGTTTGTCTGTGTGCACACTGGGCTTTGGGGTTTTTAAACCGGTAACTTCGCTATTTTCGGGTTTTATTTAACAACATTAACAGCCGCTAAAAGCTAACCTTTAGCCATCGAGTTCAACATTACAACTTTTGAATGAAGCCCAGTAGCCAATGGCAGCCTGTTGACAATGCTGTGTGTTGTCTTTGAGGTCTACAAAGATAATCAATATAATACATTAGAAAACACCCACTGAATGAGAGTAGTATGTTATTGTGTCCCCTTAAATACTTAAGGAGCAGGCGTCAAGGCAATGACTCTTCACTCATCTTTCTCAATAGCACAAAGCTGATGTGTGTTGTAGCTATTTTTGATGTGAGGTAAAGTTACTGTGGCTTTGTTTCTGTGGATAATCATTTTTGTGTTTTTTTTTTTGCATCAGTTCACCTGATTTACACAAAACCCTCTTTAATGTCCGTCTGTCCATCAGGGGATGTACATCAAGTCGACCTACGACGGCCTCCACGTGATCACAGGAACTACTGAGGGGGTGAGACGCTCGCAATCCTGTTTGTCACACGTTCACATACTAAATTCCAGCAAAGCACTCAGTCTTTACTGTATCTGTGACATAAATAAACCGCCAATGAAGTGGATTTACCACCAGGCCCAGGGAACAAAGACTAGAGAAAACCAATCCTTTCTCCGAATATCTGCAAAACTGACATTTAGATCTATAAGAGCGTATCAGATTCCATAGAGATGACTCTGCGAGGCAGTCCCTCTGTTATATTATAGCTTATTTAAGTACACTTTGTTGTGAAACTTCCCCACTCTGGAATGCAGGGATCGATGAACTCAGATCACTTCTCTCTCTCTCTCTCTCTCTCTCTCCCTCCCTCCCTCTCTCCTCTCTGGCTCTGTAGTCTCCAGCTGACCGCTGTAAGAAGATCCATGCGGGAGATGAAGTCATCCAAGTCAATCACCAGACTGTGGTTTGTTTTCTTATTGTGTATGTGTGTGTATGTGTGTGTGTGTGTGTGTGTGTATGTGTGTATGTGTGTGTGTGTGTATGTGTGTGTGTGAGTGTGTTTTCTTATAGGTTCTAAATATATCTTTTTGTGTCGGTTATATTTTTCTGCTGAACGAGTAGTTTGACTTTTTATACTAGAACTGCATTTTTCTGCTAATACTTACTTTCACTTGAGTGGGATTTTGCCTGCAGGGCTTTGACTTTCAATGGAGTATTTTCACATTTTGTATTTGGTATTTTGACTTAAGTAAAATATCGGAATACTTCTTCCATCTCTGTTCAGGTTTATTCATTGATTTTGTCATGTGTGCGAGAGTAAGTTATGTGATCTTTCAGAATTCATCATGTACATGGTGAATCTAAATATCTCACCTGAACAGGACAAGCTTTATGTTAATAGGATAAAATGTATGTTAAAGGACCTTTCTGTCTTTTTAAATACAGTAATATATTACAGTTTATAACTAAAGAATTTGGCTTATTGTTGTAAAATCATCACTTTGTATGTTTTTCAAATGATGAAAATGTAATTAATATAAAATATGTGCCTGTTTTTACAGATATTGCAGATGTAAACAAAACTTTAAAGCTGCTATGATTAATATTTTCATCATAACAATGAATCAATGAATGATAATGTGAACAGGGTCATTTGTAATGATGATTCTACAGATAATTATCAACAACTCTGCACTTTCTCCTCAGCTCTACAGAGTGTTTTAGCTAATTGGTTTGATTTTGATTTAACTTAAATGTTGTGGTTCATGTTCAAAAATCAGTAATTCATGGGTTTAATATCATGAGAAAAGATTCATGAACAGAAACTTTAAAGTAAGATTTTAACAGTAAGATGAAGTTATTTATCAAGTGTTTTTTAAAACTAATTATGTATCAGAATAAATCCCTTAGCACCTTAGCTCCAGTTCTATGTGTTGAATATTTTGTGGTAGGGCCACCCATCTGTTCACATCTGTATTGCAGAATGTGCCCTTAGTTTACAAGGTGCAGATGAACACGGCATGCATTTGAATTAGTGTAATCAGATCCCGCCAACCCTTCCCTGCACCTCCTCTTGCGTTACGATCAGATCTGAGGTGAATAGAGTGGCTGCAATTAAGAGAATTTGTTCGTCTTTATGACAAAGTTATCTCCCCACAAAGGTCAGATAAATATAAAGTCACAGAGATAGAGCAAAGAACCTCACAGTGGCCATTTTTATTCTTGTTTACAGTAGGTTTTTCTTCACAAATCTCCTACAAACAAGGAGTGTTGGCATAGTTTTGTGCAAAACGTGGCTGAAAATGAAGGAAAATATATCATAAGAAGTATTTGTTTTCAAATTGAGGGCAGGTTACATCACATGAAAGCTCTATAGATAGACTTACCACCTCCACACCCACTTGCCTTGCACAGAAGGCTCAACAAGCGAGATCCAATCACGACATGGCCAGAATTCAAACTTCATGCTGAATACGAATGCTGGTTATAACTCAAGTTGTGATTGCATTGTTCGATATCCAGATGAGGATATTTTCCAGCAGGTCAGTGGCACTGTGTGATTTGATCCTCTGTCCTCTCCCATCCACAGGTGGGCTGGCAGTTACGTAACCTGGTCGGCTCGCTGAGAGCCGATAAAGGCGTCGTGTCCCTGACCCTGAAGAAGCGTCCACAGAGCACGCTCAGCTCCGCCCCCGCTCTGCTCAAGAACATGCGCTGGAAACCCCTGGCTCTGCAGGTGGGACCGGCTCTACCTTTTATAGACTTTATTAAAGCACCGCACTGGCCCACATAATTCCCCACAGCATTCGCTCCCTCCCCGCACGACTGCAGCCAAAGTGTGTAATTAGGTCAGGGTACTGTGGCTCAGCATTGGTTTTGTTTGCCAGCTGAAATGCACTGGAAGGAGTAGGAAGGGAAAATTGATGGCACACTCCGCCCACATTCCCCATGCTCCCTCGAATTATGAAATGTATCTCCGTCATTAACGCTGATTATCTGCACGATCAGGGGGGAAAACAGTTGTGCCGCCCCCCCCCCATCACAGTCTTTTGTGACCACATTAGCCACAGATTCATCAAGGATAATTCATGTTTATTATAACTTGGAGCGTTATTTTTGTAGTTTGGGCCGTTACTTCTGTTGAGTATTGCAGACTAACACTGCAGTGACAAAAGTAATTGCAGAGATCGGGCAATGCGGTGAACATTCAGTCAGTACAATCAAACAGGTTGTAAGCAGTTTATCCAGGTTATGTAAACCACTTCATTTGAAGGTGAGTTTTGAATGTGAGCACAGCTGACATGTGCAATAAGAAAACAACTGGCTGCACAAAGATGAGATTTCTGCTTTTTCTGAAATGATTTCGAACACTATAATTTGGTTTTACAAGAGACAAGTCTTCAAGGATGAAGACTAGCTGGATGGTTCTGCAAATATTAACTATCCCACCTCCGATAAAGAGCAGCATGCAGCCGTTTCCTTAAGCTTTTTTTATGGAGTGTCTCCTCTGCAGTGGATGGGACTGTCCCAAACGCCTCATGGGAAGCAGGCCAGACAATGACTTAGATAGTTATGAAAATGGTCTTGGAGTTATAATTCAGCATCTTTCACAGTTCTGTTTTTAAGAGTAGGCTGATGTGATTTGTTCCTCCTTGTTTTATTAAGTTTGGCGGTAAATTTTGCTGATCTTACTTTATTGTTTTTTGGCCACTAATCTGGTATTTGTGTTTCATCTTGCTTGTCACTGTGCTGGTGTCAGACTGCAGAGTTTTCCTGATGTCTAAAAGTCACTGACAGTATGTGGAACCAAGGGAAATATGAATCAGCAAAGATTTTAAGCTATATGTACAGTTGTATGCAGAACTTTGCTGTATGCAGGATATTATATTATTATATTATATATAACAGTTCAGGTAATAATTTTACTTCTTGCCTTTGTTTCCTTTTCCTAAAAAACATCTGGTTAACCCAGGGGTTTGTTTAAAACCTGTCGACCACCTGACTGCTCGTGCTTCATGCCATGTTCCCAGAGCTCAGCTAATTCAGCTAGACAGTGATGTTATTACATGTAGTAATGATAGTTTTTACATAGTTTTTTTTGATTAGTCTGTCCAGGGAATCACCAACCACAGGTGGCCTAACCAGTAGCTACCGCACAGGAAAAGCTTTAAGATAATGTAGGTAGCCATACAGGTGTTTTTGGTCAGGACTGAGTAATAACAAGTGGTTTGCTTGTTACTTGGGAAATATTTTGAGTCTTATAGAAAGTCCTTTTTATTTCAAACAGCATTGTGTTTTCAGCACAAGTTACTTTTACGTTACTTCTCTGATTTGCCATCACCAAGGCCAATATCATTCAAGGGTAAAACTTTACTTTAAGCAGCACTATTTACCATTTGTAATGAGTATAATGCATTTAATCACTGGTTTATAACAGACTATAACCTGTGTAGAGGCTGATATATAAACAGATAATGAATGAAAACACAGCTGTTGTAATGTAAAATAGTCTTATAGGAGAAGTTGCTGACAAAAACATTACATCATGTACGTTAATCAAAACTTAAAACGTCCTTTTATGTGCCGCTTATGACTTCATTATAGTTTGTCCTAAAGCTAAGTCGGGGGACTTAAAGGAAAAAGTTACCTATTCAACTGAGTAACTCAACACAGGGCAAATGGTTTGTTCTAACCACATGAATCCACTTTTGCTCTCCGCAGCCAACCAGAAGCCCAGGCAGCAGTTCAGCCACACCCTCAGGCACACCCACCAAGAACTCGGCCCTCCAGGACCTTTACATCCCCCCTCCACCTGCTGAGCCGTACACACCCAGGTACTGTGTCTGTGTGTCAGAGAAGAAAGAACAAATTCAACTCATAACAAGTAGAACCGGTGACATCAAAGATAAGCTCTGACGTTGATGCCCATTTTGTTTTCCCGGTAAACCTGCCTCTGCTGTTGCCGTAGAGATGAAACGGGAGCCTTGTCTGGAGATGAGGCATCTCGTAACCACGGTGGCGTCAGTGTTGCTAAGCGCTCTGAGTCACCAAACTCCTTCCTGGATCAAGAGTCTCGCCGGCGAGAAGAGGAGGAGCCTGTGTACTGCACCACGCCTACATATGGTATACACTCTTGTGATGACTGAGACTGTGAGGAAGAAAGTGGAGGGAGGGGATGGGGGGCATTGAGTTCAGTCTCATTCTGCTGCAGTCAACCACTTAATAAAAAAAAAATAATGAGGGTAGGAATCGACCTGCCAGGCCAAGGCGGTGAATAAAAAGTTTTAGAAAGTGATGGACCTCTACACAGCACAGATTAAATGAAAACATTTTTTGCAGGAATCCGAAAAATCACTATCAGCATTTAAAATATGACTCTGAGGAAATTATCAGTTCGGTTTAGACCTTTCAGAATAAAAGGTGTATGAGAACAACAAGAAAAACTGCAAGACACAGAATAAAAATAATAAAAAAAGATGTGCGAGGAACCAAGAGGCATTTACTGCACATGGGATAAACGAAAACTTGAACTTGTTGCATCTAATTTTTGGAAACCTGTCATGGACTGAGCTTAGAGAAAGCCATGTTTCCTACATTCAAACATGAAGTTTTGTAAATGTGCGTGTCTCTGCGTGTGTTTGTAGGCAGGCTGAGGCCCATCTCCATGCCTGTGGAGTGTAACTGGGTGGGCGACTATGAAGACCCAGCCAAGCTTAACAGAGAAAGCCGCAGAGGTGAGTGTCGGCGTGTGGAGTGCATATGTGTGAGTGTGCACCTCCTGAAGAGCCTGTTACAGTCTGTTAAATGTCCCCATCTCTCCGTATTATGAATAGATCAGTGTGCACGGAGATCAATGCGCCTCCATCCCCTTCTCTAATTCTCTGTGATTAGCATCACAGAGAAATGAAATAAGAGGGGATGAGAAGGGAGGGAGAGAAAAAAAAAAAAAAAAGGTAGACAGTCGGCACAAAGGGAGAGAAAATGAAAGGGAGGGAAAATAAAAGTGACAGAAAGAAAGGAAGAGAGATGGGATGGGGAGAGGAGAGAGAAAAGGACGGATGAGAGGAGGGCGCAGAAACGGAAAAAAAAAAAACTATTCCCCCTGACCTCCACCTGAATCACTCACACAGTTGCCATGGCGACGCTGACAGCAGCTCTTCTCTGTGTCTCACTTTCCTCTGGCCGCTGCCTAGCAACCAGGGAAGGACAGGAGGGTGGGAACCGTTGAGAAGAAGGGTAGAGAAACCTGGGTTTCCTCCCCAGCGGGAAGAAGTTGGTCGAAAAAGACGAGAGAGACTTAAACAGAGAGTGTTTCTGAACAGATTCGATAAACACTCAGTCATGCTGCTCTCATGTGTTTCTCTCTCTCTCTCTCTCTCACACACACACACACACACACACACACACACACACACACACACACAGAGAGAGTCACAAAAAACAGCATAATTGCCTCTGATGCTGTAACACAGGGAACAGAATATAGATCCATCAGTCCATCCAAAACATCTCAATCTCTCATTCTGACCAAACTTGGTACGGCAGCACGTTTTGAGAATGAGAAAATCACACTCAAAGAAAAAGAGTTGGTGCATTTTCAGTTTAGATTTGATCGGCGCTGAAAGCTTTACAGACGTCGGCATTGTCTTTTGATATTTTCATAATAAACTGATTATCAATTACGATGCGCTGATTAAAGGTCAAAACTCAGATGTATTATCTCAAACAGCAGTCGTCTTCATTTTGATGAATCTTTGAGTGATGTGACATTTTGACTGTTTTATTTATATATTTTTAAAATTAGTCTCTAATTAACCCAACACTTCACAGACAGCACTGATGAAGAAAATGTGACAAGACTGAAAATTAAAAAAGCAAAGAGATCAATATGATAAAATAATACTGTTGACAGAATCACACTAATTAGAAGGTTTAAGCTACAGGTAAAAGTTTAAACTCAGACACATCACAGACACAACAGAAGTTTGATGTATTTGTGTGTATATATATATATATATATATATATATTTTGCCTCTCATTAATGTGAGCTGATTCGATGGTGTGTTTCACAGAAGCGTCACTCATGCGTTACGTGGGGCTGCCCGGCGGGGACGAGAGGACCGCCTCCGACGACTACTCCTCCCACACAGCTCGTCCGGGTAAACGGTCCAACGACACGGCCAAGCGCGCCAAGAGGCGGAGCCACCACAGCCAAAGCCCCTCCCACTACGTCCTGCAGACAAATCAGAGGGATTCTCCCCCCAGAGACCCAGCCTCCATTTATCACGTAATTCAGCTTTTTTTTTTTTGTCCTTTCATACAATAATTTTTGAAATCCAAAAGAACCAGCACCGTTAAATGACACTGTTTTGAATGTACTGTAAAATAATGTCTTACAATATATAGATTTTAAAACAATTTAAAAGTTTATGTTCAGATGATCGACTGTAACATAAACTATTTAACTAATCGATTAACTGTTTCAGTCGAAGGTTCTCTGGTTCCGGCTCCTCACATGTGACGATTCGCTAGTTTTTCCTCGACATACATGACGATACGCGACATATCTTCAGGATTTCACGTCTTTACTGTGGCCTCTGAGAAATTGTGCCATTGCAACTATTTTCTAAATATATTCATTAACATTTCAGAGACTAAACAATTAATTGATCCTCCAAGAAAATGTTGTGCAGAATAATCAATAATGAAAATAGTCGTTAGTCGCTGCCCTAGTATCGATCTTTTCATCTAAGTCTCAGCAAGAGAATAAATGAGCAATATTCCCAAAATGTCAAAGTATTCCTTTAATATAAGGTATATATAATATATAATATAAGGCTGAAACAGCTGAAAATGAAGGGAGGGGTTGTGTTGTATAGTTACATACTGCAACATAGTGCACTTTACAGAATAAGATACCAGTCATTTGTTCACAATAGTGTTTCTTAAATATCTTAAGCCAGCTGCTCCTCTTAAGACCGTGTGCTATTTGTATCTGTCATGTTAAGTTTTAGTTCACAGTTTTCAGTTTAAGTTTAGCATTACTTTGTTTCTTTGCACCCGCCCTCAGTCTGTTCTGTGTTGCACTGTCGTCCATGAGGAACAACATTTGGTTTCCCAGGACGTGCACACGTTTGGAAATGACAATCAAACTTCCTGTAGATCAAAGAGCAGAGGACGCAGTCAGGAACCTCCTCTGGCTTCGCCTCTGTTGCCTCCCTCAAGGAAAAAGTTTTACGAGGCAATGTGCTTCTTCTCTAATTTGTTTCTTAGACTGGATCTAACGTTCAGGACTCGGAGATGTGAGATTAAAAAAAGAAAAATCTTTTGACCCTGATGGAAAAAGTGCTGTAGTGAAGTGTGATCTGAGCAAATGCTGACTTGTTATTACCCCCTGTCACTTCCATGACATCTGTCCGCCCTGCCTGTCCGTCTGAGCTCGCCGTTCTCCGGTCCAGACAGTCGGTTTGGCCGGGAGTGACCTTATACATCTTGACAGCAGCTCTTTGGAAATTAAATGTGTTTGCATGTGTGTGTGTGTGTGTGTGTGTGTGTGTGTTTGCTTGCGTGCCCGTGTTCAAGTGTGCGTTTACAGTGTGCATGGACGCTGCGATGGCAGATGGCGTGTCAGTGGGTGTGGGCGGGCCCGTGTCATCTGTCTTGCTGAGCGTGGGGCTGCGAGCGGCCGAGCTCCAGGCTGTGACATGTGTAATATCGTGACATCAGAGCTGGTCTGCTGCCCCATCTGACCTGTCGGGAGAGGTCACGTCTGAAATATGCCGGCTGAGTGTTTTGGATCAGAGGTTTTCAGGCTGTGAGGCGGGAGAGAGAGAGAGAGAGAGAGAGAGAGAGAGAGACGTGAAGCAAAGACACTGAAAGGAGCATCAACACTCGTAACTCCTCCCTCTCAGAGTCATAACTGAAACCCACGGACGTGACACACACTCCTTTTTAGATTTAGTTACGACTTATACTTTCCCAGCATGTGATCATCTCTGATGTCTATTGAAAAATCGTCCATAAATCTGCCTTGAAATCACATAAAAAGTTGTATTGTACTGGTCCTGCAATTTCCAGCTAATATCCTGGAAACATTTCTTATATTTTCCTAAAGATTAACTGGTATTTAGCTGCTGATTACTTGGATTTTACCAAGAGAGGCCTAAATAATTTGGTGCTAATTATAAGGGACATGTAGAAGGTGTTAGTCGCTACAGTCATTAAATAAAGTGGAGAATAAATTAGAAAATTATGTACTAGGTAAATTTAAAATGGCTCATAAACAAACGTCAATATCCATCAGAGTTTCTCAGAAAGAAGAAAATGTGCCACAGTGAGTCACTTTACTTGGGAAATTGGGTAGAAATGAAGTGTAGCAGCTGAGTTTATAGCATGGAGTGTTTTATTTATCGATCAACACTATAGGTAAGCATGCAGTTCAATCAACATGCAGCGTAAACATCAATTAAATGAATATTTACCATCAACCCATGTGTGGCAGCTCAAAGTCATGAAGTAATCCAAGTAAATCATTTTTTTTTTTTCAGTCTTTCTTGGAAACTCTGATGGAAGCTGACGCCAGTTTATGGATTATTTTTCTCTTACCTACTGTGTCATTTACAAGTCTCCTCATAAAAAGTCTAATATAACAAACAGGTGCTCCTTTGTAATTAATACCAGATTGAATTGGCCTTTCTTGGAAATATCTTGGTACTTTGCAGCTAAATAGCAGTTAATTTTTTAAGGGAAATTATGAGGAAAGTTTCCAGGAGATTAGTTGGAGGATAAATGGGGTTATATGTTTGTCCTTCACATTTTGCCTACTGTAGGTTCGCTTGAATCCCAGAGGCCCCTGAGCTGTATTTTCTCACCTTTCCTCCATCACCTGGACGTCCTATTGTGCCACCGTTCCCTCCCCTCGCTTCCTGTCCCTCTGTTCTATGTTTAGAGGTGTGAGAGCTGCTAAAGTCCTCCACCAGGTTGACTTTTCCATCCCCTCATGTGCATGTGAGAGGAAGAGATAATGAGCGACAGAGTTTCCCCTTTTGTATCCATGTGCCTTCTGCCTCATCTCCTCCGCTCCCTGAGATCTGTCATGTTTTATATCCCAGGATTCTTTGCAGCAAACAAAGGCCACTGATTCAACCTGACAGCCTGCTCTCTCTCTCTCTCTCTCTCTCTCTCTCTCTCTCTCTCTCTCTCTCTTCCTCTCCCTCTCTCTCTCAGACATACCAGCAGTCCTCCTCTCTGCAGTCAAAGAACAGGAAGAAGAATAAAGGTAAGCAGGAAAGCCCACCTGTTCCGTTTAGCGTGAGCAGGAAGTGCCGTCGTGGCCAGATGCTCGCCAGATGTGGTCACTCGCTCCTTCACTCTCTCTCAGGGATGCAGAACTAATGGAGATCAGTGTGAAGGTGTGGGAGCAGCTGCTGCTTCCTGGAAAGAGATGTGCGGTTATGAGGAAAATTGAGACAAAGTGCTGAGACTTCTATTGGATATATTGTGTTTATAACAAGTTATTGATTTCCAGGAGGAAAATGCTGCATTTTTACCCAAGTAGATAATCATCCATTATTCCTTTTTAACTGTTGGAAACATTCAAAATTATATGTGCTGATTTTTGGCACGTTCATCTCACCTGCTGTGACCTGGGTAAAATACTCTGCAGGTAATCTTCACGACTAATTGGAAACAATTACCAAATAACCAATTTGACCATTTAGTAATTAGAATCAAATTCCATAGTCATTACTATGAATCTACAGTTCCATATCACTGCAGGAAACGATGGGACCAGTGAAATAATGTGTCAGTGTTACTTTTCAACTCTTTAATGCTGTTTTCACTTTGAGTAACTATGAGCGACATGTTTTGTAGACCCACCTGCTTTTGTTTAGTCAATAGATCAATATGATTCCAGCCCATGCCACAGCAGGGCCGTGGCCGGCAATAGAGGGAATATAAAGTAAATAAGTCAACGGCTGATTATCTCCATTGTCAGTCAATATGTCAGTGATTTTCTAGATTAACTGACCTGTCAGTTTGACCTTTTCAAATGTCACAAAATATTGCCAAATGCATGTCATGATTTCCCAGAGCGTCTTCAGGTTTTTTTTTGAACAAAAGAAAAACACACATCATAAAACAGAAGAAAGTTACACAAAAATATAAATTTGTCTGTATCATGGGAAAATAATACACAACAATATATCAAACATTCATGAAAGCTTTCCGATAAAAGACCGTTTTAACATATAGGGTTAATAATCTTTTCATACTGCACATTTAAAGAGGTTGCTGGGATAATCTAATTGTTGCACCTGATCGAAGCTTTTTGCTCATTTCATCCAATCTATATCCTGCCAGCTGGGAGTTCAGTTCAGCTCCAGTCTCTGCAACAAAAATCATTTCCTGGTCAAGAAAAAAACAAAAAGAAACAACATTTTCCTCACATGCTGTGCAGTGAGCACTGAATTAGCATTTTCACACATCATGGTTTGATGAGTTCAGACAGGACTGCGAGCGAGGCAGCTTTCAGTCTAGTTTGCTATACGATGTACCTTCAGTCCAGATGTTGAATCCAGTGATTCAGCACTTTCTTTACGTGAGAAGGGCGTCGCTATCAAGATGAAAACTACTTATGTTTAGGTCACATTTCATTACCGAGCATAAAAGGTCACTTTTTTTTTTTTTTTTTTTTTAATCATCCCTCTCACTGTGAGAGCGGTTCTTTAATTACTTTTGTAGAATTTTTCCTCTATTTCTTCAAACAATGGTTCAGATGATTGCATTTATTCATTTTCTCCCTCTTTTGTGAGGTGATTTCAGCTCCTAATTGTCCTTTTTTTTCCAACTGCCTGCTCCCTGTTTCTCTCTTTGACCAAACCTTTTATTTTTTTCCTTCCACCACACTATCGAGGATCAACATGTTGGGAGTGATTTTTTCTTTTTTTTTTTCTTTCACTGGCCTTTCACTTGTTTCACCATCTGCCGTTGTGAGAAACTCCGAAAGCTTTAGCTCCATCTGCACTCTTTCGACGACGGCGTTGTTTGTTTACAGCAATCGAACAAAACTTTGAAAATTATTGTGAAAATAAGGATTTATCGATGCTTTCAAGGTCCCATATTTTACAGTTTTCCTCCGTTTTGTTTGAAATGTTGATCCATAAGAAGATATATTTGTGCTTTTAAGAAACCGTCTCAATGTAGTTTTGCATCTCCTCCACACTTTTGCACATTTTCAGGATATATATTTTTCTCTATATCTGAATATATAACTTATTAATTGTCTGCAGAGCCTCCTCTTTTCACACTGCATGTTTCAGCTTTAGTCTCCTTGTGTGTAGCACTGTAGAAGAAAGCTCTTTCCTTTAGAGATCTACTGTGTGCTGCACTTCCCATTGCCACAGAATTAAATGGAATATTGAATTGCCTTTCCCCTTTAAAGTTGCAAGACTTTTGATACAGCACAATAAAAGTTTCTCCGTGGTCCTCAACTGGAAGCCAAGTCTCGCTAATCTCTAATGAGGAGCCTGCTAAGAAAAATGTTACAAGGCTTTTATGCCAGAAGGAAAAGCCAATTTTTATTAAACACCTCTTACCTTACTGCAGTGCAGCAGCGTTCTGTCAAATCCTCACACTGATCTCCAGCCAAGAATTATTGGTACATTAAGATGTGGCATTTTATGAATGTGTTTATTTGTACCGCGGTGAAAGACTTAAAGCCAGCACTTAAAAAGCAGCTTTAGCACTATGTTCCTGTTCTTTGTTTTCTTTCAGTTTTCTGATTTATATTCTCTGCTATTTACGTTGCATTTCGTTCCAGGGCGAGGTTTGGCCTCCCTGAGTCGGAGGCGTGTTTCCTGCAAGGCGCTCGGCAGAGGAGACTGCGAGGGCTGGTTGTGGAGAAAGAGAGATGCGAAGGGTTACTTTTCTCAGAAATGGAAGAAGTACTGGTTTGTTCTGAAGGACAACTGCCTGTACTGGTACATCAATGAGGAGGTGAGGAGGATTTCAAGTGTCAGTTTCCCAAAAACTGTGAGACATTTCATAGAGTTTAAGAAAGCAAGACTCTGAAACAAAGACAAAATGATGAAATTCGTCAAAACCTGTACTTGCTGTAACATAATGGAAGCTGTGCAAGTTTCTGAAATAGCTACGTTACTGCTCTGTGGCAAAGACAAAGGGAGAGAACACCCAGTACAAGTTACCCTGAAGTCAAACCTTGTGCTAGCACATCACACTTGAAGACTTTCACGCTGATATCATCTTAAAGTTGCATGAAGTTAAAGTTTTGTGAACTCTTTGAAATGAGTCAAACTTCTGGGAGAACTTCAGGGTCTGTATTCAATACATTTTCTTCTCTGCCATGCTCCAGTGGACTGACAGTGTCAGTCTGTCAGTCTGTCAGTCTAGCACACTGAATTATTTCCATTGAAATTTTGTACAGACACTCATTTCATCTTACTGACGTTAACGATCCCCTTACTTTTCCTCTAGCGCCACCAAGAGGTTCACGTTTGTGCTTTTTAGTGAAGTATCTCAATAACTATTGGACAGATTGCCATTAAATTTAATACACACATTTCATGACCTCTTTCATGACCTTTGGTGATCAGGTCAAAATTAGCAAGTGCTAACGTGCTAACACGCTAAACTGTGATTGATAATCATTATATCTGCTGAACATCAGCATGTTACCATTGTTATTGTGAGCCTGTTAGCATGCTGATGTTAGCCTTTAGCTTAAAGGATAGCTGTGCCTAATGCCGCATTCAAAATTAAATTGAATGTTAACACCGATCATTTTATAGGAACTGTTTGTTTGTACCTGGTAACAAACTGCTAGAATTACTGAACGCAACAAAAGTAGGTAATTTAGTCTGTTTACTAGTGTGACTAGAAGGTTAGCACTGTGCTAACCTCCTTGGAATTAATGCATTAAAACTCCCAAGTTGAAATAAAGGATTTTTTTTGCTGTTGTTCCCATTCTGCTAACATTGCATGTATGAAGCCTCACAGAGCAGCTAGCATGGCTTCACACTCTGTCTCATTTAATTCAGCACAAACACATGCTAAATAGAAAGCTATCTGCAGCCTCACACAGAATGTACTGCAAACAAACGGAGTGCAGGTTGACCCAGATGCAGGTCTCTCTGCAGACAGCCATAATGGCAAGTTTCAGGTGGATGCTTTCTGAGCGTTTGAAATGATTCACATACAAATCATGTTCATTTGGAAAGCTGTAGGAGGCTCGTGCAGCTGAATCCCTACAACGGAGGTGGAGAGTAGAAAGTTATCACGAGCCATAGAGCCACATTTATAAAAAAAATATCCCAGATTGAAATAAACTGTAATTTTCCTTTTATTTCCATCTTCTCTTTAGCTTTTTATTCATCTTTCTATTTATATGTTTAATCTCTTCTGTACAGGATGAGAAGGCAGAGGGTTTTGTCAGTCTTCCAGAGTTTAAGATCGACCGGGCCAGTGAATGTCGCAAGAAGTAGTAAGTGCATGATGAAAACCGGTCTATTGCATATTTATGTGTATTTACTTGTCTGTGTGCATGTACGGTTGATGTGCTCTTATGTGTGAATGTTTGCCTGCAAAAATAACTCCCTCTGTTCCTCCATCTCTCTAGTGCTTTCAAAGCATGTCACCCCAAGGTCAAGAGTTTCTACTTTGCAGCAGATGGAGTAGATGACATGAACAGGTAAATCAGCACGTGCTAAATGCGGACAAAGGTTATGCAGAAGGGCACACTCCCAGCTGGGTGGCAAGAGTGCAGCTTCCTGTTTACCATCCCCACAGCAAATACGCTTTGCATTTGATAATAAAAAAGGAAGCCTGTTTTTATTTGGGAAGTGATGAGTATAAAAAAATATAATTTGCAGGATATTTCCATAGAGGGTACAGTGTCGTTCAGTGCAAGAGGACTCTCCAAACGATGGTGTAATTTACACCATCTACAGGATTATAATCAAAATAAGTATCTGCCTTAACATGTTAGTTACTGTAGTTACAGAAAAGAGCAGGTTAAAACATCTAGAATAGATCATTCCACTTGCTTCCAATAAGAGAACAAATAATAAATTGGGTTGAACATCTTTTACTATTTTATGAGTGAAAAATATTTTAAAGACTTTTCGTAGTTACACACAAAATACAAAATGTTACTCAAGTAAAAGTATAAAAGCAGCAAAATGTACTTAAATTACTAAAGAAAAGTGCTAATGATGCAGAATGGTCGATTCAGATGTATTTATTTATTTATTTATTTCACTTTTCCTATTCTCATTTGAATCAAGATATTTTTCCTCAGTGCATTCAGTTGTGTTCAGTGTAATGTGGTTTCAGTCTGCAGAGTTATTCATTTCACATCCTGTTTGTTAGTTTGTGTGTGTAATACTGTAAATCCATGAATCTTAATGCCATCTCCCTTCTGGATGTTCTGTCCTTCTGTTAGATGGCTGAGTCGTCTCAACATGGCGGCTGTGGGCTACGCTGAGCGCGAGAGGATGCGCCAGGAGCAGGGTGAGGGTTCACTGAGGGACTTGCTGAAGGGCACTTCAGCAGATGGTTTCTGCACGACAGTGTCTTTAACTGCCGAACACAAACATACTCTTACTATATTCCTGCTGGACTTACAGTGTTGTTATGATGCAGTAGATTTACTTCAGTGTATTTTCTACCCCCCTGAGGTATTTTCATGATGCTTGTCAGATCTTCCTGAAGGGATTTATAGATAAACAGAAAACTATCTCGTCTTTCTGACAGTATGTGTGTGGGTTTCCTGCAGATTACTGGAGTGAGAGTGAACATGAGGATGACACCACCTCCAGCCCTAAACAGGACAGCCCCCCACCTCCATATGATACCTACCCACGGCCTCCATCAGTGAGTCACACACACACACACACAACTGTATTACACACTCATATAAAGCACGCATTGTACTTGAAATCATGCTCTGTGCTCCTCCACGGTCCATTTTAACAGTTAAAGTTATTGCCAATTAAGCCTACAGGGAGTGGAAGGGCTAAATTTGATGTAATTGTTGCTATAATTGGCCCTAGAACTGGTTGCTCTACATTAAGAGTCTTTGTCTTGAGGCATATTTTTTTTAGCCCAGGATAAAATGAAAAACTAAAACAACAACAATTATTACAGCACATTTTTAGTTCAAGTAATCAGGGACACCAGACGCAAAGGCTGATAAGTTTTTAAGATATTAATATTTGAAAATAATGGTGATAAAGAGTCTTTTTTTTGTTTGCCTTTTCCACTCTATGCTCTTCTTCTCTTTTTTCCCGTCTCTTATTTCCCCTCTCACACACTTATCCAGTCATCACCCTGCCTCCTTGGCAGTCATCTGGCTCCTCCACCGGATTAAATCCTTTCTGAAGTGTTGTCTTCACAATTGAATGACACACAGGTGATCAGTTGACGTCTGCCACGTCTTCACTCTCTCCTCTCCTCTCTCTGTCAGATGAGTGCCTACTTGGAGGGCCGAACCACTCGATTGTCTTCCACGGAGACGTCTCGTTCTCGCTCTTCCCAGGAGGACTTCCTGTGTGGCGAGCCACCCGCAGCGGCCGCAGAGCCGCAGTACCACCCTGGTCCTCTAGGAAGCACCACACACAGCGGGAGAAAACCAGGCGGCAGCAGCAGCAGCGACGTGCAGTACAGATGTGATCCTGTAGAGGTGTGTGTGTGTGTGTGTTAATGTTTGATATTAAATAAAAGGAAAAGGTGGAAGGTGGTAAACTTATTGGCTAAATAGAAGATCTTGTATGTGATGAGCAGCTGTGACACTAAATGTATGTATTGATAATTTCAGACAGCTGGTTCACTGGTCGTTCAATCTGTCTTGTCATCCGTCTTTTTTTCAAAACATATGAACAAATGCTCTGATTTTCATGAAATATGCAGTGAATATTTATGAATGAATTTTGTGTGACTAACTGTTCTTTTCTCTACATCAGACATATCGACACCCACAAAATATTTTTATTCCTTTAGAAATGATTTTAATGGCTTTTGTTGCATGGCTGCCCTGCATTTTAGCCCCCCTCGCTAGCTGTTAGCATGTTGTTTGTTCTTCCTAAACTTTTGTATTGTGGTGTGTAATGAATATTGCTGCAACTAGAGAGCCACTGTTGGACCATAAGGTTTTTTTATTTTAATTTAATTTACTTATTTTATCATTATTTACGTCTTTTTAAATGAACCAGATCTGGCAGTTTGTGACAGAGTTTGTAAAAGTCACATGAATAAAACAAAATTACACACTTAAGCTACCAGCCTTCGAACATTACCTATAGTGAAGCAAATGAGTATATGTAAATGTAAATAAAAGCAAAACTACAAACAAGTTTTTTTTGATCAGACAACAACTTTCACCAAGCTTCTTTTAGTTAGCCTGGATCACAGCGAGTGTTAGCATGTTAGCATGAAGCGTTTCAATCTTCATTTGCAAATGCAAAATAAATTGCTAGGTACAAGTAACTCAAATGTGTTGCATACACATGTATACCTGAGTATTCTCCCAAAAACCTGTTGCAGATGATCACTGATGAATAATACAAAGCTAACCTTCTGTCTGTCTCTGTTTTTTGCTTCCTGCAGTACCGCTCTAGTCCCGCGGGGGGCAGCAGTGAGACGGGGTCCCCGGGCCGCTCCTCGTCGTCTCAGAGACGTTCTTGGCAGGACCTGATTGAGACGCCGCTCACTGAGGCTGGACTGCACTATTTACAAACTGGACCTTTAGGTAATGCCACATTTAACCAGAGGCTTCATGGAGCCAACCATTTGACGACTTTTCTAATTTTTGTACAAAGTACTGAAACTGTTATTTTGATAATAAGTTGACTTAGCCCCAAACTGTGCCGCAGCTAAGCGTACAATTTTCCCCAAAAATAAATGTTGATGTTTTAAAAAACTCAACAACTTCCCTCTGTTGTGAAGTTTTTCCGGGATCCTCAAACACTCGTCTAAACATGTGCACGAAAAGATATTTAAGTAATATCTCAATTTCTGAAGTCACTCATTCTATGGATAATATACATTTGGTCAAATGTTTTGTTAGTAAAGAAAATGTTTAACACAGTGTTCCCTGCCTTGGCATAATGTTTGTTTGTAAATGTGTTGTGTTTGTTCATGCATGTACTTTGTGTATGAGTGATGCCTTGCTGATAGTTCTGTTCAGTAGTTGATTAACGACACATTAGATATAATGTCTCTGTTATTCCTTTATGTTTTCTTTATGTTACAGAGGACGCCGTCTTTGCAGAGCCTGGTCCTGGGGGTGGGACTATGACGGCCGGAGCCGTTTACACTCTTCCTGCACAGAGGAATGTCCCGTTGCCCATGGCGATGCAGAGGCTGATTCCTATGGCAACCCAGGGAGGGAAACCCCGCAGCTTCACACTGCCAAGAGACAGCAACCTACACACACTCCTCACGCCCCCTGCGAAAGAACAGCAAACGCACAACGGTGAGTTGGAGTCAGGAACATACTACATGTGCTATGAAAAACTTCAGCACATACAAGAGAGTAAAAGGGCACGATGATCGTACATTTTGTGTTGTAATGTGTGTGCGTGTGTCTGTGTGTGTGTGTGGGCTGGTGCACGTCAGGTGAAAGCAGAAAAGCAAAAATGTGTCTCGCTCTGAATGACAGCCACCAGAGACCGGGAAAAAAAAAGAGATTTTTTAAGGTGAAGACGATGACGTCAGTACATGTGCCAGAAATAAAAACGCTCTCAGGCAGACACATTTCCATTTAGATCATCATCAGTATCGAGCAGGGTAACACACACTCCATCCATACTCTAATCTAATGAGGCTAATGAGACAATGGTGCACTGGTTGCCAAGGTGAGCCCAGTGGCAGACAGGAAGAGAAGTGTCTGAATAAAATAGTAAACAAGGCAGATTTATGTAATCAGGCGACATGATAGATTTATTAGGGGAAAGAAAAGGAAAAGTTAACCAAAGATGTGAGCAGTGAAATATAACAACTATGTGAATTAGTCAGGCAGAGGAAATAAAATCATCCCCGAGGCTGAGAAATTATCCCTGAGGCTGAAAAGCAAAGACGGAACAGGATTTTATCATCATTAGTAATCTGTCTATGACTAATAGAAGTCAAGTGTTGAGGTGTGTGCTGCTGTCCTCCAGTGGTTGCACCGAGATATAACTCAATCTAATCAGATGTTTGACAGCTCCATAGCCTTTAAATCCAAGTCTTCTGAAGGAGGGTTTTAAACGTGTGACTCTCTCTCTGCCTTGGCTTTGTCGAAGGTGGCAGCGAAGGCGCGTCCCTCGGCGACCTGTTCCGAGCATGCGAGCAGGGCGGGGTGTGCCCTTTAGGTCGCGGGTCGGAGGCCAAAGGTCAGTCAGAGTTCAGGCAGTCGTTCCTGCGACGGGCCGCCGACCCTCAGCTCAATGAGCGTCTGCACCGCCTCCGCATACTCACCTCCACACTGAAGGTTGGTGTCACAGTCTAATCCCCACATGTGTACACACACAGACACATGTATCAGGATACACATAGCGTGGATACCATGCACACTTAGAGAAGATGTCAGACCAGGGCAAGTATATATTTTATTTTATTGCAAACAAATTATAATCCTTAAGATTTCTGTTTTAGTTGAACAGTGTGGTTCACTACTACGACGTGTATCTGTTTACAGTGCAGCCGAACAAACTTGCTTTAATAAAAAAAAGTCAGATTTCATGCTGCACAAATTACTCTGCAGCTCCTCACTGTGGCCGCTCCTCCTCCTTCCAATAATCTCCAATATTTAAAACTGAGCCTCTGTCAAAAAAGAAATGCAAAAAGATGATCATGTCTTGTATATATTGTTTCACAGTAAAAGCCCGCCCATGTTTCAGCAGTTGAGAAGCAACGAGGAAATGTTTAATGTTTAATCGCATAACATCTGACTCGTGGTTTGATTTCATGGAACTCTTAAGGATTATAACTCATAATTGCAGTATGTGTCACGTATCTCACACATATCTCGTATCCCACTGTCAAATCCCACAGAAACAGAGGGTGCACTTCTTCCTGTTCTTCCTTCACAAGCCCATCTTTTGTATTAAGCTTTCATATTCTAATACATCTTATTTGATGGAGCCTAATCCAATATTATTTACTTCTCCGGTGCGGACGGGGTTACAGTGAAGGCACCACACTGTGTTAAGAGGGTGAAATGGATGAAATGATACTTGGTTATTTAGAAGATACTGTCACATGTGTTGTAGGTCTGATTCACCGTTCATTTCTGACTGTGATTTACACATGCACACTCGTACACACACACACACACACACACACACACGCACACATGCTGGTAACTGTCTCTGTCTTGTTAGTTGTAGTGCTGTCATCTGTCTCAGTCTGTCTCCTCGGTTTGGTTTTGAGTCTTTTCTATCGAGCTCTGTCAAGCAGCCATCTGTGGCTTCATGCTATATAAGCAGTGGTTATGTTCCTGGCTGGGTGCCTGTGAATGGCTCATTAACTGTGGCTGTTGTTTTTTTTTTTGTTTTTATTTTATTTTTTTTGTCTCTATAGTTTGTATCTTTGTTGCTTCCTCCGTGCTCGCGGGCGGGGATGGTTTGTCGAGGGCGCGGGGTGGGGGCTTTTGTGCGTGTAGCTCTTTTCTGGGACGATCTGTGGCTTTGGCTGCCCGTGTCTGCTGGTACAGGTTGGGTGGAGGAGCTTACATGTTTTGTTCCCTGTCTGGCGTTTCTTAAAGGAATACACCAAGTTTCAGGGGGAGTTTGGATGAAACGTTTCTCTGTCAGAGACCGTGACCATACAGTAGACACCAAAGTATCCATGTGACCTCCTGGTAGACCCCGCCCCTGGTTTGCTATTTCCAAGGGGATCAGGGGACTCTGTCTCTCTGCGGCTGCTGTATTTGTGTGTTCAGGCAGTAATAACTTATCTGCACTGGTTGCTGTGGAAACGACAAAGGCATGCATATTTTCTCCGTATTTTTTCATCCATCAAAACTGAACCAAAACAATGCGCTGCAGTCTAGATAACAAGTGGAGTGTTCTCAAACTCTTTTTTTAAGCTTTAGTGAGGCAGAATTTCTCTGTAGGAGACGACGATAACGATAGAGGAGGTTCATATCTGTTTAATTACGCCATCATGGCTGACTGACTGTGCTCTGGAAGTGATATCAGCAGTGTTAAAATGGCAAAGGATTGAAATCTGTTCTAAGCAGCCAGACTAAGACTTATCGCTGTAATGTTTTCTGTTGTCACCAGTTGATTGAGACAATTTTATATCACTTAACAGTATCTCAATTTTGACATGAGTCAGTCTAAAGATGTTGAGTGACACAAAGTAGCACCTTTTATTAATCCAAAGTTTATGTTTTTTTTTAATAAATGTTACAGCTGAAATGTCAATAAGTCAGTATTGTTAATGTTTTATTTTTAGACAGTTTCAGATATTGAAGAACTTAATCTCGCAGATGGTCCTATCAACATTTAATTCTCGTGTCAATAAGAGAGGAATCGTAGTTTATGGCCTGATTAATGATCAATTAATCAAACACTAATGAAAAATCACAATTACAAATTGTCTTCAAAATATCAACTTTCAGCGAAGTTTTTCTCAAAAATTGAAACTGAACGCTGCGGCCTGACAGTGGGTCATTGATAATGAATATATTCATAAATGGGTATAAAAAATCTTAACAACAATCTAAAAAGACACACGGTAATGAGGCGTACACGAGCATGAATTCTAAATGTGAATAAGAAATTGATGAAAAGGTTCTAACAATAATTGATCACGATTGTAGTTGTAAATGTTGATAAATGGTCCAGATGCTCGGCAGCCGTTGATGTGGCATCCTGATAAATTAAAGAGCTGTATCGTCCCGGGGGAGGATAAGCACCAGCCAAAGGGATCTTTCACAATCTGGCAACAAAATTGTGAGAAATCTGGGTTGCCAGATTGACTTTATCGGTGATTAATTCACTAATAAAGGTATAATAAAGCAATTAGTAACTATTAAACCTGTATTAAAGCAGCTGCACACTCATTCTCTCCTTCTAATGTTTGAAATGACATCTTTGAAAAACCAAACAAATAATCTGCCAAGAGCAAATGGATGATCCTCGTGTCTATATTCTCATTACCTAACAAACACATTGACTGACTCTCACTCCCCTGATGCAAATCTCCCCAAACTCAGTGTATCCCCTTAAGTGTGTGTCTTGCTTTTCGTGTGTCTGCGTTTTAAAGAATAGTGGTTAAAGGAAAAAAAAAATTATTAAAAAGCCCCTCCTGTCTTTCTGCATCCCCATAGGACAGGGAGGGGGAGCTAGCGCTGATTGAAAGGCTGTTGGCCAATCCCCAGCTGTCGTCGGCTGAGTTCCAGGAGTGGAAGCGAGCCTATCAGGAGCTGTTCTCTCAGGAGCCAAACTCCACCGCCGAATCAGACCCCGGCCCCCCGCTGACCCCCTCGCTCTCTCACACGCACTCCTACATCGAGACCCACGTGTGACGTGTGAAACGCACTCTCGCCCGCACCCACCCAAACAAAAACACACACAATCGCTTTAAAGCTGCTCTCATCTCTCCTGAGTGTGGAAAGAGCTGAACAAAACCACAGCTGACGTTTTTCGACGCATCAGCGGAGGTTTCTTGCATCAGCGCAGATAGTGATGGATTGTTTCAAGAGAGGGACGTTAAGGACAACTTGATTCACATCCCGATAGCTTTCAGCAGCCACAGTGTACAAGTGCAACATGACAGCCTTCTGAGGGGAGGACGCCTCTGTGCCCTCATGTCACATCAATCCACGAGCTGATTGGTTATGCCACTCCAGCTGGCTCGGGGGCGGACGATACACTGATTCTTAAGTATTACATGTTAGCTTTTGTGCTCTGTACCTAAAATGCTCTCCACGGATATAAGGAACTGACACGACTCACTCCGGACGAGGTTGATCAGACCCCTGACGTGGACAGATGTCAGAATAGTGTCTTCATGAGCTGCATTTACACTGTATCTCATCCTGCTTGTCGTGCAAATGTTTATACCGACTGCACAGTGTCTCATAGACGGTCCAATAGCCTCAGAGTGACATACATTGTATCCCATCAAGCCTTATACTTGATGTCTATGATGATATTTTTCTGTACAGTGAGTGTTACGGCAGAACTTTTAAACTAGTCTCAGTTTTGGATCTAGTTTTAGAGACTTTTGTTTGTGCTGGTTTGGTAGAAATGCGAACTGTGCTGGGCTGGACCTGAAGCATGCACACTCGATAGGACTCATTTAAAGGAAAAACCCACCCTCAGAGCACTTTAACGCTGTTGAGTTTGCATTTAAGAGCCCATGTTGTTCTACAGTACGTGTTATTTTGATAGATAAATGTTGTTTTTTTTGTTTTGTTTTTAAGTGAAGGAATCATCACTTTACTCCACTTGAACAGTCACTATTACAGTCTTGTGTCAGGGAGTAATCGATGATGTATTCTCACAGATACCAGTCACTTAATCTTCAATATATAACCATCATTCATTCTTTTGGAGGCCTAAATATTTTCTCCATCTCATCATCATTATTGTTTCATGCCGTTTGCACCTCGTGATCATGTGACATGATCCGTATCTGCTCCACAGGGCTTTTCAGTTTACACTTGGCATTAATAAGCGATCTTATTATCTCAATTGTGCCTGCACTGTGATCAGAGGGGGAGGGGGGGGTGTGCTTGTCAACAAACAGTGCACGTGCCAGGTAAAGAGAAGCGATGCCGCTGACTTGCATGATTTTTAATTTTTAAATCACCTCTTGTGAGCGATGACTTGTTAGCCACTGCTACAGCTTTTGTCTTTCGCCCAAGAGGCAAAATTTTTTGGTTCGGAGAAAGTGATTTTTCTCTTCCGTTATGCATCAGAACACGAAGGCAAAATTCACTGTGTGTGAAAACCTACTTGGCAATAAACCTGTTTCTGACTCTGAACGTGGATGCGCTGTATGAATTGCACTGACACCTGGCTGACATCCGATCACAGTGCGAGTCAGACCAGCTTGCGTTTTCTTTTCCTCATCCAGGTACAGACTGCACGTTAATGCCAGGTGTAAATGAGTCCTGTATCTCCATAAAACCACCTCAATCTCATTTAATATTTTGCGATTACATTCCCCTATTTATCAGAGGGGTTTTTAATGTAAAATGATTCATATTTTTACCACTTTTGGAGCGCAGACGACATGTTAAGGCAGCACACACACACACACTAAAACACACACACACACACACACACACACACACACACACACACACACACACACACACACACACACACAAGAAAAGCACCTTCTAGGGGGAAGACTGGATTCTTGCCTCTGGATGTTTTTTTTTTTTTGTTTGTTTTTCTAGCTTTAATGGGCAACTTCATCCTCATCATAACACCTGAGATACAGTCACCATGGCGACTACAAGTATATGAGACAAAAACAAGTCGTAAAGGTGTCTTGGTTGCCATAGAAAAGCAACACACACACACACACACACACACAAATCCAATTAATTTTTACTTTAATTAAAGTAGAAGAGTAGAGCCTTTGTCACAAAACAACTCCTGACAGTTTCATTGATTATACTTCAACAGTGTTAAAGTCTCCACGGGTGGACTTCTCCTCAGAGAGCAATTGGCTCTCTGTACCCTGCATGCCACATAGAGAGTGTGAGGAATTATCTGCATAGGAATTGAAATATGGATCTAATAAAAATATATTAGTTTGTTATTTGTACGCTGCTGCCAAATGACTTAATACTCAGAGACACTGCACAAAACCTATGAAAGCAATCATGTACACAAATGCACACAGTACACACAATGACGAGCGCGCGCACACACACACACACACACACACACACACACACACACACACACACACAGAAACACACAGTTTGAATGCTCTTTCTATGCTGCTGCCCGTGGTTGGTTGTAGTAGCATGTCTTTGTTGTAGATAAACACAATATTCCTTTTCTGTTTTTGTGTTTGAAATCTCTAGATACAGTAGATCTCTCTTTGTAGAGTGCAAACTAAGTGTCTTGGATAATGTTCTTGAATTCTATCAGGTTTTTTTTGGACAGACTGTCGTTGAGTAACGGTTGTTTAATGTTAAAGCTATAAATTATGGTTGGGAAAAAAAAAACAAACAGTATTTATTTACGTGATAAATCTTCGTGTTCTGTCGGAAGAAGAGGGGTGGATCAATAAAGTTTGGTTATTTGGATGCAGGTGTTTTTGTGTTGTTTTTTTTGGGCGGGGGGGTTGTGGATGTCGAAGAGGAGAGGGGCTGACATGATGAGCACCGGTAACAGCTGCTGTACTGTCTGGACCTGCAGTGGGACTATTCTGATACTGGCATGACACTGTTTTGTCCGATCTGTGACAAATATAAAATTATATTATCTTTTAACTCCACTGTCCTCCCTTTGCATGTAGATGCTGCAGCTCTGCAACCAGCTAAACACACTTCCAGTGAAGACAAGTGGTTGACCTTTGCTGGAAGCGGCTGTGAAACCGTGAAAATGATATTTGGACAACAAATTTTCTGATTTATAATCATTAATATTAAAAGATTCTGTAAAACAATACGATATTATAACAAGTATAGCTATAGATTAATTGATTGAAAGAAAATGAATCAGCAACGATTTTGATAAATGTCAGACTTTGGTGTTTCCTATATCGAGTTGAATATGTTTTGGTTTAGGATTAAACATTTAATGAAGTCAGCTTGTGCTTTGGGAAACTGTGAGTAGCATTTTTCACTGTTTTCTGATGTTTTATAAACCAATCGATTGATCGACTCATCGAGAATGTTCTTGTATTACATAAGGCACCATGATTCGAGGAAGCCAAACTGCGCTAGTTGTCCAGAAATGTTAGCTAACCCAATACCATCCCCATGCAGCAACTGTCCTTATGTGGTTTTCCATAATAAACCAGCTTGTAAAGTAACCAGGTCAGAGAAAATCTTAGCAAGATATAAAGATGAAATGATATTTTGTTCAAAAGACTAAAACTGAGATAAATAAAATGAAAAACACCATAACATGTCAATTTTGCAAAGTTTTATTGGTACATATTAGTAACACAATGAATGCATTAGTTTTTAAAATATTCTCTTGTGGTTTATGATTTTGTCCTGTAGCTGTGATCACACTGAGTTCATTTGATCCATCAGAATTCATAATACATATTCATTTACTTTATGATAATTACCAATTGGAATGTTAAATTGTACAAATTTGCAAAATAAAAAAAAATGCTTTAAAATCAACAATGTTTTGATGGTAATAGGTGACTAAAATGATTTATATAATAAGTATTTTAAGTTGATTAGAAGTTGCAGTTCCTTCGTGTTACACTGGAGTTTTTTCCCCCCACATCTTTTATTAACAATAAATACTACTATGAGGCCTCCAGTTAATTTTGAATGTAATATTACCTTCAAACATAATAAACCATGTTGAATAAATGACGTTTACGCAGACAGCGCAGAATGTATTCAGGATTAAATGGAAGTGGATACAAGCACAAAAGACCATGAATAATGAATTCCAGCAGGTTACCTCGCTAATAGCCACAAATCATGCATATGATTTCCTGCTAATGTTTCATCTCCTCTGCAGCTTAAACCCACTTTGTCCATCTGGTTGTCAGTGCAGATAGAAATGGGCGAATCAAGAAAACAAGACAGAAAAAGGGTCACTCAATATCTTTGGTTTTGCTTCTATTTCTATATCTATCCTATGTTATAGAAAACTTTAAATATTCATCGCTAGTAAATAAACAGGAATGTAACATGCATGGAACTTTTATCTACAACTTCTATAAAATATTCAGCTTAGCTTTACTGTTGTTTTTATTTCAAAGAAATCCCCCCTCCACTTTCATCACCTTATCTCCTGTTTTGACTTCTTCTCTATTCCCTCTTATGTGTGATAGCCTCCTCTGCAGCCTGGCTCATCCTCGTCCTGAAATCTGTTCAAGAATTACCTTCTTCACCTCTCCTCCACTCGTTCTCCAAATCCCCTTTTATCTCTGTCCTTAGCTCCCGTTTCATTTCTCTTTTTCAGAACATTTTCACTTTCGGTCACAGGAATATCACTGTCAAACCACCAACTATCTCACTTCTCTCTAGTGGTTGCTTGTCATCTCTGGTGAGCTCAGACCTTAAGCTTATTCTACTGTTAGACTCATAATTAGCTCTCAATAACAGTATTAGTTAAATACCTAAAAGAATTTAGACGTAATGTAAATAAATCTGTCAAATCCATGTTAGCTATCTGACCTGGACATGCACTCAACAAAAATTAAAAACAAAAATACAATAAAAATGCCCCTCAGCCTGTGTCATTTTGTAAGTCTTGACGTGTTTTTCTTGAATGAATGGTTCAACATCGTGGGAACAACTTATTTGAGTTCTTGCCAACATTTACAAGATAGTATTATAAGATAATCTTCTGTAGAAAACATTCTGTACACTAGCTAGAACCATTCAGGAGATAGTTAGCTAGCTTAGCATATAAAGGCTGGAAACAAGGGGGAAATGGTTAGCCTGGCTGCATCCAAAGGTCAGAAAAGCAGTCTATAAGTAATAAAACTCACTAATTAACATTTTATATCTTGTTTTGTTTATATGTTAAAAGAAAGTGTAGAACAACATGTTGTTTTGTGGTAGCTTAAACTATTGCAGTAGTTTAAGCTAACAAACCTGGTTTTAGCCTTTCTTTTAGCTTTATGTTTAACAAAAATCCATGAGAGTGATATTGATCCTCTCATCTAACTTTTGCTTAAAAAGTAAATGTTTTTCCCAAAATGTCGTGTATTAGTAGTAGAGTTAGCTTAGCATAAAGTCTGGTAAGGGTTAGCCTAGCATAAACACTAGTAAGGGAGACAGCTCACCAATAAAGATGGTGTATGTGATTTGTGTAATCCATACAAAAACCTAAGTGACCGGTCACCGGTTGGAGTTTGTGTGCTTTATGTTAAGCTAAGCTAACTGTCTCCTGGTTGTAGCTTCAAATTTAATGCACAGTAATGTCATCTAACTATACTATTTCTAACTTGTATCTGTGGTGGAAAAAAATTCACCTACCAGCACCTTTTAATACTTTACTTTATCTCTTGTTTGTTCTGTCTGTACAAAAACAGAGGTGCAAAAATGCCAAGTTGTGATTTTACAGGAGATTATGTGTTTTATGCTAAGCTAAGATAACACTCCTGGTTCTAGCTTCGTGCAGGCATGAGAGTAGCGTCAATCTTTTTCTCGGCAAGAAAATGTCAAACTAATGATGCACACCTGCTCTCCTCTAATGAGACAGGACTGCAAACAGCTTGAAATATACAGTGGGTAGGAAAGTAGAGCTGTCAAAGCTGGAGTGGGTGAACATTTCATCTCTGACAACCCAGTTTCATTCCCCAACCCAGGCCACAAAGCTCTCTACTGATGAGGAATACTCTTCTTTTCTAGTTGTTTCTTTTATGACTGAAACCCAGTAGTTCTAGTTTCCTATGTTCAACTGTTGAGCAACCTCGACATACAAAAATTGAGAGTCCAATTTTCTGATATTTTCACGTCATTATTTTTAACGCGTGCGCTTTATTCGCAGCATTTTAAGATTAATTTGCAGCTACTTGTAATTGTAAGAGCTTCAATAGGCACCGGATCACATAATTTGTGAAATATTTTCTCTCATTGTTTACACTCTAGTCAGGCAGGGGTAGCAGTGTGCACTCAGTGCCAGTGAGAGGTCTGGGGAGCTGGCAGATCTCTCTCCAGCGGTCTTTTTTTGTGTCGTACTCCAACACACTCTTCATGATCACCTCCTGTCCGTCGCTCCACCTTCTCCCTCCGAATACCAGCAGATTCCCAGACGGCGTTGACACCATCCCGTAGTTGAAGGAGCCAATGAGAAGCGGTCTGAGGCGTGCCCAGTGGTCTGACTGCGAATCGTATCGTTCTATATCGCAGAAAGGTTCATACATCCCCAGTAGGGCGTAGATGTAGCCGTGGGCGGTTGCCAAGCGATGACTGAACCTGGCGATAGACATGGACGCCCTCTTTTCCCAGACTCTACTTTTGAGGTCCCACTGCAGGAACTCTCTGCTGCTCTCCCTGTTTTCATCCTGGTTATCACCATGGTTACTGCCATGGACGCTGCCCTGGTTGCCCGGGAGACCACCTGACACATAGATGCTGTTGTCAAGCACGGTAGATGCGTGGCCGTAAAGAGGGCGAGGCATCGTTGCTCCTCTCCTCCACGCCCGTGTGGTCATGTCATAAAACTCAACAGAGGCTACTGAGGTGTGTGTGTCGGTGTCCTGTCGTGTGTGTTGTCCCCCGGTGACATAAATAACATCATCCACCACGCAGCAGGTGAACTGCGCCCGCCTCTCCAACATGGACTCCACCTGCTCCCAGCAGTCGAAGCGAGGATCGTACCGCCACACCTGGTTGGTTGTTGCTGTGGTGACTGACTTTTTCCCATCCTCGTCTCCCTCTTTCACTTCCTCCCCTCCGATCACAAAGAGGAAACCTCCCACTGAGCACACGCAGTGATTTCTCAGTCGCAGCGGGAGACAGGAACTCAGAGATGAAAACTTCTTGCTTCTTGGATCAAACGCCAACACCTGCTGTTCTGGCCAATCAGCGCTGGACCCCCCACCCACGAGCAGCACACGATTGGGCGAGGCTCTGAGTGTCGACTGCTTGCTCTGTCTGATTGGCTTAGCTGAACCCATCCTGTGATACTCCAAGGCTCGAGTCAGCTGACTTCTGATCAAAGGCGTGGCCATGGCTCTGTGGTTAAGGTTGGTGAGATCAGAAGCGCTGACCAATCCGAAGCGCAGACGACTCAGCAGAAGATTTGATTTCAGCAGTGGGAGGGGTCCGTTGTCATCCAGCCAATCCAGAGCCAGCTTTATGAGCTCCACCTCCTTGACGCCAGGTAACTCGTCAGCGTCAAGCACCGCCATCAGTGATTGGATATTCAGCTCGAGGAGATCATCCCTGCTTTCCTGCAGCAACGTCCCCATCTCCATAGCGACGGTTTGATTGGCAGCCTCAAGTGCATTTGATAGTGCATGGCGATCGGCCAGGTTAGCATAGCAGCAGCAGTTCTCAGCGGTTAAACCATCAATCATGAAGCGCTCACATATTGACACCGCCGGCTCCACTTGCAGGTACCTGGCTGCTTCCAGGACGACATGAATCGTGGAGGGTGATACGCTGAGCCAGCCTGAATACAGGAAATCCAGAATAGCATCTAAACCCTCAGGTGTTAGCGCCGGGAGGCTAATGGAGCCCGCTAATCTCTCTGCGGTGGTCTCTCCAAACAGAGCCCAAAAATACTCGCTGGAGCTGGCCAAAAGGGCGCGATGACAGGGGAAGGATACGCCGCCGGCCTCCAGGACAACATCACACATCTTAGTCTCAGAGCGAAGACGCTGGAAGCCGGAGAGGAGTCCGGTTCTGTGGGAGGAACTGTATAGGCACGAGTAGCTATCCATCCAAAAAAGAGGAGGCAAAGAAAGGAGGTGAGGGAACAGAAGTTCGAAGGCGGGAAAGAGAGGATGAGTAGCAAGTTACAGAAAGAGCTTAGTCAGGAGGGTGCAAGGAAGCAGCAGTGAGAGGGAAACCTCAGGAAATTAAGAGGAAGACACAAAAGCAAAAAAGCAGAGAGTGTAGTCAAAAAAGATGTACTATAGAGAATCATTAGACACTAGCAGAAGGATAATGAGATGTTAAAAGCAAGAGGCAGGAAATGAGAGGAAAAGAAAGGAGCGATAAGTAGAAAAGAGTAAAGTGCGTGTCCTTAGTCGAGCTCTCTCCATCTGTGTTTTTGTCCTGCTCTGTCTGCAGCGGCGAGCATGTGACACCATGATAGGAAGGTTAACAACTGCCAATCCTGTGACCCCACCCCCGCCCGCTTCTGGCCCCTTAGACATGGTCCGTCCCGAAGTCTCCTGTCTCTTTCTGTGATATCCCGGCTCTGTTTGCTTTGTGTTTGTCTGCTGCCCTTTTCTCTCAGTCCGGGAGGGAGTATCACCCAAATTCATGCATCCAACATGCCCCCCATCCCTTGCAAGCCAGCAGATGCATGGATAAACACATTGAACACACACACACACACACACACACACACACACACACACACACACACACACACAGAGCGAGTAAAGGGAGCCTGGCAGGGGTTTAGTGTCTATCCCGGCAGATGAACTCATCGGTAAATACAGCTGCTATAGTCTGTGACCAAGATTCCAGGGCACGTTGGCACGGCACCTATCTGTGCCCTCATCGCCATGGTGACAGGAATAGAAACACAGACACAGCTCAGAGGATTCAGCGTAGGTACACAAACTCGCCGAAGTTTTGCCAAGCTGTCAAATATTTTACAAGTGTCAGGAGTAGCACATAGCGTTTGGCATTAGAGTAAGCTGTGACCTTTTGGGGAGGCATTTAACCTCATAATGACCGGCCTTAAAAATCACGCCGGTGGATGTCATGCTATTATTTTCATGCAGACAGACGAGGGGATGGAGATTTATTTACAGTGTCAGGCTACAAGTTGTCCGGTGTGTTTACAGTTGCCAACTGCTGTCACACATGCACATCAATGTGGAAACATTGCTTTGTCGCGCACTTGCAAGTTCTTGCCGCATTCTCCGCAAAGTACTTTTTGCAGGAGAGTTATGATCATCGTCTCTGAATAGGCGCTGGCTCACACTCACGATTTATGTGTGTGTGTGTGTGGGTGTGTTTGTTTTATGGAAGGGTTACACTAGTTCAGAATTCAGCGTGCAGGCTACTCGCAAAAGAGGAAAAAAAACAGACTCACGCCTTTTCTTTTTCTTTTTTTTTGAAACTGCAAAGTGTTTTTAATCTTTCCCACACAATGTCAAATCCTCCCGTATGGTTGTTAAAACACCGGCAGTGTTTCTCTCTCTCTCGGCTGAATATTCCACTGTGACCTGATGGAGGCTAAACTTAGCTACAGCTGCTCTGTGTGTGTTTGTCTGTGTGCAGGAGGACATGTGATGTGTCGATGGATATGTGCTGTATTGAGGGAGAGATTTTGGAAGGGGGGGGGTGGTATCTGGGGCTGGTTGGTTGCGTATGTGTGTGATGGCATGTGTGCTTTAATGTAGCATTCCTCTCTGAAACAGATGGATTTGAGGGTTTAGGTCAGGATAAATGTGACTCCATGCACAGAGGTGCCCCTGACTCCTACCTAAAACCCAGTAATACCCATTATATATGCACATAATACAAGAACATTACATTTGACGATACCAGGACTCTCTTCTTTTTTTTTTTGTTCTTCAGGCGCTGCAGCTCATGTGAAAAATTATTCTAAAAACACTCTCCAAGCTACATTTTCCATCACAGAAAAACATGAAGTTTTAATTTATTTTTTGTCAGACTTTTCAGGTTATTTAATTTTTGCCTGAATGGAGTATATATATATATTTTTTTAAATCAGAGCATGCATTATGTCCTGCTCTCTTTACTGTCAATCTCTCGACACCCACAGCAAAAAAGAAAGTCTCTGCCAGGAAATAATCCATTTTAATCACGTCGCCTTAAAAATGTTACTGTCGTGTCCTGTCGTCTCATTTCTTTGTTAGCTCATGCACCTGTCAACTTCACTTGCAAGATGCTTTTTTTTCCTTTAAAATTATAATGAAACAAGACCAAGTCTACAGCCATGCTGTTGAGCCCAGCTGTGAGGCTGTACTCAGGCACAGCGGTACTCTGAGCTAAATGATAATGTCAGCATGCTAACATGCTGATGCGTTGCAGGTTTAATGTTCACCATTCATCTTAGTTCAGCATTTTAGCATGCTATCATTTGCTAATTAGTGATAAGCTTAAGGTACAGATGAGGCTCATGGGAGCGTCATTAGTTTAGCAGGTATTTTGGTCATAAACCAAAGTAATGGACAAATTAAGGACAATCTAAGTTATTTCAGTTCATCCTGAGGGGAACACGGAAGTCTGTACAAAATTTCAAGACAATCCAAGTAATAGTTGTTAAGACATTTTACTGTGAACCATCATGTAGATGTTCAGATATTTCACCAGATAAGTAAAAACCTGCTGCAGGAAATAGGATTCATCCTCTGGGGAACATGAATGTCTGTACCAAAGGTCGTGGCAATCCATCCAGCAGTTGGCGAGACGTTTCACTGAAAACCGCAAATGTGAATGCCGTGGTGCACGCTAGAAGAAAAGCTAGGGGGTTACCAAAGTCAGTGGTATTTATCCCCTGGAGACGATAAGGCCAAAGAGCCACAGTGCCAGAAAGAACGGACAGTGTTGTGACATTTGCTTCCATAAAGCAAGTAAAATGAAAAATGATAGGTGCAAAGTAAAAAAAAGACAGAAAAATTTTAGAACCATTTGGATTTATTGCAGTATTTTCCTGAAGATATTCATCATCATAACCATAAAACAAATACAATATTATAATTTCCCCCTAAAAAGTAGCACAATTGAACTGAAATCCCACAAATTGTGAACAACATTTAGAAAGGAAATAACTTAATAGAAAGCATCAGTATAAATCAGTGTTGAATAGCTGGAGCTTTGACAGTATGGAAAAGAGTTGGTCATCACAGAGTTAGTGGGGAGTCACAGTTGATTGTGTCGATTGTCACCAGATGACCCAGACTTAAATACAAATATTGCTTTCGTTAAAACAACCCCTGAAAAACAAAACAAAACAAAAGCATAGAATATCTCTGTAATGCAATACAACTCACATACTTCCAAAAGTCCCGAGTAAAGAGGAGTCTTAGCTGCAGCGAAAAACAAGTTCTTCATCTTCACAAGACACTTTTTTTTTTGTTTTTTTTCTGTTTTTTTTTTTTGCATGAATTATGATTTAATTTTGTATTTAGTGACACAACAGCATCGACTGACATGGTAGGAGAAACATGTTTTATTGTTTCAAACTGCTAGAGTACTGATTGAAAGACTGACAGTTTATGGATGCCTGCTTCTCGGTGGTAGTAGAAGTTGCTGGACATTTTCTGCAGACGTGGACTTCGCAGGAAGCTGTTTGTGTTTGTGTCTCTGAACATGTTTGGATTAGCTTGTAGTTTTGCTAGTCTTCAGTGGCAGTGGGCAAGTCTGTGTCTATGAAGATTATCTGCTTTCCTCTCCGCCTGCCTGCCTGCCTGGCTGGCTGGCTGGCTGGCTGGCTGGGGGATCCTGGAGGAAGAATACAGATAAAGACACCGTGAGGGATTTCTGCTATCGGCGGCCTCAGAGCTGCTGACCCCTGAGAGGCAGCAGGACGCCAAGGAGAGGGCCAGGTCGCTGCATTCATACAGGCCCACTGCGGAGCAATATAAGATCTGGCTGATCTATCACCTGCTTTCCCGCTGTGCTTATCTCTCTCTTGACCTTTTTCCATTTCAGTTTCTCTCCCTGGCTTGATCTCCCTCGCTGTTTGCCACATTTTCAGTTTATTTCCATCTCAAAAGAGTCGAGTTTCAGTCATACAAGCACTTCTCGGAGGCAGAGACTTTGAGTTAAATATCAGCAGATGAAGCAAAAGGAGCTCTAGTTTTGCTAGCTAAGACGTTACACTGAAGCCCAATTGAAAAGAAGGGAGATTAAGATGGCAGCTAACGCGTAGAACTGAGCTGAAAAAACACATTAAAATGTTTCATTAAATGCGAGTTAGCTTAGCTGACCTTTCACATTTGAAGTGGTTATGCTAGCCAATAGCATACAACAAGGAGGTCATTGCCTGTTGTATCTCATTTCCTGTATCTGTTGTATTTCTGGTTTGGTCTTAAACAGTGAAGTTTTCCAGCTAATCTGCTTTTAGCTCAAACATTAGCTTTGCCGGCTGCAACAACTGCATACTGATAGTTAAAAAGTATGTAGTATACTATAAGGTGGTTGTGATTTTTCATTTTGCACTAACTTAAGGTAATATATATTACATGGCCAAAAGTAAGTGGACACACATGTTTGTGTGGTTTATGTTTTTTGGTCTGGGGCTCTTTTTCTTTTCTTTTTTTTTTTTTTTAAAGTTTAACACATTAATTAACTTTCCAATTGAAAGCAAAATATTTTTTCTAATATTCAACAATTTTCTGAGCTAACATTTGACATTTGTGCATTGAATTGCAGGACAGATAGGCTAATGTCTATCAAAAGGATACTCAGAAGTCAAGTGGATTTAGTTTGCAACATGCTCAGAAATAGTATGTAGTAATATTTCTTTTTCCAGAGCCGCTCTGCCTCAGAGAAATGTGTTTATAACTTAAACTTGAACCAGCCTCTGCTTCTTTCTTTCCATCTCTCTCTCTCTGTCTCTCCTACACAGCACACCCACATGGCTTGGGCAGGGCAGAACAGTCGCAGTGTTTGAATATTGTGGTTTCTGTGTCCCGCAGAGAAAGTCACAGCACAGACTGCCCCTCAACACTCACACACACTGCTTTTTTTTTTTTTTTTATAAAACACACACACCAATAAAATATAAATTTAGCGCCTGACTCAACCCTTCCTGCCCACACACACAGAGGCATCAACACACACACACACGCTGCTTGACCCAAACAAAGGCAGAGCAGCCCACACTGACTCCCTGTGGTGAGCTACGACCACTGCATGTAATTATTGTGGAGACGAGTCTCACCATTACTATGCAGGATCTGTATCTCTGCATTTATCACTCTGTTACAGAAGCATAATGTTAAGTGTCTTGTTAGATTAGGATGTAAAAAATTAAGATAAAATAAAAAGTTTCACTTTTCTCCCATAAAAAGGTCAAAGAGCTGTTCCAGAACCAAAGTGAACCTGGACTAATTTACATAAATCACTTAATATGCACATAGTATTCATGCATTTTTAGAAGCATCCCATATGTTTTTAGGAAACATGAATCCATTTAGCTTAATTTGCATCTGGTGAATGGACACTTTGGTTTATATTATGGTACTTTGTGTATTTTAATAAATATAAATGTAGCCTATATATATATATATATATATATATGATGGTTTTATTAGTATGTTGTGTTGAATGTTTTCCTGTCTGTCCTGTTGCACTATGAGCCCATGAGGCAAGTTCCTCACAATGTTTATTGTAAAGTTAATTCAACAGACTGTATAAAAATAATTCATATTTTGTATCTTCCCAACTGGGACTGTAATAAACTTACTTTCTTACACACCCATTGCGGTATCTAGCAGACTGATAGTTTTAGTTTATCCGTCCAAGTTTTTATGGAGTTTTATTTGTGCCTTAATTGGGAGCGATGGGACATTTTGAACGCAGAAAAAGCACATTAATCATTACCAAGCAAAAAATAATTAAATTTAAGCAAACAAATCTATCTTGTTTTATTATCCACATGGTATGATAATAATCTCTTTCACAAAATAGGTTTTTGTTTACTCTGTGTTAATTGTTTCTCTACTAAATATAATTTATGTGCTTGGAGAAAAAAAATTATATTTTCGGTGCTCAAAATGTGTTATTGCACACTCAGGGCTGAGTCACAAAAATAATGCTATACTTCTGAGATTTCTGCTGCCTCCCCAGCACAGTGGAGGGGTATTGATTTTCATTTGTGGTGCTTATGGCTTAAAAAAAACATTTACAAAATAATTGTCATGACTGAATGACAGGGTCTGTGGTTAGGTTTGTCACACCAAATAGGTCCTCGGCTTCAACCTGAGGCTTTTCCAGTTTGCATGTCTCACCATCACGTTGAAAGCAGCCAATATTTAATTAACTTCCTGCTGTCTGTGTAACACCTGCATGCACCTGTTCCTTTAACCTTTAGTCTTTGCCTCATTTCTCACACTCTGCCTTCCTCACAGATCGTGGTCACTGTGACTTGAAGCACATGACATTCATTCATATTTTTTCATTCATTATCCTCACTGCTTATCCCTATAGATTCGCCATAGTCCTGCGCTTTGGGTTGGACACCTGCCCCACCCCACCCCACCCCACCCCACCCCCCCCCCCATCAACACGCGCCCACCCCCACATGCCCAGGATAAGTAGAAACTGCAAACAAGTAGACATTCAACTTTTTGATCAGTGCGCGTGTGTGTTAGTGTTAAGGACTTTAACCTGCTATTCTTTCCTCATATCAGTAATTCTGAACACAATCAGCTGTTTCCAGAAGCTTCTCTGTGCCTCCGTATTTGTAGAGTGAGATTAGTTATTTGCTGTTTTCATACTCGTGGAGAGAATTTGCATCATTCACAAAGAACTTGTGACTCGGGTTGTAAACTCATCTCTGTGCTTCCTCACTGTAGTTTGGTTCTGATTTGCATCTTTTTCTTTGGACTCTTTAATCCTGACCTATCTGCTCCACAGCTGCCTCAAATATTTCCAAATAAGCCTTTATCACAAGGGATCAGTGAGTTAGGGAAAAGATACAAGATATAATACATTCCTACATATTAATTATAGGTAAAAACATATTAATAAGGGGGAAAATATATATATTATTACTTCTATTCATGAAACAGTGGGGTCTGTGACCACCTACCTATACATTATTCCTTGGTGACCCATCGTAGTTCGCTCTTGACGTTCTGCAGCTCTGATAGGTTAACGGCAGGCCCAGGCAGTTTCACCGCACCCGGCAACGCCTTCTTCTCCTCCGGCGTCTGGGCTGCAGCGCTGGTCTGGTCGGGTGATTGAGGCTAATGAAAAATAACACAAACAGCAGTTGAAATTTGGTGGAATTAATTGAACAACATGCATTTTAGAAAAGAGCTTTGTGGTTCTTGAAATCACCAACCTCACACCTTTGTGTGTGTGTTTGTTTGTTTGTTTGTTTGTTTGTTTGTTTGTTTGTTTGTTTGTTTGTTTGCAGTGTTTCTTCTTTGGCTACTTCAGAAAATGTATTATTCAGTTACAGTTACTTCAAACCTGTAATTTTAGGGTTTACTCACTGTTACATTGGTACCTACTAGTGCTACTGTTGCGTTGTTCTGACCTATAAGGCCAAAAGACAGCAACTACACATTAATTCGATATGGGAATAAGAGCAAAATACAACTTTCTGACATTTATTTACCTTTATAAAATATCATTTTGCCACTTTAGTATACAATTTTAGAGAAAATGTGATGTAAAGTCTGCAAAACTACCAAAACATACCATCTGCTAGCTGGGGGAGTTAGCCACAGCTAGCCTTAGCTAAAGTCAAATTTACCAACTTGCTCGTGAGCACAGAACAAAACTACAGCTCCCATGAAAATGTTGCACAACTTGGCTTCGTCCATGTCCATAAACCTCATAATAATAAAATAAAATTCAAATTTTAGCTGTAATCTCTGGTGTCCTGCTGTTTTTACAGGCATGCTGAACTAACCGTGACCCTACTACACAATCATGGACTCGTCTCTTATTTTAATTTTTTACCTGTGAGCATTATGGGAAATGGTGTCCATTAAAGGACACTAACAATTAACAACGATATTAGTTGTAGGTACAAATGTTAGTGGGATTTTTAATTACGTTTTTACTTCTGGTTCAGAACTTGGAAGTTCTGGTTTCAGCTCTCTGTGAGTAAATCATGATGATGGAACGACAAAGTTACATACACATTGGAGAGGTGTGGTTTGTGAGACAATACAAGCCCAAAATATTACATTTAGTTTGCTTGTATATTGTATTGTATGTACGTATTTGTGATTAAGGGACACCAGTTTGTTATTTTTCAAAGCAAAATGTTCTTTCACTTACCTGTATGTATGTGTGTGTGTGTGTGTGTGTCTCCTGCGTTGTCTTACCTCCTCTACTGTTTCTACTGTCTCCTCTCTCCTCTTGACAGGATGTCCCGCCCCTGGACGCAAAGCTCCCATCGGGATGTTCAAATTAGCCTGACAGACATCGAGAACAGCCAATGAGACACTTTCATCACTTAAACAAAAAGAAGTTTCCTGTCCCTGTGTCTCGGCATGTGTGTGTGTGTGTGTGTGGGTGTGTGTGGGTGTGTGTGTGTGTCTGTGTGTGGACTCCTGCTGTTTCCTCAAAACCCCTTGTTTTGATTATAGTCAATATTTCCTGGTTATCATCATGTCCCTAAAAGGGACTTGTGTTTTTATGAAAATTGGGACACACACACACACACGCACTCTCACACACATGCACAGAGCTCAGAGATCTGCCTGCTAACTTGATGTTCTACTGCTGCGTGCCCTGACGTCCTGTCACTTGGATTTGATGTGTTTTGTTTTGTACTGTACTGTAATGTATTGTATATATGCTCATATTGTACAGCTGTACAGACAGGGAGTGTGGTGTGTGTCAGTGAGGATGTTGGATATTGTTCTATGAGAGAGTTTTATTTTTTCCAGAGATTAAGGTATGAATGTTACAGGGAAAGTTCTGGAAGAAATCGCCTCATTCATAGCATGTTTGCTAAAATTTGTATTACTGTAACGTTGCTTTGGCTGGGATTGTTTACTGTCTCTATGCTTAGCATGCTGTTAGCATGGAAGGATCACTGAACGGGCCTACCGGGGGCCCAGGGGGTCCTGAAGGGACTTCTGTTTGAAGTGACGGTTAAAATTTCTTGTTGGAAAGTCAGTCAAACAACTACAAAGAGACTCAAAACAACCACAAAGAAACTCAAAACAACTACAAATAGACGCAAAACAACCACAAAGAGACTCAAAACAATCACAAAGAGATTCGAAACAACCACAAAGAGACGCAAAACAACTACAAACAGAGAAAATAACTACAAAAATTGCAAAACAACTACAGTTAGATCTCACAAAGAGAGATGTCGAATGACTACAAAGAGACAAGAATCAAAACATGACTTCAAAGAGATGCAGAACGACCTCAAAGAAACTCAAGACGACCACAAACCGACGCAAAACAACCACAAAGAGAGGAAAAATGATGGAAAACTACATGGTTCTTTTGTTTGTAGTCACTTAGTGTGTCTCTCAGTCTGGGGATCTCGCTCCTACATACTGTATAGACGGGGGTCGTGGGGTGGCCTTTTGCACATTTGTGCCCTGGGGCCCTTTTGTCTTATAATCCTTCCATGGCTGTTTGTAATTATCCTCTGACACTCCACTGTGCGCAACAAAAGATTAAAGGAATATTTCACCCTAAATTGACAATTCAATCTTTACTCTCACCATTAAACATGCCCCAAAATTAATTTACAAGGAGAGAAAACACACTGAAATCGCCCGTGCGCTGTAGTTCCATCTCAGCCTCTGTCATGATCATAAAGGCCGATAACAAACCTGCAGCTTAGGTAAATTATCTGTAGGGAAAATGACAGCTAATGATATAATTACAAACCAAACTGTCCGCTGTGGACATCCATCACAGCTTAGCCATCACAACTGCCAGAGTTGTGCGCACACATTGAGAAGTTTGTGTTTGTTACAGCTGTTCTCTGCTGATTTTACTCCAGTTTATTACCAGCCCCGTGTGTTTGTGATTGTAATTTCTTTTACTACAAAGTAATTTTTTATTCTGCAGTCCATTTTAAGTGCATGCCACAGTACAGTGTTTTAGATTTACACTTGCCTTTCCACACATCAGTCGGTTTCTACTCATTAAATCAGACTATAATTCTTAAAAAAAAAAGGGGTTTGAAATGAATGAAAACCAATGGATGCCATGGGTGGAACAGTAGAAAATATATATACAAATGTCTGCAACACAGCTGTTATGTAAAGTATATGTGATTTGTAGTCTCCTAAACGCAGCACACTCTAAGTGTTTTATAGCCAAACAACTGCACCGAAGGCCTAAATATTTATGCTCCTCACTAATGATGCACACGGCCGAGTGAAGAATAGGTGTGAGAGAAGTAAATATTGGACCAATACTGGAAACATTTGGAGACAGAATCACACAAGCTGTTTGGGGAAATTTACTGGCCTGCTTTATTTGGAGCTACGGTACTGTATATACTCGCTATTACCCCTGGGAGGAGATGGAACTACACAGTGTGACTTGCTGCATTTCGATCAGTCCTATGAACGTTATTGAAGGTGAACTAATCCTTTAAGCTCAAAGTGTTTTGTGAACATGAAGTGAGAGTCTAGATAAGAAGTCAGACCCCAGACACTTAGGGGCAACAGTGTATTTGGGGGGGGGGGGCGGAGGAAACAAGTCTGTCAATCACACTTTCAATCCAAGACTGTAGTGTCCTGTAATCCTGACCTATATAGTTGGGCAGGAGAAAGAAGCTGTTTTTTCAACTCGAATACAAACAGACTTAGATTTTACTCTAAGGCCGCGACAGATTTGAGATTTAGAACTATTGGCCAAATAAAAGTCGACACTGCTTTTGCTGTTGGGGTACATTTGCTGATTTTATCAGCCGTTATGGCGACGGTTCAACACTGTTTGGTGGTTGCTTTCAATTTTATAGTGTAGTTGTTGGGTAACACAGAATGTATCCAGTGTCAAAGCGTTTCTATAGGAATCATCAAGCTGTGTTCTGCAGGTTTTAGTACTTTAACTGCAAGTCAGATATAATTAACCTTACCTCCAGCCCATTTTCAAAATCATAACAAAGATTTTTAAATTGATTTCCCACCCTCCAGACAGTCACTAGTTTCCATTCAGGTCACTACAGGTCAATTTGCAAAGCTATAAGTTTTCATCAAGGCAGGTTATGCACTGCAGTGAACTTGTGAACTAAGGTATTAATTGAGACTGTTATGTTCAAGAACACTCCAACATTCACTATTTCAGAGTCTACTGCCAAATCCTATTGAAATTCGACTCCACAATGCAAATGATAAATAAATTCTGACATTTTGGATGTCATGTAAATTTGGCCTTTTTTCTTTTTTTTTGCATTTAAAAGGTTCATGTTCGGCAGCCGACTTTTTGCAGCAACTTGAAACACACGAACGAGAAGAGCCTTCCTGCAGCTGTACAACCTGAAACAATAGTAATGTAGTGATGTAACAGAAAGTAATAGCTGCCTGGAAAACAAGAACTCAGTCTAATAAACATACGGTATGCTTTTGAAAATGTTGGAAAATAAAATAGATAAAAGGAAAAAGGGAAGAAAGTTTTTTTCTTTAATGGAAATGTTATTTATATTGTGAAGCTGTGCTGCTGTTCTTGTTTGTGATGAAATGAAACCTATGATGGAGACTGAACTAAGAACCTCATGTTTGTACTGTACTGGTATTTAAAGACCCTCTGTCCTGATGCCTCCCATGGTTAGACATGAAAATGAGCACAAAGATAAGAGAGACGACGTGCGCGCACACACACACACACACACACACACACACACACACACACACACACACACAAAGCCATTACAACAGAAACACAGACGACTCTGCATCCCTTCGCCTCGCTACAACTCTGCACTAACGAAGCCTTGATACTGTATATGCACAGTCACAACTCTGTATTTGCCTTTGCCATTAAAATACTTTAATGTGGAAACACGTCTGTCATCTGCGGCTTCCATTTTTAACAGGATCAAACTGTTATCCACTTTTATCCTTGCATGTTCATGATTGTCAGGGTGGGAGTAGAAGTAATGAAGATTAATGTGCAGATCCATGCAGGACAAACACACTCAGGACCAGTAGTGAAAAGTAACTAAGTACATTCACTCAAGTACTCTACTTTTGAGGCACTTGTACCTTGAGTATTTCTATTCTATGCTACTTTAAACTTCTAATCTGCTGCAATTCACACGGAAATATTTTTACTTTTCACTCCACTGCGCTGCCTGACAGCTCCAGTTACACATCACTTTCAGATTTTCCACTGACAGCATATGATCAGTTTATGAAGTATAACATGCTGTTATGAGTTAAAGAGCGTGTGTTCCTTACAGCAAACGTTGATGTTAAGGTAAATATTAGAGTTATGTGGGAACTTGGAATACATGAAATAATAATGATAATAATTGTATGTAAAATGCATGTACAACTACACACCTGACTAAAAATAAAATGCTGCTTAGATATTAATGCACCAACAACATATAATTGATATATTATAAAATAAGACACTGAAAGGGCCTTTTCTGTATAATCCATTCTTTTACCTTTAAGTTTGTTTTGCTGATGAAACTTCTGTGTTTCTACTTTTCCTTGTAATGGGGTATTTTTTAAAATCGAGGTAATGCTACTTCTGCTTGAGGCAAGAGATGTGAGATGTGAATACTTCCTTCACCGCTGCTCCGGATAAATATTTGGATTTAGAGTCACTGACACATGCATGCACACACACACACACAAACACACACACACACACACACACACACACACACACACTCTCACACTCACCCATGGAAACAGCTCATATTCTGCAGACAGATGAAATTTTTTTTACCTGAAGGGCCTTGACGTTGGACGAAGGTTTGGACATAATCCCCCCGGTAAGTCCACTGACCTGGAGGAAGCACAGACCACAAACATTCAGCTGTGTGTATATGTGTGTGTATATGTGTGTGTGTGTGTGTGTGTGTGTGTGTGTGTGTGTGTGTGTGTGTGTGTGTGTGTGTGTGTGTGTGTGTGTTGGGAGCATTGGGACTCTGTTTCTGTGGTTTTAAAGGCTCGGGATAGCATTTCAGTTGCTTAGCGACTCTTAGAGAAGAGAAGCAGGTAGAGGAACTGTTCTCTGAATCATTCATGAGAGGGAGACGGAGAGACACCGGGGAATGTCAAAATAAAAGCGCAACAGTGCCTCAATTTCAGCAAGAGCACTGAAGCTGTGAGAGAGAAACTTACAGTGATGTATATAGAGGTGCACGGTGAGGCAGTGCTGAGTGTGAATCTAAATCACCTCCACACCTTCTTTTACTGACCGTCTCCTGCTCTGGGATATTTGCATATCATATATTGTAACATTTTTCAGCATATGAATAACATTATAATTATTGTTACGATAATTACTTTGTCCAATTAAAAGTAATTTTCAGATAAACTGAAGGATCGAGTTCCTTTTTTCTAATTCTAAAGCTAAATGAATAATTTGAAACCCCACAGGATTATCTGAAACATGCATTGCAACAAAAGTGAAAACGTTTTTCTCAGCTCATCAAAGTGTTGGAAGTACATAGTTTTAACAGGATAGCGAGAAATTGTAACTGTTACAAATGGGTACCACTGATATCACTCCATATATATCATTTTCTGTCTGTGGCCCTTGAGTCCAACCCGATGTAAAGACTTAAAAATGGATCACAAATATATAATTTCATTTTTAAACAATGCTCAGTCATTTTCAAGACTGTCCTCCCATAAAAAACGACCCCATTGGCCGTTTGTACGAGCAGCTCATTATGCACCATAGTTATGTTTCATTGTTAAGCATCAGCATCAGTCAACACAAATTTATTTTAACAAATTTATGATCTTTCCCTGAACCTAACCGAACCTTAACCATAACGTCGTCACATCATAAAATGACTTATCTTTCAGCAGTATTTTAGAACAGATTTAGGAAAGCACAGACTTGATGTTCACGTCTGATCAGAAGACGCTTTAATGAATTGTTGCAGAGGGCATGAACAAATGGTTAATTTGAACAAGTTGTTAGTGAGCCCCGAGTCCATCTTTCCCACTCAGAATGTAGTTTAAATATATAGTTTCATTTTCAAAACTCTGTACCAAAATCCTTCACTTCCGCATTTCCTCTCAGCCTCTTTTCATTTATTTTTTTTACTTCCTCCCTCCCCTCCTGCTGTTTCACAGATCAACACTGACCCAAGTGCTTCCTGATCGTAGAAGTTTCCATGCCCTATTTATCTTATCTTTTAGGAGCCCAGAGGACCAGAGAAACTGAGAGAGTCTCAGGCTCTGCGGCTGCTGCTGCTGCTGCATCGATGGCAGCACTTAGATACCGTTGCCAGGGTGTTGTTTGTGCAACAACACACAGTAAGAGCTCTTCTGTCCTTGACATGACAGCAGAAGCCTGGACACCCCCAAAAATACACAAGCACACACACAGACACACACTCGTGCTCTCACAACGTGATGATATTTATGTTGGCCATGAGTAGCAGCTGCGTTCTGAAGCCTGACAAGCCCTTTCACTTTCACACATATTGTACACACACACACACACACACACACTTACACTCATGACCACAGGTACAATCCTCATGTTTTAAATAATTCAAATCTTCAGTCTTTAAAACCCTTTAAACCTCTGTGCTAACACTTCACAGAAACAGCCTTTGAGGTATGTGTGTGTCTGTGGATGTGCGAGGGAGTGTGTGTACGTGCATACCTTTGTGCAAAAGAGTGGGTTGGTCAGTGTGTGATGTTATTACTGTATTATCTCGGGTATGGATATCAAGTATGTTCAGATAGGTGCAGCTGCAGGTACGGCAGCATTAAAAACAATATCTGATATGCTTTGTTAATTAGCATAATCCGGACTGAAATATCTCAAGAACATTTGAATGAATTGACATGAATGTTTTTACAGACGTTCATGGTCCTCAGAGGACGAAGCTTAATGACTTTGGTGGTCCCACGACTTTTCTCGTATTACCACTGCGAGGTAGATATTTCTGCTTCAGAGTGAACTACCTTGATCACTATCAGATAAGTTTCTGTGAAATTCACTGCAGTTGCTACTACATGCTCCCTAGAGGATAAATTGTGATACCTGCAAAACTATAATGGCATTCCCATCAGCTTCAGCTTTACTTAATTGCTAATAGCAAATGCTAGCATGATAAAAGGATAGAGAACAGCAGCATGTTAGCACTGTCATTGTGAGCATGCTAACAACACTGCTGTGTCTAAGTACAGCTTCACAGAGCCGTTAGCATGGCTAAACAAGCAAAACCAACAATGAATTGATCCTCGTAACAAGCATTGCCTCTGTCGTCAAGCCTTATATAAGTTATTGAACACATAAAGGAGACACAAAGTTGCATCATCAAAAACAAAAGGAATAGTTTGACATTTTCATAAAATGCAGTTATTTGTTTTCTTGCCTAGAGTTAGGTGAGAAGACTGATACCACTCTCACGTCTGTACGCTAAACATGAAGCTACAGCCAATGGGGGATTAGCCTAGCTTAGCATAAAGAATGGAAGCAGTTTTTATGCTACAGTAAAAGTTGCTAATTTGTTTTGTTTTTTTTGCTATTTTAATGTTTATAAAACTAGAACACAGCCAATTCCTTAGCCACCATAGCCAGTCATTATGCTAAGCTAGGCTAACTCTCCTGGCTCTAGTTTCATATTTAGCATGTGAAGATATGAGAGTGATATTAATCTTCTGAGAAAGTTTCTTTCCAAAAACTGTTCCATTAAATAATGTGCACTTGAGTAAGAAGTTGGTGTGGACTGTAACAGACAGAGAAGGAAATGTTGGAAAGTGCTGCTGGTGTTGATTGTTACATCGTTAGGTTTACACTAATGTCCTACCTGCCAATCAAAAGCACAACATATACGTCGACACAAACACACCCATTGACAAAGCAGATGCATCTTACCTGTTGATGACACACCACTGTATCTATCCACTGTCTAATGCTCGATTTTATACACACTTAGACTTCTCTTGCTTGTTCACTTACACTTTCTGGCTGTCTCTCACACACTTCTTTTCCCTCTACTCTCCATCTCTTTCTTTTTCTTTGTCTTTTCTTCTTCTCTCCTCCCCCTCTCTCTTTCTCTCTGGCTGCCTCATAAGTGGTAGAAGGATTCCTCTCATATCTGGGATTTGTTCTCACTATAAATAGACGAGTGATACACAGAAGGGACCTGCTTTCTATCCACACACACACACGCACACACACACACACACACACACACGCACACACAAGGACACACTCAGAGACGGACCAAAACATAGTCAAACAGTGGCACAGGGCACTTGAATCTCCTTAATTTGATCACCTTTTTGGAGGTTTTGGACATTTATAGTAAAATGTAAAGAATTTTCTCATAAGACCAAACTTCATTCAAAACTTTTAAGCATCACACACCTTAACACAAAACTCTCTGTTTATATAGAATTTTAATATGTTTATAACTACAAGTATGGGCCCTGCTTTGAGCATATTTTTAAGGTTGTCAAACTAAAATTATAGTAAAATTTTCCACTGAGGGAAAGAATTTAACTGCAGGACCAAACTTCACTCGGAAAATTAAACATTTGAGCATGAATCACTCAGATACAAAACTTTCTTCTTGTAGGATATTCACAGATATGAAAGGTCTGGGAAGAAACGTATTTGAACATCTTTTGGAGCGTTTTAGCTAAAACCTTCCGGTGAGGAAAAGAATTTACCTGCAAGACCAAATTTCATTCATACATGGAACTTTTAAGCATGAAGCACTGAAACACCAACTGTCTGTTAATATGATATTCACAGATTTTTAGAGAGACAAGTACATTTCCTGATTTGAACATTTATTTTAAAAAAATTTTAAACTATGATCAGAGTAAAAACGTTCAAATGAATAAAATAATTTAACTGCAGGACCAAACTTCATCCAAAAAACTGAAACATTTAAGCATGAAATGACAATAATTAAACTGGCTGCTTGTATGTTATTCACAAATGTTGCCAAGTATAGTCCTTGATTTTAGCATCTTTCTAAAGTTCATGAGCCGTTTGTTTTGGAGCTGGAAAAATTAAACTGCTAATCCAAACTTCATTCAAAAAACCGAAACATTTAAGCATGAAACACTAAACTGTCGGCTCCCGTGACATTCCCAAACGTTTATAATGGCAATATGCAATATACTGCATCTCCTTCGAATCCTGTCACTTCAATCCTGACACTTCAATCCTCAAAACACTCCTCCTAATCTTAGTGACTAAAATGGCACTGCCCTATTTCTGTTCTGTCACTCACTCAAACACACACACACACACACACACTCATGCGCACACAGAAGTAGTTATGCTGGTATATCTGCTTTTAAACATTAATGCGCAACCACAGGCCGACAGTGATCTCACAGGGTTAAAAGGTGTGTGTGTGTGTGTTTATGTGTGTGTGTGTGAATGTGTGTGTGTGCTCTCTTACCTCCTGGCGTGCGTGGCTGCTCTGCCCTGCCTGCGTTCCCTCTGAGGTCCTCTTCAGCTACCTGACCTGTTTCCGCTCGGCCTGATTGGCTCGGACAGACAGGAAACTCCTCCCTGAGTGGAACCCAACCCAGCATCAGAAAAGCAGAATGAGTTCTCAGCCTCCCTTCAGTGTGTGTGTGTGTGTGTGTTCTTGTCTGTGCATGTGCTTCTATATATTTAAAGTCTTGTGGATTGTGTGCAATTCAACCTACCTTTCTTTCAGTATGTTACTCAGCTGTTCCTCAGACGAAGCAATTCACCTTCATTGCAACAAAGCACAGTGATCTTCTTCAGGCTCACCTATGAAAATTAATCCCCTGTGTGCCCAGGTAGTAAAATGAACAGACTCAAACTGTTGGCTTGTAATATATTTCAAATTATGCAAATACAACCCACACACTGGTCTTACCTGTTGGCAGGGGCAGTCCTTAACCTCTCACAGATAAAGCTGAATGTTGTGCTATTGCCATTTGGCGAGATGAAGTTTTGCAGGAAGCTGTGGCCAAACGTTGTAAACGTTGTAAGGGAAAACAACATCATTCGAGCGTAGAAGCTGCGCTGTCATTGTACAAGTTTGAAGCCACCCCATAGGTAATTCTGGTGAATTCAGGTGATTTTGTGTATAACTTCCTCAGGATGTGCAGATGTGGAGGATGTTTTTATATCCCTTGGCCTACAGCCATGGGAGGATCACAAAGTGGTGAGCCACGCCATGGCCCTGAACCCACTTCCTGTGTAGCACTTAGTCTGGGGTAATTTGACTAACTGCAAATTTGTTTGGTAATATGCAATATACTCAAATGACAGGTCATGCACTTTACTTTCCCACGTCAATAAAGAGACTGCATTTTTATACTAGTGAGAGTCTCCCTAAACTCCTTACAAAAGCTTTTTTGGACAAGAGGTTCAGTCTAAGTTTGGGACAGCTCAGTTAAGGGTAGATGAGCTATAGATTTGGGGCTAGGATTTAGATTAAAATTTAAATTGGGTTATAAAAAAAAAAAGAGAGACTCTCAGTGATGATGGTCAAGACTAAACGAGTCCTCCCTCTGGTGTGTGATTGTTTCAACCAGAAACTAGTTTTCAGCATTACAATGTTGTTAGTGTGCGTTAACCTTTAATCTCACATTATTGTCACAAGCGTTGGTCATCATGTTACTGAAATTAAACTTGTAGCCTGTACTGAGAAACTGGAGGCTCTGTTGGACGCTGAATTATGTCCAAATCGATGTGAAGTCCATCCACACGCACAAAGCTCCATTCAGGAGCAGGTTTATGTTCCCTGTTCACATTTATGGCTTAATGAGTCAGCCTGGGAGCAAGTTTCCGTGTTGCATCTGAGTCGGGCCATACACATTTATTGGTGTCCTTTTACCCTCCTGACCTTTTTAGTAGGATGAAATCCAATATCTGGACACACTGTTGCCTTTTTTTATCGCTGCAGCTTAGGCAAAGTAGCTCTGCAAACTCTGATTGATTGTTCTGGGCTCCACTTAAAGGACTGGTGCTGCCTTCAGGAGCTCAGTGTTATATCACACTCAAGTGCCAGGCTTTTTCTTTCTTTCTTTCTTTCTTTCTTTCTTTCTTTTCCATTGCATTTTGCACTACTATCAATCGATAATCCATATAGTTGCCAGTTACTTCCTGTCAATCAATCAATTGATCATTTAAGCTCTAATGCCGTCCCATTTTTTTTTGATTTGTAATTCATTATATTTTCTTATCAAATCCTGTTGCTAGTAAAGACTAATAAATTGCTTTTATCATCTTTCGGGCCTGTCATTTGTTCCTGTTTGTTTATTACTTTCAAATGGTCCACCCCCACCCCCAATGTAAATTGTATTGTATTAATTTTTTTATTTGTTTGTTTATTTTATGTATCTCTAATAACTTAGTGAAGCATCAAACATGCTTGTTTTCTTTTGGCCCAGTATTCCCCCAGTACCACGGTCCGAATCTGGCCCATATCCAGCATGATTGTCAGATGCTACTCCACACATCTGGATGAATTCTTGCGACAGACGTTACAAAAGAATAACAGCTGGAATCTGCCCAGATGTGGAAGCATATGGGCCAGACTCGGCTAAAAGACCCTGGCATATGTTGGGCTAGAAGTTTCATTTTGCTGTTTATATCTTTATTTTTGAAAGAAGAAAAAATGGTAATTCCTCCAGTTGAACACTAGGCGGAGGCAGTGCGCTGTTCGGTTGCTGCTGCCTTATAAAACAGAAGAAGAAGAAACCCCCCCACCCCCACCCCCCCACCCCCCCACCCCCCCACCCCCACAAACCAAGTTAACGTTCCACACTCCGGTCCGATAGGTGGCGGTAATGGCTGGCTGGTTGCTAACCGCCAATAAAACCTGAAAGAAGAAGAAGAAGAAGAAGAAGAAGAATTCCCAACAGGAAGAGTTTGTCGCACAGTGCTGACGGTTATTTTCATTCACAGCACCTCTGACAACAAACACCGCCTGCCTTCACGGTCAATAGTAATACGCCGACTTTTTAATGCGGTGGCGAACATGTGTGACCGCGGATAGCTGCGTGACGAACGGCGGGCGGAGGGAGTGATGGAGGCGGCGCTGCTCGGGTGATTCAGTCCTCGGGTGCACCATGATCCCTGTGTCTCTGCTGGTGTGTGTGATGGCAGCCTGGTGTGCTGTCTATCTGGCCGACACACTGCTGAGGGTGAGTATATATGCTTTTGTTTTTGTGGTGTGAATTAGCTGCCAGCTGTAAGACAGGGAGAGTTATAGTGTTCACGGACCTAATGTACGTAAACAACAAAGAGAGAAACTGGGTAAATTGTCCTCAAACCTGGTGAGAAGCGAGTTCAAATTCATCATGAATCATAATGAATACAGAGAAAAACACAAGCTACAGTAGCAGTAAATAAAGGATCAGATAAATTAGGTAGATGTTGTACAAATTGGCTAAATGAGTCAAATGGACTTGAAAATTGACCCTAAAACTTGCAACTAATTAGTAATTCAGTGTTGCATTCAGAGGTTCAGGTCGAAATTGAACACAACACTTCATCTTAGTAACATTTCCAACTACTTTCTGGTCTTTAAAAAGCTCATCGGCATCATTGTGTTGGTCTGCAGCGTGAGTCAGTTTCAGAGCCAGCTTTCTGGTGTGGTTAGTGGGTTGTACTGTGCAAAAGTTTTAGGCTCAGTAGGTTTTATACATCAGTTAATATCATGCAAAGTCCAAGAAAAAACATTAAATCAGTATCTGCCGTTTTCCTCGCTGCACTTGCACACAGTTTTTTAAAAGCACTCTGCAGGTTTCCGAGCATCTCATAGAACCTGCCGCTGTTCTTCTGTGGATTTAGTCTGTCTCTTCATGTGAGCCCAGACTGACTCCCTGATCATTGAGATCAGGGCTCTGTGGGTGCCACACCATCTGTAGCAGGACTCCTTGTTCTACTTTCCTCTCCAAATGTCTATAGTGCCTAAAACATCTGCACAATATTAATGCAATCCACTCTGAATCTAATGCAGCTGATGACTGTGTGAGCTCAATGTTAAATATAGACCGCTAATGTACATGTAATTTGAACATGTCAACATCCTGAGAATAAACTTTATGGCAGTTGAATTGGATTGCATTAGATTGTACAGGTGAGTGCGGTTTGTCCATCAGAGAGCGCTGACATGTTTAATTTTTTAACTGTAAAATGTTTTGCTCAGAACAGATCTCAGCTGCTTCCTCTGTCTCTGTCTCTGTCCCGCAGTCGTCAGCGACGCACCGGATCAGCTATGAGTCATGGCTGGCGAGTCGAGGGCTGATGCTGTCTCCCTTCCACGTGCGGTGGCAGACGACCATGTTCAACCGGCTGTTTGCGTACTGCGCCCGCATAAACCCCCAAGCCCTTTACCTGTGGTGAGGAACAGCTATTTCAATTATAAACTTACTGTTCTTGAATTATTTCCGTACTCTCCTCATCCTCACTTTCAGTCTCCTGCTTTTAATAAGTTTTTTTGGGGGGGATTTTCCAGTTGGTCACCTTAAGCTAACTGATAACAAAAAAAATCCTGCAAGCTTTTATTTTATGTCTCAAATCCATTCCGTACCTTTATATGGTCATAATGTTCCACTGCTTGAAATAAATCCTCTGTTGTGTCAATTTTCACGTCTCCCAGGTTCAGCAGCGGTCTGGTGTTCGGTATAGTGGCCATGCTGGGATCGGTGGTGCTGCTGGTAAAGACGCTGCAGCAGACGGTCGCTCAGATGACCACAGACAACCCTCGGATAGGAGGTCAGCAGGCCCTGCAGGTGGTGGTACGTGCGCGCCACACTGGACGTTTCTGAGCTGTTACAGATGATTCACAGCAGATAGAGGATGTTTTATTCCCTGGTTTGAGTGTTCAGTGTTTCAGACTGCTGGTGTGAAACATAAAGACATGTGTGACACCCAAAAAGATCAAATATTCACTTAAATCTGACTGGTAAATCATTGTGTTTTCAGTCCGTTCAGTTTTCAGAGCACAAACATCCTTGAACGTTCATAAAAAAGACTGGTTCAATTCAAATGAGGGGCCGAAAAAAGCCCCCAATTATGACGAGGGCTCTTATTTAGCATTTCCCTCCTCTTCACTTTTTATTCATTGAGGTGCCAAATGGCGGTGCATTAATGTGAGCACTGTTCCCTGCGGACCTGTGCAGGTGATTCATGGGAAGCTATTAGCCGTCCATTTATAGTATATATAGTATTCAGCCTGGAGAGACAGAAAATGCACCACACAGCTAAAAAAGGGGAGGGGGGGGGGTGCACAGGAAACAACAGCTTCAGCAAAACGTGACACAAAACAGTGGAGAGGAGGATTTTAAGTGTTTATGTCCAGAGTGGTTAAATTACATCATATGGCAATAAAATTTTCTGCTATAAAAGGTTTTAAAATACACATGAAAATCATATCAAACCCAAAAGAAAAAGAAAATCTAGTGATGCGTCTAGTGAGCGTCTGATGGCGCTCATGTTGTGTTGTGTCTCCAGGTCCCTGGTGTCAATCTGCCCACCAATCAGCTGGCCTACTTCTTCACCGCCCTGCTGCTCAGCGGAGTCATACATGAGCTGGGCCACGCTGTGGCAGCACTGAGGTAACGTGCTTTCTTCTCCAATAACACACACACACAAAAAAAAAATGTTACCATGGCAACCAGCAGGCTCATGATAATCATCCACCATCCGCCGTTAAGACTTAATTCAGTACAGTATGGTGGGTATCATAGGGATAATGCTTTGCCGTACTTTTAAACATCTCATATTAGCTGCACACACACTCGAGGTATTTTCAGAAGGTTTCCACTTAAATTGAGATATTTTTCAATGTCATTCTGTCCCTCCTTTCCTTCTTTATTCCTGCTCAGTGAGGTCTCTTTCTCTACAAAAATGTACTTCTATTTTTCCACCCCTCTGCAGGGAGCAAGTGCGAGTGAACGGCTTCGGCATGTTTGTGTTCGTGCTGTATCCCGGTGCCTTCGTGGACCTCTTCACCACTCACCTCAACCTCATATCACCCACGCAGCAGCTCCGCATCTTCTGTGCCGGTAAGATGGTTTTGTTTTTTTTTTTCATCTGCTGATCACAGCTCAGGACAGAGATGATGATAATAATCCTGATTATTTTTGCCCTCTCTTTGTCATCCCTGCTGTTAATCACAATTATTACAGGCATTGTGTTAAATGCTCTTTTTGTTTTGTTTTTTTTTTTTTGCTTCCAGTGAAGGTCACTCTGAAAGTCGCACTTTTATGTCTGAGCAGCGGACAGCTGCTTCACATCAAATCATTTCCCTCTGCAATTAAGAAAATTAGATTTTAATGAATTGATTGGTGGAGCTGGCACTTATTCATGCATGAATGGGACTGATGTCTCCTACAGGCCACCGTAGGTGATCAGCAGGAGCCGGTTTATGAGAGTGCAGTCTGCTCTACAAAAATAGTTCAGTTTTTGATTAGAGACCTGCTGTGAGGTTATGTAATGCTTTTGTACTCAGGTGAATGCAGTATTATTACAAGTACTGCATTAGAGAATTTTTACCGAGTGGTGTTGCTACTTTTACTCAGCTAAAATATACAAGTCTTTCTTCTGCCACTGGGAAATGGATGTCAGCTGTAAATAATAAAAATGCAAAATTATTAAATTTTGCAAAATTTCCCTTTGCGGTTTGGAGCCTTTAGAGGGCAGCAGAGAGCTTCTGTAACTGAAAACCCCATCTGTCTCTTTAACTGGAGAAAATTTCCTTCAGGCTTTTCCTTTGCTTAATGTGACAAGAAAATAAGTCGGGTGGTGAGTGCTGCCATGAAACTGAGACATCCAGTCAAGTCATATGACAAACCAGAGAGAGAGAGAGAGAGAGAGTGTGTGACATAACAGCATGCTGTGTTTATTTATTTATCCGTCTCTCCCTCCTTCACAGCAGAGATGGCTGTGTTCGCAGGGGGGCTCTCTCACATAACATGTTTATTATTTGTCCCTGTGGAGATCGGTGATGCAACTTTAATAGTTTGTTTACTGTAAAGTCAATAACAGAAATATATGTAACTTTTTCTTTGGCCTGAAATTAAAAGCATTCTGGGATTTATTTCCCCACTTGGTAGTAAACCAGCAGTGACATTTTCAAACATAAAACAGGAAGATTTTTTTTTTTTTTATTTCCCATGAGGAAAGAATTTCCTCAAAATATCCTGCTATCTTAAGCTCTTACTTCTCCCCCTGACCAGAGACTGTGTCTGCTGCATGATGCTGCTGCTTTGACCTCCTCAGGCAATGAGACACTTCCTCACGTGGTTTTTGGGCGACTGACTTTGTCTTTTTGCATAATTAGGAGTATGGTATAGACGGCTATTTTCAGTGCACAGTGGTTACAGTTTTACCACAGCATCCTATAGTCTGAATATGTGGAGAACAGCTGTAAAACAGTGGTGGAGATGTATGTGGAGAACAGATCTGGTGCAACTCTTGGTTTTCCCATAGCTTCAGTTTAACTGGGTTTTCCTGTTTGCAGCGGGAACTTGATCACGTTCATAATCTTTACAGTATTTTAGGTTATAATTGAGAAGTTTGAAGAGCTGCAACAATCCGTCAATTAATCAATTAGTCGATCGGGGGGGGGAAATAAAAATGAATCGCCAACTATTCTGATGATAGTGTTTCATTTATTTTTCAAGCATAAATGAAAAAAAGATGGTTTTCAAATGTGATTATTCGCATTGTGAAATGAATCTGCAGACTAATTCATCATGAAGATCATTCTTAATTTGCAGCCCTATTATACCATAAATGAATGTTTTTAAAAGTCAACACAAATTAAAAAGTAATCAAATCTAGGCTGAAAATGTGAAAATATAAAAGAGATTTCCTGTATTTTTTATTTTTATCTTTATTTTATAGGAGTCTGGCACAACTTTGTTCTGTGTGTGGCAGCGTTAGCCGTCCTCTTCCTGTTGCCTCTCTTTCTGTTTCCCATGTACTCCACTGGAGGCGGGGCGCTCGTCATCGAGGTCGTGCAGGTCAGTGCAATAAAGATAAGATGGAGTCCACTCTCTCATGACTCTACAGTAAATATGAAGCTACTAATATTGGAAAAAAAACAAAGGTTTGATCACTTGTCTGTCATTAAAGAAATCATTGCTTTGCTCCTTTAGCATGTTTCCAATATTAATAATAATCTGGGCGAAGCTGACAGCGCATGAGTCATCACCACTACATAGCCATATAATAAAAAAAGTAATAATAATAATAATAAATTTTATTTCTACAGCACTTTTCAGACCAAAGTTACAAAGAGATTTACGTAAAATAATAAGAGTGAAATATAAGAGTAAAAATAAAGATAGTAAGACAGATAAGATGTTGGAAATAAAATAAAATGGTGTCGCCACAGTCGGTTGCTGAAGCAGCTTGGTGTTCAGTCTGTTGACAGGATTCCCGCATTGCAAGATTGAAGGACTGAAACCGTCAAACTATGTTTTGCTGACCTTGTGACCTTTTTGAACCAATGTTTACATTTGTGTGTGTGTGTGTGTGTTTGGACCAGGGCTCGGCAGCCGACGGTCCGCGGGGTCTGTCGGTCGGGGACATCGTGACGGGGCTGGAGGACTGTCCGGTCAAGGGGGTGGAGGACTGGAGCAGCTGCCTGTCTCACCTCTCTCACACCCCGCAGACTGGATACTGTGTCCCCGTCGCCAGCCTGCAGCCCAGCTGGGCTCATGGGCGAGGTGAGCGTGCCGGCCGGACAGCGAGGGCACCGCGAGGCTCTGCCAGAATAACAGACAGATATATATTCAAAGAAATAGTGAAATGAAAATGACACAGCAAAGATGAGTTCGTTAATAGTTTGTCAGAACATTTTAATAATCAATGAATTGTATTTTTCAAACACAAATCCCAAATATTTTCTGCTTGCAGCTTCTCAAACGTGAGGATGTGCTGTTTTTCTTCAATCCATTAAAAATCTTCAGGTTTTGGTTGGTTGGACAAAACCACCACTGTGGGCTCTAAGTCACTGTCTTTTTTATATTAAATACATGATTTATAAACGATTAATAGAAAAAATAATTTGTGGCTTAATCAGTAATGAAAATAAATACTAGTTGCGGCCCCATTTTCATCTCAGCCAAAGGGCAGAATTAAAGGCAGCATCTTCCCTCCATCATCACATCATGTGAAACTTCTTCACACGGAGCGTGTGTTAAATTTAGATCCCGTCTGTGGCCATCTTTCAATCTGTGTTTGATGATGTTGAAGATTCAGAGTCATTTACTGAAATGTGTACTGGATGTGTTGGATATCTTGTCATTTTCTCCACTTTAAGGAGGACAAGAAGGATAATTATATTTAGCCACACCCAGCCTGGCGGTCGAAATAAACCAATAACAAGCTTTTTTTTTTTTTTTTAATTTGACTCGGATCTGAACTTTGAAAAACAAGCAGAGATTTCTCAATCTCGTTTTTATCAGTTGAGAAGTTTTTGCATCAGTTAGTCCAAAAAAGAAGCAAAAACATATCCTGTGGTTAAGAGTTAAGTCAGTTGTTGTGCACAGCTGGAGTCATCAGGATAATCTGAGTTATGTCATGAAGTGAGTGATACTGTGCTCTCGTCTAATCTTCTGCTGTGAGTAGATTTAACAACTGAGGGGAGGAAAAAACAAAACAAAACGGCGCTGCCATCCAGAGAAACCCAGAGTTGCCTTTATGATTTTCAGTTTTCCAGCCCGACTCACACAAACCTAATCAATCTGCTTCTCTCTCCTCCATCCATCTTCTTTTCTCTCTCTCTCTCTCTCTCTCTCTCTCTCTCTCTCTCTCTCTCTGTGTGTGTGCAGCCTTCAAGCGTTTGGATGGAACGATGGACTGCTGCAGCAACAACAGCCTGACTGACCTCTGCTTCTCTTACATGAAACCACAGGGCAGGAGCAGCAGAGAGAGAGAGGTGACACACATTCACTCACTCACACACACACACACACACACACACACAGACAGGCAGGGAGTTTTATATGACTGGTTCATCATGAGAGCAGGTTTCCAAACCATTTTATATAGTCAGGCATATTTATATCACTTCCTTAAATCAATTCAGTTCCTTCTATTGCTATTTTTGGCGGCTTTGTTTACAACAATGGGACTTAAATGCACAAAAAAGAGCTGTTGTTGTTACACAAAGTCACAATTAAAACTATAAAATGATTATACTACAGAAAAGTAGTAAAAGTTGATTTACTCATGCTTGATGGGACTCCCAGTCCCCTGAATGTTAGCTGCAAAATATCTTACAAGGTTTCTGTGCAGTTGTCCTTTGTAAACAGGTCATAGAAAAAGACAATATAACCACTGTCATGAATCAACTCAAAGAAAAAGGAGTGCGTCATTAAAACAATGCGCTATCACGAGTGAAGATACTGTATGTGGGAAAAAAACAAGATAACAAACGGACAAAGACACAAATACTAGAAACCAAAAAACAACAATGGCAACAACAAGAGAAGTTACATTTAATAAATGGGAGAAAAAAAAGGCTCCGAACTGTTCGTTTCTTCTCTCATGTCTCTGACCCTGTGGCTGCAGTACGCCTGTATGCCGGTGCGCAAGATGGTGACGGGGACGCGAGTGTGTCGCACCGACGACGACTGCGCCGCGCACTCCCACACCGCCAGCGTTTGCGTCACCCCCTCGCTGGAAAACCAGACCCGCTTCATCCGTGTCACACACCCTCCCAACACACACATGCTGTTCGTGGGGTATCCGCCGCACCTTCAGTACGCTGGTACGTTACCTCCCCTCTTTATTTAATTTCACCATTTTACTGGTAAGTTTGAAACATTATGAACTGAAGCAGAAATTTATTGAGCATTTTTAGGTCAAAATAGCCACAAATATTTATTAACTACTAATAATTTTACTATAAAGTTATAAATAATGATTACATTTTTTTGTTATTTGTAAATAATAATTCAAAAATTGCTGTTTAAAAGGTTTTTTTTTTTATTTTTATATAAGTTTCTCCCCTGAAAGAGACGTGAGCTGTAATATTGATATAATTGCTGTTTACAGTGTGTCTCCAGTCTGAGGTGACGTACAGTGAGTGTGTAGGAGGCTTGTCGTCTCAGTCAGTTCAGAGACGGATTTATCAAGTGATGTAAACAGAGTCAATAAAGTCCAGCAGTGTGACAGTAACCCCCCCCCCCCTTTTTGTTTCTACCCAGTGAGTCTGACCAACTTTGTGCCCCGCTTTGGGTTCCTCCACCTGGACCTGCCCGTCTTCTTGGAGACCTTCTGCAAGTATCCTTCCACGTTTAAAGGACTCGACCCCGCTCATAATCAGGTGATGGATGTGTGAGGAGGCGGCTGTAGATAAAGTAAAAGCTACTTTTCTGCCAGGGTCACTCACACACGCTCTGAACAAATGATGTTACTTTTTGAAGGATAGAAAGATATTATAAGTCCAGGGTTACAAAGTACAGTCTGCTCTGTCTAAATGAACATTTTACTATTTTTCTTTTAAAATGGTTATATCGTAAAAATAATAATAATAAAAATAATAGCAATAATAATAATAATGATGATAACATTTTTCATTATATAGCTATTTTCATGTTTTCCAGATTAAAATGATTTCAAAGTAAAAGTCAGAATCCCGTATAAGCCACTGTGTGTGATACAGCTTTAGAGCACAGGTGCATTGCAAGTGCAAATTTAAAGAATTTGCTTAACTCGGATTAAATTGATCATATCATTAGGAATCATTGTTATATACTTCTGGGAAATACTGAAAGATATGATGTAATGGTAAGTAATTATCTTTTCCATCATACTTTCTTACTTTGGCAGATATTCAGTTGCATTCTGTGATATTAAAAAGTCTTGAATGTAACTTGAATGACCGGTGAAGAAACCCTGGTAATGCTGCAGGGAAACGTGAATATTTCTGATTTCTATATATTTATTAGTTACTGGATAAACTGATCAAAGGGCCAAACTCCTCAAATGTGTGTATATGATTGACTGTGTTTATCGTCCTTAGCCCTGGTGTCTCTCAGATACGTGGTCTCCCTCTCCGGTGCGTTAGCCGTAGTCAACTCTGTGCCGTGCTTCGCCCTCGACGGCCAGTGGATGCTGAACGCTCTGCTGGAGGCCACGCTGGTTTCTGTGGTTACAGACCGTCAAAAGCGCGAGCTGATTGGTTTCTTCCTGCTGCTGGCGGGCAGCGCCCTGCTGGCAGCCAATGTGGCGCTGGGCTTGTGGATGGTCACGGCGCGGTAGCCACAGCGGTCAGCTGCCCTGGCAGGACGCAAAAACTAAAAGAATAGAACCCCATGTGGACTGAGACGTGTTCGAGATGTGTCGACCATTAAACTGTGAACATGCAGGGAACAGGCTGCATTACCCAGCAGTGCTGCCCAATTTCTGGAGACTGTTGAGCGGAACATTGCTCGGCCTTTGAGCCCTCACTGGACCACCAGGGAAACCTATAAACGACTCACTTCCACCTTGTTTCCCGCCATACACAAAAAAAAAGCACATACACAAACAAACAAAGCACTGTCCTGTGTGACTGTTTACAAAGACTGCGCAGTCTTTTCCAAATTTGAATATCTGTGACGTGTTTGGGTTTGAAGTCAGAGAGAAAGCCATCTTAGTTTTGCCAAGGGTTTGATGCCATATTTCCCTGCAAGTCATGTCGTGGAGTAATCTAAGGCAAAAAAAAAAAGCCTTAATTTCATCAGCTAATGCATGGCAATACCTTGGTTAACTCCCACTTATCAGCTGGAAAAAACTGCCTCGTCCGAAGTGTGTGAATTAATTCATGAATCGATGAAAATGACTCCTACGGTATTTTGTAACGTCCAAAAAAAAAAAAAGTTTGAAGGTGGGAACATTTTGAAATGAAAAACATTTGCTAAGTGTGTTTCTTCTCCTCGGGCATTGTAGCCGGAAAATGGCTGAACTGTTTCCCGCTCTTCCTCAAAAGTGTTAGTTTCGTTAATTTTACCCCCTTGGCCTCTTCACTGTCTGTGACCTGGATGTAAAAGTTGATTGTCAGTAGTGTGGAATAAAGGACTGATTTTATTGAAGGGCTCTTTTAATCAGTCGGAGAACTCATCTACAGTTTCATTTATTATTATTATTTTTTTGCTGATTTCTTTTTTTCCTGTCATATCTCAGGTGCTGCCTGAGACACCATTCGACTAACTGACACATTGTGAAGGATGATGCATGATTAGTTCTTTGGTGGGAATGAGAGATTAAAATTCCACCCATTGATCCATATACTTTCCTGTTTGAGGTCAATGGAGGCTGGAGTGGAAAGTCGGGCTGCGAATGGACAGGTCTCCAGTCTCTCATAACACATACAGTTATAGACAAGGTACTTAACCACAGGCAAGACAGCTGTATTTATATAGCACATTTCAACCACAGATGATTTAAATATATAGGCAAAGAAAAGCATTAGAACAACATGTGGAAGTAAAACCAGAATAACATTAATTGATAGAGAATAAAATCCGATTTTAAACATTAGATCAAAAAATAATGTAAAAAAATACAAATAGTTTGAAATACAAATCGAATTGTAGAATTCCAGTTCACCTAAACACACAAACACTTAGACACCCATGTGTCCATCATCTGTGACACCCTGCAGTTGTCATGGGTGATGGTGTAATCCTATCTTTTCAGGGTATGAAAAATAATAATAATAATAAGAAAAGTGACTTTGTGAATTTTATATCAGATTAAATTATATTTTAAAAGCATGTAATAAATCATTTATGATGCATTATAATGTATTTATAAGCAGCAACTCCTCCTGTGAGCTTATCTGCTAAATATGGGGGTTAAAGTCAGGTAGTAAAATCCATATTCTAGTTCTTAACGGTCACATCCGCTCACATGAAGGCAGTTAGTTACTGTTGACTTCATGGCCTCTTTTAGTTTCCTTCCTCCTTTTTTTTTTTACATTACACATAGTTTACCATCTTTTACTCCAAATATGAAATGGAAGATTGGATGATTATGTCAGGCTTGTAATCGGTTCTCTCTGGAGTTTGTCTCGACTGCAGAGCAGAGCTCCTTTCTAATTTTACACCCTTCATATTCCCAGCGCACTGGCACACTGTCTTCCTCAGACGCAGTAACAAAAGAACACAGGCTACACTTTTAGCAGCGGCTCCAGACCGCAGTGTTGCTTCAGTCGTTTCGAGGAGTCGTGCAGTGATTATGTTTTCCTTGAGTGTGACAGTGGGAGAGATGACATATTGTAATTTGGAAGGGTGTTTCCCACAGACATATAAATACTGAACGGCCTTCAGCTTAGTCACAGAGGTGTGTTTAGCAAAGATGAGCAGACGACTCTGTCAGCAGGTTGAAAATTGTTGTCCTTATCGTTGAATAATGAGGGGAGAATACGAGAGGATTAGCTCATGTTGCACGCAGGGGTGGCATCTTTGTCATGTGTATATGTTAGTGTTCAGATAAGGCATTTCGAAAAAAGATTTTTCCCTCCTCAATCTTTGTTACTTGTGTCCTTGCATGTGTGTTTCTGCTGCTTATCTTGTGCTAATGACAGCCTGGAGGGATGTTTGGGTAAACAGACATGGGAGGACGATGAAGAGGAGGAGGGTAGCGGGGTGAAGGGAGGTTTGTTCTGACTGTCTGGTTCATAATGAGCCATGGGCCCTTGATTTAACTCAGTGAACTCCTCTGTGTTTAACAACAGAGTCCACAGCCACTTAGGCACAGCAATATGCTAACATGCTCACGGTGACAACGCTAGCATGTATATGTTTAGCAGGTATAATGTTTAGCCTTTGGCACCTCTGAGACTTTCTCTTCTGTGTCATTGGACGGTGCTATAGATGTTTCCTAGTAACTGATTTACAATTAAAGTATTTTTGTTTCATTGACAGTAGACTCCATTCAAACTTGATTATGGATTCATGAGTAGCTGTTGCAACCCGGTCCAGCTCCTCTGTTGCCGTCACTACAGCCACGCCCCCAGCATGGACTAAAAAGTTTGGAGGCTAAATGAGGAGCAGAGATGATGAAAACCAAGGGTCCCAGTTGAGCTTTCAAACAATGAGAGTGAAACAGGACGCAAATGATTGCGAGTCCAAGTGGTGAACAATAGCTTCGTGGTCAAAGTGTCCACATGATGAATGGGTGTTTTCAGCAGCGCAGGAAGTCAAGTCTATATAAGGGACTTTGTGGCCGACGCCCCAAACCCTAATGAGCACGTGCAGAAAGAGCTCTCACTATATTGAAGGGGGGGGGGGGGGGGGGGGGGTGGTGGTTGACGGTTGACAACCTATCAGGAACTGTGGTGTTATCATCATCAGAAACTATTGATGCACTGTGACAACAACACAGATGTGTTTCTACAGGCAGCGACGTCACCATCATCATCATCATCAGATTAATCGATTGTAATCTGTGTGTGTGTGTGTGTGTGTGTGTGTGTGTGTGTGTGTGTGTGTGTGAGAGAGAGAGTGAATCTAATTTTGTTCTGGTCTACTGACTGTCTGATCTGATAAATGTTTCGAGCAGAGCACCCTGCTGTTTTCAACATGAGACTAGACACGCACACTTTTCACACGTATGCTTACGCCGCTAACAAGGTCTGCAGCCAGTTATGCACCACACACACACACACACACACACACACAGATAATGTTCTGGTTTTAGCCAATGACTTTAATAAATGATTTCTGTTCACCACTGGGACGTCTGGTCCCTTGTTTCCTAGAAGGAGGGAAGGAGGGAGGAGAGGAGAGGAGGAGTGTTGGGTGAGAGGTGGAGTGATGAGGGAGGGAGGGACAGTTTGAAGAGCTGGGGTGAAGTTAGAGTAGCTGCAGATAGACAGATAGCAGCAGAGAAAGAGAGACAGGCTGAGAAAGTGAATAAAGTGTGAATTTCTACAATATGTTCCTGTAACCTTTTGGATTTCTTTTTTTTTTGGTCAGATTTCTCTCCTTTTTTCTTTTTTTTTTTTGCTTTCTGTTGTGTTTTTGTCACTGCTTCCCCACCTGAGAGTTAGATTTTTAGAGTTGTGTGTGTGTGTGTGAGTGTGAGTGTGAGTGTGAGTGTGTGTGTGTGTGTGTGTGTGTGTGTGTGTGTGTGTGTTGTGTGTGATATAGTAAAGTCATGGAGCTGGAGCGTTTAGGCGGCGGTGGGGTTAAACCTGAGAAGGGTAACACTCGTCTCTACAGGATAGCACTGGCCATGTGTGTGTGTCTCTGTGCTGTTCTTCTGCTTGCACTCATACTGGGTAAGTCCACAAACACACACACACACACACACACACACACACACACACACCACTCACCACACACATTTCTCCTCACTGATCCTACATTATAATTTGAATGGAATTCCATGGAAACATATTGTATATTACGCAGGCGGTCCTCAGATTATAGTACACACTGACTGTAAATAACACACAGGCACGCTGCTGGGAGCAAAGGTCTTTATGGAGGGCTCGCGGGTAATTTGTGTCAAACTATTTTTGGTCCATATAAGGTTTCAAACACACCCACGTGCACATGCAGAACCTCGGACTCTCCATAACGCACTGTGGGAGTCAAATGGGACACTGGGGAAAGAGGAAAGAATGTGTGTGTGTGACACTTTGTGGGTATTGTTTCCTTCAGAATGTGAAATTAATTAGCAGGGACTGTGTGGTAGAGTAGTGGCGGGTAGGGCGTGTGTGTGTGTGTGTGTGTGTGTATTTGTTTATTTAGAGAGGGCAGTGCAGATTAAACAAGACTGGCACTTTCAAAAACATGAGTATAGATGTGACAGGGAGAGAGAAACCAGCAACTTGCTCCCAGAGTCCGGCTGAAAACAGGCAGAATAAAAATAAAAAAAGTGTTGCAATACTTTGTCTTGATGAATTTAGGCAAAGCATTTTTATTTGTGTGGCACATTTCAACAACAGCTTTACTTAAGCTATAAAAGAAGCACCAGACAGTGTTGAAAGACTATATAAAACTTAGGTAACAGTGTAGAAAGAATCAGACTTTTCATATTTAATCATACTTTATTTAAAACCACTACATGTAGCACGGTTCCTCTTTTTCTAGACTTCATGTCAACCAGATGTTTGATGGTGTCACAGAAAAAACAGTTTTTCCTGATTGTTAAATTTTGCTGCATATGAATGGAAGAATGAGTTCACACAAAAGGCGTGAAATTCTCCATATTTACCAACTTTTAAAGTGTGTTTCTTATTATTATTTTGCCTGATAGATTGAAGCTTTGTCGGTGCAAACTTTGAGATTTTAAGAAAACTTTTTTAACTTTTGTAAAAGTTAAACTTGAATCCAAAACAATGGCAGGACACTTTAAGTTTCAACTGTCTCCATTTAGCATCTCCTGGCTCTAGCTTCATATTTAGCGCACAGACAAAAGAGCAGTGTTGATATTCCCATTTCACCACTCTCCACAAGTAAAGGAAATACGTGTATTTCCCCAAAACTGCCCTCGTGCAGACGGTTTGAGCGGTTCAGTAGTTTCAGTAGTGTGTGGTGGTGAGGATGCTCGTGGCTGGGAGGGGTACACGAGTGTGTCTCGGGCGGGGTAAGTATTGTTTTTCTTAGTTATTGAAGGAAGCCAGGATTCTCGTGGCAGCAGTGAAGTGTAATTATGTGATGTGCCTGCATATGCAGTTCCACACACCCACTCTAATGGAACCTCTCTCTAATGGTCTCCAGCCATGTGACTGACCACACACAGAAATGTTTTCATTTTTAAAGAGTGTGTGTTTGTGCACATGCATGTTTGTGTGAGTGGCCTGTTTGGTATCTGAGTAGCGAACATGAGGTTAATATTAGTAGTGACACCGGAGCCTCGGACATCTGTGGATGTGGGCGTTTAAACCCCTGAGTGTTTCTGAAGGAGCAGAATAGGTCGTCAAGGTTGTTGTAGGCCGAGCGCGGTCGTACAGGGCTGAAGTTGTGAGTGTGTGCATAACGCACAACGTTGATCAACCCATCACAAGCAGCTCTAACTAGACAACATGACCGGTCAACCTCAGAGGTCAGACATTGCGGCGCAGCTCCATAAACGCTCCACTCATCCGTTCACAATGGGGATTTGGTTTCTAAATCCGTTAGCTCACTTCGCGGGCTTGTGCTGCCTCTGCACGCCCTCGCAGACACATCACAATAACGGTGGTTTCTGCCTGGAGGTTAGAGAGACAGGCTTCCATTCACCTTCTAGGAAAGGAAGTGAATGAGTAAACCCGTGGTTACGCCACAAGTAGCGTAAACAATGGAGGGCTTACTCTGTTTGTGGTGTTGTGATTGCCTTAATTAGAAGTATGTGAAGTAATTACAACTGACAGTCAAGTTAAACTCAGAAAAGGTGATGTGTTTCAGAAAGTGCTCGAGATGTTCTCGTGACTTGATGAGTAAACATCATCATTATGTTAGGTGGCGGTTGTAAGTTGAGGCATTCCTCAGTTCAGGCCGGCGTAAGGTTAAAAAAATGAATCCACCAACTGTTTACACTGACTGCTCTCCTCCAGCTGTATCAACTGCACTTTGGTCTGTATTTGTCCCATTTTGATAATGAGTGGATTGTGGGAACGTCACTCATTACACTTCCCCTCTGATAACCACTTTCATTTTGAGCTGCATGAAAGTATGATTATCAGGTTCTCTTCCATCAGCGCTTCATTCACTGATGGCCTGTGTTACCATAATAACGCATGATATTGCAGCCTTTTAAAGGACACAATATGAAAATGCTGTTTTCTTTCAGCTCCTTGATAAAAGCAGCTTTGTTAGACTTACATAGGCCGAGGAGGTTGTGAAGCACTGAGACCATTTGCACACAACTCGGTGGAGGGATGGGATGCGGGTCCGGAACAAACCCAATAAATTCTGGGCCAGATCAAAATCATTTACTAAAAGTTTGACTTTTCTCTGAAGTCTTGTGTATGTTGTTTGACAGCGGCTTTGGTGGAGTTCTGCGGTCTCATAACATAAGGCCCACTTACAAGCTTCTTTCTGCGCTTTCAACTAGAGATAAAACAATTACTCAATCAATGGGAAATGAATCTGCATCTATTTTGATAATCTCTTAATCAATTGATCTTTTTTTTCAAGCAAAAGTGCCAAATATAACCTGGTTTCAGCTGCTCAAATGTGAGAGTTTGCTCCATTTCTCTGTCTATCACCATTTTATACTGAATATTTTTGGTTGATCAAAAGAACAACACCTTGGGCTCAGCATTTCTCACTTTTTTTTTGCTGACATTTTACAGACAAGACGATAATCTATGAAGAGTTGCCAGAATGATTGATGATAAAAATAACTGGTAGATTTATCCCTTCCCCGACAACATCTCAAGGTCTTCATCTGTAGTTGGAGTTTGTTGAGTTGTCCTGAGATCACATTGGCAGAATAAGATGATTTTCTGTCCATGACTAACGCACCTCCGCCAACTTTTCCGGGGTGACGTGTTTTGTCAACCTCCACCTAAAATTTCCTTGGTTGAGTTTCTGTTGAAAACCCGTGTCACCAGCAAACTGTACATTTATGTGGTTTGGGGCAGTATATATAGACATGCATGCAACCAACGCTTCCTACAAAATAACACTACTGTCTGAGTCACAGGGTGATCTATACATTTCACTTGTCACCATTCATCCTCAACTCTTTTCTTCCCCCTCAGTCTCTCAAAAGTCCAGTCAGGAGGAGTTCTGTTTGAGTCCAGAGTGCATCGAAGCAGGTGAGGAGTGGTGGCTCTGAGCCTCCACTCTTGTTTGTATGGAAACTGCTTGAGCATGAGATATTTCAGTTGTGGCTGAAGTATCTAGTGCTCAACACTTATTATTGGGACTGTTTTTTGTCTCTTTCCCTCCTGTAGCGGGGTCTATTTTAAGTAAAATGGATCGGTCTGTTGACCCCTGCGAGGACTTCTATAGTTTTTCCTGTGGTGGTTGGCTGAAGGAGAACCCGATCCCTGAAGATTCCTCCTCATATGGCATCTACCCCTGGCTGCGACAGCATGTCGACATCCAACTCAAAGGTTTGCTTTTACCCAGGAATTTCCCATCAGTGTCTGAGTTCATCAGCCTCAATGAAAGTTGATGTACACTGTGATTAAAAGACTCAAAATGTTCTATCAAAAGACAAAAAGAGAGCTCTACTTGGATATGTGAGGAGAAACAGCAGGAATATGATTTCATAACAACCAGGTCAAGTTTAATGAGTGATTTTCTGTTATTATCACTTAATTCCAAAGCAAGACTAAACTTGTTGATTTTATTTTATTTCACAAAGCAGTTTCACAAACTCTTGATAGGGAAGAAAACGCTGTCCATCACTCTTTTTAAATAAATAATATAAATGTAAACTATATATCAAAAGGAGAAATGTATCTTAACAAGAACATCTGAAAAGTATATTTGTTTTTTTTGTTTAGATACATTTCTTTTGTTGATATGCATATTAACATTTTTCTTGTTTTTTCTTCTTCCCACGAAGCCTGGTTGGCTTCGTGGGAAGAAGAAAAGATAAAATAAAAAATAAAAAAAGTGTTAATTGTTACCTAACCTGTTGTTTCTTATCAGAGTTACTGGAAGCTCCATCAGACCCTGATGAACTGGAGGCAGTGACCAAAGCTAAGATCCTCTACCGCTCCTGTATAAACGAGGGTGAGTCTCACACACACATGCACTTGGTTTTTGTTACTTAGAGGGACATTGAATTGATGTACATTCATTCCCCGGAGACTCACCTTAACCTGGAACATAACCACTACACACCTACCTCCAACTCTTATCCCCATAATGTGGCAGCATGACCATATTATTGGCCATAGCGTGTAAACAATACAACAATCATACACTCAAATCTACGTACAGCACTTGTGGGGACTGTTGTTTTCATCATACCTTCTCTAGCCCCTAACCTGACCTTCAACCTAACCTAAATCTAAACCCAGTTGTTATCTTAACCCTCAAACAACTCTTTGAAGTAGACAGGAGGACTGGCCAAAAAGCATTCGTGATCCTAAAATGTCCCCACTTTCCATGTCTACAACAGGTCCTCACAAATATACTGTAAGTCAAGACACACACAAACACACAGTGACAGTATAAAATAGGATAAGATAAGCTTTTATTGATCCCAATGACAGATCTAGGTCACTGCAGCATCAAAAGTAATAAGATACACGAGGGGGAAATGGGAAACTATGATCACAAAGGTAGAAAAAATAACAACAACATGAACTTAAATAATGAAAATCAATAAAGGACTGTAGAATTAAAAAAAACAAACAAATGCTGATGTTTTTTGTGTGTGTCTGTTTACAAAGCTGTGCTGGAGAAGGTGGACACTAAACCGATGCTGAAAACACTGAGGCAGGCAGAGTTTCGGTGGCCTGTTGTCGGGGAGGGGCTTGGCGGGGAGTATCAGTGGTCGGCGGCTCAGTGGAGCCTCCTGAAGACCGTGGCTGAGATGAGGAACCAGCACAGTAAGAGCGTTCTGATTCGCCTGTACGTCTCCCCTGACGACAAGAACTCCTCACTCCACATCATCAAGGTGAGACATTCCCTTTTATTGTTGTTTGTGCATGATTCATGTTTTTTCACATTTAGGTTTGACATTTAAGGTTTTTTAAGGGATTAGGGCTGCAACTAATGAAGATTTTGATTTCCTCAATTAATTAATTAATTGTTAAGTTTTAAAAATAGTGAAAAATTAGAGCCCAAAGTGATAACTTAGTGAAAAGTGAAATAGTCAACCACTCAAAAATATCCAGTTTACCCAATATCACTCTGATAAAAGTATCAAATCTTCAAATTGGGAACTCTACCATCAAATTTTGTATTTTTGCTTGAAATAAGACTTCAACAATGAATCAATCATCCAAGTAGGTGACTGAATGATTACATTAATCAACTAATGGTTCCAGCTCTAAAGGTTTGACATTTTGGAAAATATGCTTATTTCTCCAGCACCCTCCCAGTAAATCACAAGCTGCCATTTTCACACTCCAGTGTATTTATGGATATAACATGTTAATTTTGTTACCTGTGCGCAGACCCAGGGCAGCCGTTACCCCATTTCCAGTCTTTATGCTAAGCTACGCTAACCAGCTGCCAGCTACAGCCTCATGTTTAACTGACGCACATAAGAGTAGCATATAAACTTACATATAAACATTTAATAACTTGTTTATAACACACTAAAAAGTAGCTGTATGCATATTTAAATGTGTATTAGTGTATTTGTTAACAACTATAACTCCTCCTGACACCCATAAGAGGAGGCAATATTTAAAATGTCATTATATCTGCATATAAACCATTTATTAAAGGTGTTCAGAAATACTAAATCGGGAGACTTAAAGTAAAGTGTGAAAACCACCAGCGTGGACATATCATATATGACTGTACGGATTCAGCAGCTTGCTCAGTAACATTTTTCTGCTCATTATTGCTGCAGCAAACGTTAAAAAATAAACAAGCCCAAAAAGCTGCGGAGGCTAACCTGTGCTCTCTGTCTTTATGCAGCTCGACCAGGCATCCTTGTCTCTGCCCTCCAGGGAGGACTACATCACCAACACTTCCTCTGCACAGGCAGTGAGTTTTTGCTTCATCTTTCACCACTTACCTGTCATCTAAAAACTCCTCTTCCTGCAGCAGCCATTTCCTTCCTGCTCGGGTGATAAATCGCAGCAGAAAAGAGTTTTCAGCCACTTGAAATATCGAGTGGTTAATGTTGGGTTTTTATATCAGAGCAAGAGCTTCTTCCCAGACTCAACATTTTCAAATGTGAGACAGTAATAAGGTGAGAAATTAATTTTGGGAAAGGGAGCCGATACCGATTGCTCCACTAATAGTAACCTCATTAGGCCAGAAGGGAAAAAAAAGCACAGTATGCAGTGACGAGGTTTTCTCAACTGGAAAAACTCTCACTATCTTGTTATTAGTACGCTGTCCTTATCAGTGTTGTTCTCTCAACTGTACAGAACAAACTGTATATACAAAGCTCTGCATTAGGTCATAGGAACAAACTCTAGATTGCTATTCTGCTATTTTGTGTTCAAACACTGTGTTGATTTCATTGTATCATAACTTAGGCTAATAATTATGTTAAGAAAAATGCTATGTAATTAAAATTACTATGTACAATTCAAGGAGAAATATTTTTTTTTTCTTTTTCTTAAACTTTTTGTATTTGACCAGTTCTGAGCAGCTGGATGTCTGGAGCAGAATCCACTTATAAACTTATTAGCACTGTGTATCTATCTCTTCAAAAAAGTTACTTATAAAGAACATAAATAGTATTAAATTAAACTTACTGTTACACAAGTATAATCATGTCTGAGTGCAGATGTAAGCCCTTGATGTCAGATGTTTGGCCGTGATAGTGACAGTCGCTCACAGCAATGAAAGAATAAATGACATTTGTCTTTCTGCCTTTGTCTGCCCCCCCGACCTCTCTCTCTCTCTCTTTCTCTCTCCCTCTCCCTCTCTCTCTCTCTCTCTCTCTCTCTCTCTGTCTCTCTCTCTCCTCTCTCTCTCTCTCTCTCCCTCTCTCTCTCTCTCTCTCTCTCTCTCTCTCTCTCTCTCTCTCTCTCTTCAGTACCGTGCGGCCTTGCTCAGCTTGATGGTGGACACAGCCGTCATGCTGGGCGCTCCAGAGAAAGCAGCACTGACCCAGATGGAAAAGGCTCTTGCCTTCGAGACCAAACTGGCTCATGTAAAGACGTCATGTCACATAAATATAATCTCACTTAATGTATGGAGATGATCTGATAGGCCGCCACGGCTCTGGAGCTAATTAAAACCCCAATGTTATTAACCATGAGATATGAAATTGATTCATCAACTTCACCGACAGTATAAAGGGAGATTATTTTTTGCATAAATTTTGAATCAGTCATGTCAGTGTGACATTGCTCATCGTGTCTCCAGATCCTGATTCCCTATGAAAACCGCACCAGTGAGAACATGTACAACAGATACACACTCTCCCGCCTGCAGCGCTCCATACCACAGGTACTTTGAACACACACACACACACACACACACACACATAAACAACAACAATAGATAATAAAATATCCTTCTTTTTCCCCAAACCATACCATACCCAAAACTTTACGACAGTCCATCGAATAGCTGTTGAGATTTCTCAGTCTGGACCAAAGTGATGGAACAATTTTGCCACATGGCTGAAAAAGTAAAAATATGTTCCAAACCGAGATGCCAACAATTCGTAGAAGTGAATCTGCGAGAGACTCACACTGTACAATCAGAAATAAATTACTCATTAGACTGATATGGATATGGAAGGAAACCGTTAACGATATGTCTCGCCGTGCCTGTGTGTGTGTAGTTTGACTGGCTGGGTTTTGTGAAAGCTGTGGTGGAGTCTAAAAGCGACCCGTCTCGGTCCATCCCCTCCTCCGAGCCCGTCATCGTCCGAGCCCCGCAGTACTTCAAGGAACTTTTCAAGCTCATTAACAGCACAGACCCCAGGTATACACATTAACACACACACACACACACACACACAAACAGATGAACAGACACTGGGGCTTGGGGCTCCTGTATCTCATTATAGGTACATTATAGCATATAATAAGATTACATGTAGGCTTCAATTAATCGTCCTCTCTCTTTCGCTCTCTCTTCAGGACTGTAGCAAACTACGTACAGTGGAGGACGGTGTTCTCCAGGATCACCACTCTGAGTCGTCGTTTCCTTTACAGATACCTCGACTACGCTCGGGTACGTTTTTCAAAGCATCTTCCAAAATCTATGTCCTTGTTCAGTCATTTTTTAAGTCTTTAAATAAACTGCTGAACCAAATGTTCCTTAATGGGTTGAATCCTTTTAAAACCCTGTAAATTATGTAAAACTGCATCATAAAGAAATACATTTGGGCCCTCGCAATGCATGATTTACCTTTAATTAATCCTGATTTCAGAGTTAATTTAACAAACTATAAATCTGAACTCATGACTTTCTCCCAGAATCTCTCTTGACCCGAGCCTTTAATGTAGCACCGACGCTGTTCAACAACCAGACAGAGGAGTTAAGGAGGATATTTAGACTCAATATATTAAGGTTTTATTACATTTAGGCCAATAAATAAAATAAATCAATGAGTGATTCAGTATTTAAAGAAACCCTGCCGGTGCTGTTTTATACACACAAGAAATAGTACAAGATATGAGCCAAAGATATTAACCTGCTATTTCTGAAATATTTCAATGATGCTACTAATCAAAATTAAGAGAAGCCAAAATTAAGATTAAACACACATATATTCTTTACTTTCTGAGATCTGTCTGAAGTTGTTTCATCAACACACATTTTGTTTTTTATATTTTGGAGCTGTAAGCAGCTCCTTCATTTCTTTTGGACACTACTTTGTGCATCATAAATAAATAAGTAAAAATTTATGTACAGTGGTAACTTGAAAAATGTATTTATAAAAGTATTTAAATCAAAGACAAGTTAATTTTATTGAAGTATAAGAAAAAAAATGGACTAGGAGACGTAAATTAAAGCCTGAGATTAAACAGGTTTTTAGATGAGGTTTAAAATATTGAGTGGGAGCTCATTCATCAGTCAGCTCAAAAATTCAGCATATTTAATATGCATATATTGTCACTTTTCCATCGAGGACGGATTACTCACTCAAACCTGCTATGAATGTTATATGGAACTGAGACACAGTCTGAGCATCATAAATGGAGAGTTCAATATTAAAACTTTTTTTTTAATTAGGAAAAACTCTGATGTAAGTTATATATTTTTTTTTTATCAAACCCTGATTTTAAGTTAAGGAGCTGGGAAAGTTATGTGATTTTGAAAACTATGGTTTTCTGTTTTTGCTGAATTTTTAAAGCATCAGATAAATACAAATAATAATGTCATGTATATTTCAGACTGTTCATTTTAATTTAAAAATGTTCAAATATAAACATCAGTTTTGAAATCACCTAAAGTTGAGAAACTGCGCTTGAATGATTGAAGTTGGAAATTGACCTTGCATCTCTCGCTCCCCCTGCAGGTCACCACGGGAACCACGTCTCTGACCCCGCGCTGGGACAAGTGTGTGAACTACGTCGAGAACTCGCTTGTTTATGCCGCTGGGCGCCTTTTTGTCAACACACACTTCCAGGAGGACAAGAAACACATGGCGCGTGTGTGTGTGTGTGTGTGTGTGTGTGTGTGTGTGTGTGTGTGTGTGCACGTGTATGTGTGTTCCCGACATGACATCATATCTTAAATCTTGGGTCAACTGTTAAATGTGAGTATATGTTTAGTTGTGTAATAGATGTGTGTATGGGGTTTATTTTGTCTGTGTGTCACCAGGAGTTGATGTTATTTAATGTGTGTGTGTGTGTTTATGTGGCAATGACACTTGAGCACACACACCCACACACACACACACACACACACACACACACACATATTTGTACTTCTATCTTTGTGAGGACCCTAGCTGACATAATGCATTCTTTACTCTTACCTTAACCGAGCAACCCTTAACCCAACTCTAGCAAACATAATCTCCCCTGTATCATACATTAAATTGTGCGTGACTGTGTGTCTCAGATGGAGGAGCTGATCAAGGGTATTCGCTGGGCGTTCATCGACATTCTGCAGAAAGAGAATGAGTGGATGGATCAACCAACGAAGAACAGAGCCATAGATAAGGCAAGAGAGGCGGACAGTCATCGGCCCGTTCCCATGTTTCTTTATAGTACACCGTCTTTCCTCCTTTACAAAACCAACTTTCTTCAAGAGACAGTCCTCGCTTCATCTCAACTCTAAAACATGATTAAAAAAAATCACCAGTAAAAAAAAAAAAAGAAAAAAGAAAAACTTCCTTTCAACTTAGCATTTATATTTTTTTTACCACTTGGGGGCAGCTTTGATTTGGTGTTCCACCAAGGGAAATACCTGGCTGCAGCTATACTGTATGTTAACCTGTCTTCACCAGGTAGTTGCAAACTTTGGCTTTATATGTACATATATATACTTATACATATATATATATATATAGATGAGAAAGAAATACAAATAGGGATAACAGTTACATACATTTCTGTATTTTAACCAGCTACGTCACAGCCCTGTGCTTTGCTTGTTTGTTGCTCAATTCTTGCATCTTTTTTTAGGAGACCATTAACTTGAAATAAAAATAACAATTCATGTTTATTTACTTGAAGTAATGCAAAGAAAAAGTGGAGGGTGTAACTCCTCTCTCCTCTTACCTGGATTGTGGGAGATGGATAGTCTGATGACTCTGTTTAGAGAGATTTTAGTAAGAATAAAATGAAAAATAAAGTAAATTGAATATTATTGGCTTTTGGATAAAACAAAACAAAAAAAAGGCAAAAGGTTTTCTGATGTTTTCGTAGACTGAAAATTATTTAAGCGCCCACATCTATTTTAATAGTGCTGTGCCATCCGCAAGCACCATTGGGTAAAGTGTTCTGTTCATTTTAATGGAGTACTTCTCTCCTTGAACCAAACTACTCATCATGCACCAATTTTGTAACAATGACAAATGAAGTGCACCTTGAGTTTTTGTTACATGTTAAACTTGCACAGTTCAACAACACCCTAATAAAACTCCTACATCAGTGTCTTTTATTGTCTGGATCGGCTTAACAGTTTAATATCCTCAAAAGCCATTTGTAACGATTCAGGAACATTTATTCTTAAGGCACTGTGGTTTAATAGAATTGAATCTTATTCTGTCTTTTCGCTCACTGTCAGTTACTCTGAATAAATGTCTGATCATTCTGTTTATGTAAAAGTCTGTTCAAACTGTCCTTAACATTCACTCTGCTGTTGCTCTCTCTCTCAAGGCTCATGCAGTCCTGGCGAAGGTTGGCTACCCCGAGTTTATTCTGAATGACACCTACCTCAACGAGGATCTGAAGGAGGTTTGTTTGGCACTGAAACTGAAACAAACTGTGCAACATAATAAAACATCATTTCTTTTCCTACACGCAAGTTTGAAAATTGCAAGACTTAACAGTTTGTAGTTGTTTTCTGTGTGTTTTAGCTAAAGTTCGATGAGACGGATTACTACGGTAACGTGATGCAGACGCTGAAGTTGATCGCTCAAATTGATATCGCTTGGCTTCGAAAGAGCGTGCCACGTACGGAGTGAGTAGCGGGGCTCGTCTGTAGGTGGGTTTCCATCCAGCTGCTTTTATGCACAATTTCAATTTGAACATTTAAAAAAGAAAAAGGAAAAGCAACAGAAACTCCTGATAAATTGCATTTATTTGTAGTTTCTTTTGCTGATCTTCTTAAAATTTGGTTAGAGTTTGGATGGAAACCCACTTTGTGTCAACTCTAGTGATTTTATTTTTTTATTTTTTATTTCCTCATTGACCGATAATGTCTTTGTGTGTGTGTCTGTGTGTGTGTTTGTGTTTCAGGTGGTTTACAAACCCAACAACTGTGAACGCCTTCTACAGTTCTTCCACGAATCAAATCAGTAAGACGGTGTATGATTGATTACTGAGACGCCAACACTTGACATCACTTTAACTTAATTATTCTGATGTTCTGTCTAGACAGATAACATTTTTAGGGATTCTGCAAATTTCCACTTATTTCAGTGGCTGAGTACATATTTCAGCCACTGAAATAATTGTGAATTTGCTTTAAAAGCAAACTAATATAACAGGCGGACACTCTTTATAAACTAAGCAATTTGAATCAGTTTTATAGTAGTTGCTTCCTCTCCAAAAACCGCACTTTTTAATAACAAATTAAAGGCTGAAAGATGACGAAAATTACTCAGCGTGCTCCAGTGAATGAATCAGATCTGGAAAGAGCTACAGACACACAAACAAAAAACTACTTTCATCTTCTCGTTTAGGATTTCCTGCTGGAGAGCTTCAAAAACCTTTCTTCTGGGGAAGAGAGTACCCAAGGTGAGATGAAAGAAAATGTGACACGCTCTGTTAACAGACCAAAGAGACGCCAGCTCGTGCAGCGAAGAGCTCTGAAATAAGTACAGGATTTTTCTGACATTGACCTCCTAATAGAAAATCACATAGAAGAGGTGCAGTGGTACCTCAGTCTCCACAGGTCATGGAATTACAGTTTCTCCAATAATAAGTTTAATGCCAAGTCAGTTTTAGATCAGTGCTCTACATGAGATGAGTGTTTTCAATTCATCAGTAAATATTTCACATCTATAGATGATATTGTTCTCAACATTTGAGTTTATTATGAAAGATAATGCAGTTTTTAGGATGTGAAAATATATGATGAATAATCTTTAACTTTGTGTCTGTTTCCAGAGCTTTAAGTTATGGTGCCATCGGGGTGATAGTGGGACATGAGTTAACACACGGCTTTGACAATAACGGTAAATATTGGTCGCTAATAACGACCTCAGAAAACATTTAAAATAACAAAACATGATTTGGTACCACCTTCTGATAAAAGGCTCATAAGATCAATAATTAACACCTTTACTAATGGTTTAAGAAAAGTCATTCACCAGTGCTTTACAGATGAGTTATAAGTCATTAATAAGAGCAACGTTTGGGTTGCCAGGTTGTAGAAACTCTTCTTCCAGCATGAGTAGTCGTTTTAGCTAGCTCTTTAATTGATTAGGGAGACTCCTCCATTAGAGTGTTCTCAGGACGCCTGGACCAAAGTCTATTTATAAACAGCTTATTAAACTTTTATACTTTTTGGATTATTATTATAGAACCATTTGGCCAACTATTTGGCTTCTTTCCCTCAGTTTTTGCTTGAAAAATGACTGACTCAATCCAAATGGTTATTATAAATATATTATATTTATATAATATAAATATAAACGGTGCCTTATCAGAAAGTGGAACAGATATTTCTCTCCACTAGATTCGGGGATTTTATTTGTGAGCCGCTTTTTCTGAACAGGTCGCAAGTATGACAAAAACGGAAACCTTGACCAGTGGTGGAGCAACTCGTCCGTCACAGCCTTCAATGAGAAGACCCAGTGTATGATAGAGCAGTATAATGGCTACCACTGGGAGGAGGCAGGCCTGAATGTAAGAAACAAGGGGTTTGAATCTACAACTGCGACAGTAGAATGAAATTGAAATAATAACCCCCTGAATCATGCATTCATTAACTAACTTTTGTACATATCTGGTGAAGGAGTTTGTGCTTTGTGGATGTTTTGTCCTGTAGGTGCGGGGTAAGAGGACTTTAGCAGAAAACATAGCAGACAATGGAGGAATAAGAGAAGCATTCAGGGTAGGGTCTATTTTCTTACACTATCTCTCTCTCTCTCTCTCTCTCTCTCACTCTCTCTCTCTCTTCACACTCTTTAGATCTTTGACATTTGTTTATTAGTTGCATCCATATTTCACCACTCAAAATGTCATCTGTGGAAAAAAAGACAGAAGTCCAGGTGAGAAATCTTCACCCTCTTTTTGTGTTTTGTGCGTAGGCATACAGACGGTGGGTTGACGAGAGCAGAGGTGGTGTGGAGGAGCCTCTGCTTCCTGGAGTCGGACTGAATAACAACCAACTGTTCTTCCTGAGCTACGCACATGTAAGAACACATAAACTGTTTTAGCTGTGCCTTCAGAGCCATGCTTCTGACTATAAGAGCATTTCTGGGTACCTCTGTTGTCATTTCTGAACATACATGGCGTTTCTCCTGAGCAGGTAACGTGGGTTAAAGTTTCATTAATAAAAGATGAAAAAATAAATAAAAAATGTGAATGTTGAGGTATCGGCCTTACTGGTAACGTTTGAAGGGGCTATTTGTAAGTTTTGCTATTGCTACATAGCTGACGTTAGCATTAACAGCTGTTAACTTATTAGTCTAGAAGAAACATTGCTAGTTCAGCATCAAACTTCATTCCTTTATTCGCCAACAGCTGTCTCCAGAGGTGGAAAGCAACGCCAATGTTACCTCTTGTCTCTATCACATCTTTTCGTGATGGATGGAGGTTGAAATATGGGTAAAGTTAGGGGCTATTACATAGCTAATAAGGCTCCATTTGGATCTTGAACTGTTAATTAGAGGGAGGCTGCAAATTATTTCAGACTGATAATTTGAGCAGCGCTGCAGCACATTTTTCCTTTATTAGGCAGTTTTTCTATTTATCTGCTCAGTCTGCTGCTCCCTCTGCTAATTATGTTTGTTTTCTATTCTCGTCCCGCTGATGGTCCCTCACCGACGACCACCAACCAGCAAGCTCTAGTGTTTATGACCCATTTGAGGGATTTTCACTGATGACGTGCTGCTACAGTATCTTCAGCCCAGTATGCTTCATATGTGTTTGTGCTCTGCAGGTGAGATGTAACTCATACAGACCAGAAGCAGCCAGGGACCAGATCCAGAGTGGAGCCCACAGTCCACCAAAATACAGGTGAGTACACACTCAGTCACACACACTGATGAATGTACACACACACACACATAGAGTTCTTACAACCTTGACCTTTACCGTGGTTGTTGCCCTGCAGAGTTGTCGGAGCAATGAGTAACTATGAAGAGTTTCGGAAAGTGTTCAGCTGTCCTGAGTCGTCGGTTATGAACCGGGGGGCAAAGTCCTGTCGGGTGTGGTGACCTTTGACCTCAGCTTCACCGTGAACATGGCCAGAGCTGTCAGCAGGACACCTGTTGAAAAGGCTGATAGTGCTGGAGCCAACATAGTTTACATGATGTGGGAGCAATGAAAAGATGAAGAGTTGTTAACTCATAGACATGTTAGCGACTGAAGACCACTTTTAATTGGATATTGTACAGTATATTATTACTACTACAACAAAGTTGCAATGTTGTTTTTTACAGATACATTTACTGCATATGTTGCTGTTACTGCATAAATTATGACTGAAGCCATAGTTTATGAATTATATATTAGAAAAAGGCTGTTTTTGTACAGACGTGCAACAATAACAGACGTACAGTATAAATACTGTAAGTGTGACTAGTTAAAGATGGAGCCTTTCTTATGGGAATAAATAATTTATACATTAAAGGTACCAATGACTGGAACGTCGTATTTTTGAACAGGAACATTTTTTCCGATGTTGCGGTAACTGTGGGAAGCAGAAATATATCAGGTCAACATCTGCATATATTCATTAGCAGCCTTGTCGATGATTTCCCAGCATCCCAGAAAAAAGATTTTAATTCATGTTTGAACATAAATATGAGCCAAAAAAAGCAGCAAACAATACAAAAAAAATCAATCCATATATTTTTTGAAAACTTTTTAGTTTTCCTTGTTTTTCTTGAAATAATTGTGAAACCCTGTGTTTTAATTATGTACTTACAAAGCAATTCAATGACATCAACCTGCTGGTATGTTTTTAAAAACTTGTGGGTGGGGTATGTTTTGTATTTCGTGTGTGTGTTTGTTTGTGTGGTCTCAGTCCCGTCTTGGTTTCTGTTCCACTTTGTTTCAATCTTATTCTTGTGTCAGACATTTATATTCATTCTGCTGCAGTTCAGCCCGAGGCAAATGAACTCACAGAATTACAAGCACTCAAACTACAAGATGCACTCTCTCCATTTGTCTTTCTGTCTCTGGTATTTACCGGCACTGCAGAGGTGCACTCACACATCAGCTTCTTGTAGTATGTTGATCTGGAATATTGGGGGTATTTGACAAACCAGATTTAACAAGTTAGTGAGAAAATGACAGCGATTTATCATCTGAAATATGGTTTATTCCTAAATCCAGGTTTATGTATTTAAATAATTATGGGTATTGTTTTTCCACGTTTAATTGACTAACTTTTCTAATTCTGCTTTTTGAAGTCTTGATTTTCATTTTGTCTTTTGTCTGTCCTACAGAAAATGGTTATATGAACTCTTCATAAATTTAAACTTAGCCTAGTTATTGTGATTACTAAGTGAAGATATAGACATCTCTTAATTAAAATGAGTTGCACAAAACTAGTTCTTATGTCACAAACTATTTACACCCAGAAACTGCCAGGGGTAACTGTTACACAGCTAACGTAACTAATATGGTCGACGTGTCGGACCGGAAACCAGATAAAATGCTGTAATGATGTTACCTGGGGAAGATTTAAGATGACATTTCACAAAAATAACACGATATACCTCAAATGACAAAACATAACGCCGGTAACGTTAGCTCATATGGCTAAATAACGTCCCTTCGCTTACGCAGCCGTTATTAACTTCTCACTGTAAACTTTACTAGTACCACTAGTTCTGAAACACATGAATATGCACATATTAATTAAACAAAGTTATACCTACATTTACAAAGGGTTGGCAGCTTTTCAAATTTTAGAACCTGATTTAAACTTGCTAGTTGTCTGTAAAAAATTTTGGAGGGACTTTATGCACAAAATTAGCAGTGGATTTAGGAATCGCAAGTGCAACAAAATGAGGGCAGCACTCTTCTTGTTTGCAGCGATAATAAGGGAGTTTATATGAGCTAATACACTGAACCAATCAGCTCTTTTGATGAATAAATCTGTATTCAATCAAATTAGGATGAAAGTTCTAATATAAAATCAAACAGAGGAAATAAATATCTAATCTACTATTATTTTAACACTATATTTGGATTAGTATTGAGGTTTCTCATTTTTCATGTTGCTGTGCTCTTGACAAAATAGTATTTTAGCAGTTTTAATTGTCGATTCATCTGGTAATTATTTCTACAAATAATCTTTTAGTCTAAAATCTTAAAGATCTAAAAATCAAATGAATCTATAAATGTGAGAAAATAGTGGAAAAAAAAAGATTTTAGATTCTTTATTTACATTTTATTATCTGGAAGTGTTTTTCTTGATATACCTTTTTTTATCGTACTGGGATGAATTTGAACTGCCGTTGTTCTGGTACCTATTTGTATGTTGTGATCGTGGGGTCACTGTGTTTCTGTGTTTCTGGTTGTGCTTCCTTCTGTGGCGTTCTAATAAAACTCTTGAGACATTACGCTGCCCATTCACCTTGTAACTTTGCTGTGATTGACAAGGTCAGGTGAGAAATGTGCGCGTGAGAGAGGAGCGAGGTGACAGTGGATGGAGGGTGCTGATGGATGGAGGAAGACAAAAGGCATAAAGAGGGATTGGGATTCATAATCTGAAAGCATGTCCATTTATTGATTGTCCTCCTCACACACACACACACACACACACACACACACACAGACACACAGACATCATATCTCATTTATTTAATATCAGCAGTTCCCATGGCAACTTCGTGTTCATACAGTTGACTCTTGAACCTGACGCTGTGCTTGTGTGTCTGTCAGTTTGTCTTACAGTGCCAGGCAGGGGGTAACATTAATGACTTGTATTTGTGGCAACGCCAGCGGCAGTCTCATCAATACACACCAATTAGAAAAACTGTCCTGTGCCTCAGTCTATTACAGTAGTGTGTGTGTGTGTGTGTGTGTGTGTACTGGGGGGGGGGGGCGCTTAAGAGACAAAGAGAGGGAGTAAGTGAGATGGATGATAATGAGCAGAGATCTTCTTTTACAAGATGTGTAAGCAACATCATGCATCAGGCCCCTGGCAGCCGTTCTTACACGACCATCTATTATCAATGGACGGTTTGACCGCTGACGTACAGGACAAATAGATGAAACAACTGCTGTTCACACTGTCACTTTGCTACAGCCTCCTCCTGCCCCTTCAAACATTCAGACTCAACATCTGAGTCAGAACTGATTTTAAAACTGTTCATTTTGTAGTTTACGGGTTTAAAGTCTGGTTATATAAATATCCATATTAGATAGATAGCTAGATAATCAATCAGACACTGCTCTGTGTTAGTACAGCAGTTAGAAGTGAGCTACTGCCTGACTTTGTGCCATTACTTCATCGAACTGTGATGAATCTACTTTAGTGGCCAGAGTAAAAATGACAACTACGGTGATTAAACCATTGATTTGTCACCTGGATCCAGTCCCTGTTAAACACAGCTACACCTATCTGCACATATTAGTAAATCAAGTCGAATAGGGTCATGGATAAAACCCCGTTATCGGATGTATTCTGTTTTTTGATATTTCATAAATTTTTTTCCCATTAAGACGAATGGGCAGAATGTTTTTCAACCCCTTCTCCTCATTCCTTCCTTTGTTTTCCCCCTCTTTTTCTGCAACTATTGTCTTCCCTTTATGTCAAACTTGTGGCTTTCTCACTACTCCTCAGCAGCTTGCGTTGAGCTACACCAGGGATCAGGACGAGCTGGCAACACTAACCCAACATTAGAGGGATTACAGGGAGTGTAGTAGAAACATGGCTCACCGGGCTGACACCAGAATCCAGACAGGCAGACGGGATGAAGGAGAGTGGTAAAGGAGGAAGGGGGGGGGGGGCTAGCTGTGTTTGTTCATAGATACATGGTGCAACCCAGGACCCGCCTCCCCCGGCAGCTAGCTCGCTGGCTGGGTGCAGGACCCTCTGGGGGCACCCTAGCTGCCTCCCCTGGCAGCTTGCTTGTTTGATGTGGATTTTACTGTAAATTTGAGGATTGCTTCCCCACTGTTTGTGAAATATTTCCTTCCCTTTTTATTACTTCTGACATTGATCTCCCTTTCCCTTGTGTACTGAATTATCCTGTTTTGGTGATGTGTTGTATTTGCAGACTTTTGGACGTATTTTGGACCTTGGAAGATGCAATTGCAAACTACATGAAAAAGCACATGTGCTGTATTTGATGTTGTTATAAGCCCTGGAATTCCCTATTCCCTACAAACACGGGCTTACTGACTGAGAGCTTGGATTTATTATTAGATATTTGGATTGGATTGAAGTCTGCGGAGACATGTCTTATCCATATTTGACAATTTGTTCGACTCATCCTGCACTCTGGGGGTACAGGTACTGAAATAATTTGTCCAACAAAATACAACCCTATACGGGAGCCAGTGCACTTTATTGCTGTTTTTATATTATTACCATTTTATTATACTTTTTTGATCTTTTCATAAGTATCTTTGATTGTATTTGGCCAATGTGAAATCAAGTTACTGTGCTGGTGTTATTGGACTTACAGGATTGCTGCATCAATGCAGTTGAGTAACTTTATTTATTCAGTATTTGTGTCACTGGATGAACAAAAAAGAGATGTTGAAATCTGATTATTTTATCTAAACTCTTTTGCAATTGAACTTTACTGTATCAATAAACAGTATATACCACTCCTGTGATATACTGTATGATTTCATATACCCTCAAAGAAGATTTTTATCCATATCACCCGCTCCTGTTCTCCATTATATAAACTCTGCACGTCTGTCAAACCAAGCAGTAAGTGGCTAGCGAGTGGATGTCAGTTTGCGACATCATCTCAAAACGCAGCAGTTATTTTTGTCAGTGGCTCAAACACGGTCGGACCAAAAAACAACAACACCTTGTCTTTAGCGTCCTCCGAATAGAGGTGAACAATTCCCAACAGTAACTGTACAGAAACACGTCACTGCAGCCCTAAGACTTGCTGTCAGAAACCCACCCAACACACACACACGATCACACACAATACTATCTCGGTCCTGCAGTTCTGCTTCTGTCCAATAGAGGGCAGAGGAAACATGGCTTCAGGGGCCTTTCTGAGGTGGTGTACAGATTACAGATGGGCCCAGTAATCACACAGATTAAATTTAGCTCTGTGAGAGGTGAAAATGGCTCTTCTCAGATATCGCACTCTGACATTTTAGCAAATCAGGTTTTCCTCAGGCACTGCTGGAGTCATCGGGCCTCTCCCAGTTTTCTTTATCAAGCTTGTGACACTCAGCTGCCTCGCTCTTTATCTTCTTTTTTTTTTTCTGTCTCTTTCCCCTGCGATTGTGTCCGTGAAGGAGAAGCAGAGTGAGCCTGCGTTTTATCTGAATCCGTCTGCATCTGTCTTCTCTGTTTCTGGGCTGTAACTGTAATCAAATCTTGGGAGTCTTTAAGAGGCCACAAAGACGACTCTACTGTATTTCTCTGCCCGTGCCCCTCCCAATGACCTCCCTTTTCCATCAGACACCAGCCACCCCACCCCCCTTCCCTACTTACAGCATCCTGTCTGGCCTCATGAGCTAATGTCCAAATGACATCTAGAAATTATGATTGCTGCTGACCACCAGGAAGATGTGGAAAGTAGATACACAGAAATAGCAGAGAGGAAAATAAAGACAGATGGATAAATTGATAACATAGAAGGAGATGGAGATTCAGATTGTGACACTTGAATGGAGAAATGAC